GCGCGAAAAAAATAACTGCTTTTTGTTTCGAATTAAGAGCGCGCGCGGCGCAGCTGCAACGAGCCTCCTCGCGTATGGCCGAAGCCGGCGGTGTACATGCTGCGCGCGCGAGCAGTACAAATTAAAAGGGGGAGAAAAAAAAGAGTAATTAAAAATTTAATCCAGCCCAGCCAATGTGTAGTGAATATTTAACCGCACACAGAGCCGCGCATTAGAAATGATTAAAAAATAATGGCCCTAGAATGCTGATGGCCGCGTTGCTCTCCTTTTTTTCTCTCTCTTTCTGTCTTTTTATTTTAAGTGTACGTAAGTATACATTCGTGCGAATTTCCTGCAAGTGCAGTTGTACATATACCTAAGAACGAGTAAGAGACCTTTTTTAACGCTGCGTTGTGAGTCCTTTGAGGGCGCAGTATACACCAATAAAATAAAAAGGTCGACTTATTTGTAAGTCCCTTGGAGAAGAGAGCGAGAGAGAGTCCACCGCACAGCAGCCTCGTTTTTGGACTCGCAGCTGCACTTTAATGATAAATTATATTTTTTCACGACCTGCGCGATAAAATAAAAAAAAAGGGCTTGTCGAAAGGCAAGTTTAATTTTGCGAGAAAATCCTCATCTTTCTTTTATCGCCCAATATTGCATTATATATCGTGTGCACAACGTATAATCTCGTAAATATAAGTTCAAGGATATCTCGCGCGTCAAAATTTTCGAGAAAGTCGGCAGGGGCGGCTTTCTTCTTTCGCCATCGTGCTATACTTACACAACCTGCAATTGTGCCTCTCTTGTGCAAAGCCCAAAGGATTGCGCCTCGATACGATTCGGAAGATAAAAAGAAAGAAAAGAAAGCAACAACAAAAAAATCAGGCTCGAGTTCGAGTAAATGATTTTCTCGAGTGAGTTTCGCGTGTGTGTGTTCACATATAAACACACTTGACCTAATCTAATCGAACGCGAGAGCGAGTTGCATGTATACACATCACAGATCGCGAGTAAGAGAGAGAGAGCGAAGAATTTCCGCCTCGACGAGCAAATCCCACCAAGCTATTTTGCAGCTATAGGGGGGATGTGCTATGTGAGTGTGTGTATAATACACAGCACGCTTACTTACGTGCACGGATAAAATTTCACAACTGCACTCGTGCACACAGTCCACCGCTCCATGTGTGTAACGAGCTTATATTATTACATAGCCCCAGCTGTGTGCCGCATGCTCACACACGTCCGACTAACGACTGACTTGTACTACTTATTATATGCCATTTGCACCCGATTAGCCTTATTTTGTTGCTGTTGGTTTTTTTTTCTTCTCTAATACAGAGCTGTGTAATCAATGTATAGGTAGGTATTATATTCGTCGGATAAAAAAAGAGAAAAAAAATTGTTATCGTAGTATGCACGTCGATATATACGGTGAAAGTCGATCGACTGTGTAGTGTGTAGAAGCAAAGGGCCAAAATCGAATGTACGTCGCGCGGATGCATCGATGAAGGATTTTGACTGACACGTGCAGGTGTATATACGAACGGAACAATGTCAATCTCGATTGTCGATATAACACACACACACACACCCACACACACGTTTTATATGCGTTTTTGCCCGTCGACAAAATTGTTTCATCCGAGTCGATCCCTGTATACCTAACTCCTTGCCGAAATGCCTCGTTTTTCTTTTTCAATTATTTGGCGTGCATTTGTCGTACTTATATGCACGTGCAGGATAAATTTATGCACGCAACTCGTGCAAAAATTTTTCATCGATTTTGCGGAAACGTGCGAGCTGGTAGGGGTACGTATGCACTCGTTGTTTAATTCCTGGAAGGTATTTCGCGGAACCAAAACGCCCACCGGAGTGTTTGGCTGTGCTCTATTAGCAAATGTCATCGTGACACGCTTGTATATAGTTGCAATATCCAGTGTAATTCAGCGAAATAGTAAAAGCTGCAGGGGCACAATTGTCACGACGTTTGATTCAGCGTGCGCAAAGTCGCGAATCCTTTCAGTTTACTCTCATGAAAAAAAAGAAAGGAAAAAAATTAAATAAAGGCAATCACATTTGCTCGATGGTGGCTTTCATGCGTGTAGAGAAAACTCATATCTAGTTTACGTCCGTATCGAGTGCGCAGTACGCGGCGCATAAACCGTTTTGGTTCTTTCACAAAAGAGAGCAAATATTGCGTGTGCTGTTGACCTTTTCATCGGGATAATTAATAGTGGAGAGCGTATATGAGGTAGCGCTAGCGCGGATGGCTGTGCTGTGTACACGTACATAAGCCAGTTTATTGAGTGAACTTTAATTTTTCGAGACAAGCATCGAGAACGATGCAACTTCCGTTGAGAATATAAATAAATAATATTGAGCTACATACTAGCGCTTAGGGTCTGGTCCAGAAGAAGATGAAAAAAAAATAAAGTCAAATGCGTGCTAGCTTAGCTCTAGCAACATAATGTAACACGCCACAGACTACAAAATACAGTATTAATCTCGTTAAAGCTTGGAAAACGGTATTATATCGACGATGAAAACGAATCATCATTATTTATGCATGCTCATATTTTCGCATGAAATACCAACTCTCGTTGCGCGCAGCTAGGTATATATACACATCGCAATGCTCACTGTGCGGAGCTGCAATTCGAGCTCCCTCTCTCTCGGACTACAGCAGCTAAAAAGTAATTAACACCCTGTACTCGGCGAGGGAGATGAAATTTATTGGGCCAGCAGCACAAGTATTGTGCACCGCCACTTGTATAAATTTGTTTGAAATATTAGATTTTCATGCAGAAGCGGCAGCAGCAGCTGATTAAGAATATTTTTCGTTGTATTTTGCTCTCTTCTCCCCCCTACTCCCGTATATTATATCGCGAGAAAATTTTTCTGCAAAATATATACTGCCACGCGCGTTGCGAGAGAGCCGAGGCAGGAGGGAGCGCAACTGCATGGCGAACGTGACGTGGAATATACGTTTGCAGCATGAATAAATATAAAAAGTAAAAAGTAAAAAAAAAAAGAAAGAAATCCTGCCGAAGCTTTCGAAATAAATCGAAATGTCGATTTGTTTGACCTCGCAAATTAAAACTTTTAATCTTCGGTATTTATGCTTTTCGCATATAGCATATAGCTGTTGCTGCTGCTCTCCTGGACTGAAATCGTTGCCACTGCGGTTTTCGCGTATAATACACCGAAAAATTGCACTCGACGTGTCATCGATTTTTCCGCGGATCGTTCGAAACGCATTTTTTTTTTTTTTTTGGTTAAGTGCTGTGCGCGCCGAAGAAAGTGCAGTGCAGTACAGAGATCACGTATAGTGGGGATCCCAGCATAGTATAGAGTCAGGCTTTACGTAACCGCGTGGAGGCGGCAACTCGTCGTAGTCGGCAACGGATCAAAGTACCGTGTGTGCCACTGCTATTTAAACTACCTATACTACTGTGCCGCAGTCTCGACTGGCTGTCGCGTGTTGCGAGCCAGGATAAATACTGCAGCGCAGCGAGGCACACACCCAGAAAGTAGGCGAACACATGCACACACACGTGCACATGTGGAAAGAGACTTTCACGTTGTATGTACGGTGCACATATACATGGCAGGGAGCTGCCCTCAGCGGTAACTTACTTATAACTTTCCGACGACGGAACGTCACTTCGGGGACGCCATGGAAGTACACGCTTGTATACATGTGTGTGCATATTAGGAGACAGCAACCTGCCCTATACATGTATATAGCACTGCACACATCCGATACCATCAGCTGCTGCTTCTGTCGCTGCTGCTGCGGTCCGTTAATTACAAATCCGATGGGGAGGAAGAGCGAGCGAGCGAGCGCGCAAGAAAGAGGAAATTAAGCGGATCGTTCAGGAATTTAACGAAGGCGTCCCGCAGTATATATGCAGTGTATAAGCCGCCTATGGCGCGGCGCAGCAGCTATATAGCTCTCGCTCGTCACTGGCAGCTAGTAGTACGAATCAATATATAACCGAGAAATGCGCGAGGATTTGCACGACGACCAGCGACCGTCCGACCAACCGACTCGTCCGTTGTGCATAGAGATAGGCAAACGATTCATTCGATATGCGAATATATTACGCGGAGGGCAGCTTTCGAGCTGTCCAACTATTATACGGCTGATTTGAGAGAGCGAGAAAGAAAATTCGAAATTCTTTTTCGAAAACGAAAAAATGCACATCGATAAATTATCGGCCCTTCTCCCCCTTGGGAGAGGATTAAATATTCATACAGAGCGGAGAGAGAGAGAGAGAGAGAGAGAGAATGCGCCACATGCTATGCAGTGTGTGCAGTGCTGCGCTACTATATGCACGATTACGAACACATTACGTAATGGCAATAATGCTGCAACGACGCGCAACGTCCAACGATTTCCTATCGCCCCCCGCGCGCGTACGTACATACGTAAGGCCAATATATTCTCCTCTCCTCGTCTCTGTTTTCTCTCTCTCTCTCTCTCTCTCTCTCGTAGCACAATAATGGCACAGAGAACCTTGGGGGTACGAGCCCGCCCCCGTGCACCGCATTATCGTTATTATCATTACGAGCGTCGTAGCGAGCATGTGTGTTTTTGTGGATTACAGATCTCTGAGCTAGCTGAGTAATGAAAAAGTTGCAGACTTGTTCTCGTTTCTCCTTCTAATTTCAATGATTAGACGAGATAGAGCGAATAAAAAAGAAAGAAAGAAGCTGACCGCGAGAAGTAAGTCAGCAAACGTGCTCTATACTACCATCCTATATATCGAATCGCGGTGTGCACTGCGTGTGCAATAGTCCCCCCTGCGCGCCTGCACTCGCTTGAAGGTAAAAGAGCACGAGTAACGGTGCAATACTGTCCAGAGAAAGAGAGACGAGCGTCTTTACACTTGCACCGCGAGAGAGACACACACACGCGCGTAACTAGTACCTATGTATTTATTAATAGATACTATAATCTGCGCTCGTCTAGGTACCATCGATTACCATGATGTCAATATAAAAATGGAACTTACGTCGATTGTTGTTGTTGTCGCTGCTGTATCGTCGATTTCGGAGCGAGCGTGTGTGTCGCCGCTTCTTCGAGCGTCGTTTTTTTTTTCTCTTGTTGCACTGGCACGAATTTATTTGTATAGGCTGAAACTATTTTAATTCCTCTTCTTCTCCTCTTCTCTTATTACTATTATTTAATTTTTTTTATTATATAAAAAGAAGAAACGATGCGAGGATGCAGGCACTGATTATCTTCGACAGAGATTAGAGAAAGATTAGAGATCTTGAGGCATTCGTAAAAGAGAGAGATTTTTTAAATCGAGAAAAAAGAGACAACGACGCACAGTAGTAGTAGTAGTAGTAGATAGTGGTATAGAAGTGGCAGCGGCTGGCAGCGGTTATTAGAATAGCGGCAATTTTTTTCTCCGCACTCTCACAACTCAAAAAACACACGAGAACGATGCACACGAACAAATGAACTTGACACACTTGCAAAATAACGACGATATCTTCTTCTTTTCTATTTATTTATCGAACACTTCGACGCACTCACACAGACACAAATATATAATAACACTCGAGTAGTCGTCGTCGACGATGTTTTGTTGCAATAATATAACGATTAGTAAATTATTATTCTTTTTTTTCTGGTAATCTGTGCGATTGGTGCTGTTTTCTCTCTCGCGGTTGAAATTTCGCCCTGTCCTATACTGCTTCTGCTGTTTTCTGTACAGCCAGAGTACAGTAGCTGGTATAGAGCAAGAGAGAGAGAAAAAAAATATTGAGCATATACGTATAGCTGCTGCAACTGCAGTGAATTTATATATATATATATAACGCGTACAACAGCAAACGTGTGCAGCAGCACACACACGTACGTATGTATATATTCTATACTCTGGTTATGTGTATAAGTTTGGTTGTTGCTCGCTCCCTCCCTCGGGCTACATCGAAAGCGGACGACTCTCTGCTGTGCTAGTCGTGCTGTGCCTAGTATGCAGTGGTAGTAGACGACGACGCTCCGTACCACCAGCGCATTTCCCTCATTTTTTTTAATAATAATATAAACGTTTTTGCTTCGTAGTCGTCGCCGTCGTCGTCGTTTGGGAGACTTTTATACGTATTTTCTGGGGTTTTATTTTCTTGCAAAACGAGGTGGAGTAGAGAGAGAAAAAAATCTCAAATCGAGTATAGAGTCGTGTGTCAGTAGTCAGTCTTGCGAGTAGTAGTCGTCGTCGTCGTCGATCGATGCCCTCATATCGCTCTCTGCTGTGCTCGGTTCTTGCGGGTTGCTCTCTGTCTTTCTCGACTCCGTTTCTTTCTTTCGTCTTCACCTTTATAGCTTTCTTTAACTCGTTCGACGACTTGGTCGTTTTGGTTGTTGTTGTTGATGACGATGATGACGATTATGATGCGAGAAAGGCAGGAGACTCATGTTTTCACTCCCGCCGTGTGCTGAACCGTCGTCGACTCTGCGCTATTGTGACTTTTGCACTCGCGATTCACACAAGTCACACACAAAAACAGGCTATTATATTCTCAGAATCTGACCCAGTCGCTCGCTCGCACACGCAGCACAGTTCTTGACGTTCACTTACGGCGTTTCATTCGAGACGTCGCGAGTTCGGAGCAGACTCGGTGAATCCTGACACTTCTCTCATCGATGACGATGACGAAGAAGCACTGCACACACGTACACTCTTTGCCTCTTGACTTTTCTTATTTACAGATATACGTACAGATATCAGTCTATGGTCGGAGCTAAGACTCGCGCGATCCTATCACGTGCAATCCATAATATCGTTTATTTATCTGACGTCGTCGTGAGCGAGCAACAATTCGAACGCGCACATTTTGACGATCGAAAAAAAACCGTTTTTTCACTTTTTTAGTATTTTTTTTATTCCATGCAGCGCGAGATTTTCGTATATTACAATGTATTATTATGTGTATACATGAAGGTGTGTGTTGTGGCTCTTGGTCGTCTCACAGCCCCACTGACACACTGCAGGCTGCAAGCGAGGCGAGTGAGCTGAGACACCACCACCACTACCACCACCACCACCAGCACCTCTACTACCACCACCGACGTTTTCTCTCTGCTCTGCGGCTCTCTGTCGTGTCTGTGTGTACGTTTCTGTACGTGTGCGTTTGCTACTGCTGTGCACTGACAGAGTGACGGCTCGTTCACCCTGCGCCGCTGCTCCGCGTATATTCCACAGCCGTCCGCGACACCCGCAGCAACAACGACCAACGTCTTGGCAATTTCTAAATCCAAGTAGCAACGGCTTTTTTCGAACGATGAAAATTCAAATAAACATTTAACGAGTAGAACGACGAGACGAGCATTCGTTTTCGTCGATTAATCGTATAACGTGCAGTGTGCGTTGTTTGCTCGCGCGCGCATTCGCACACGCACACATGTGCATAGTAGTCTTCCTCTCTCTGTCCCTCTTATTGCACACGCGCGCGCGCGTGTATACGTATAATAATGTACGTGGAGTTCTGTATATAGCTATATGTGTGTCAGTGGCGAGTTCTCTACTACTGCCGCGCTGACTTACCCTCACCACTGTACCACCACCACCACCATTGCATTTTGCAACCCCCTTCGTTTCCTCAGTCGCGCAACCCCTTCCTGTGGCGGCGGCTCTATATAACACCATATCTTCCGTCTCTGTTCGACTCTCGCTCGTGCTACAGGGGATATACGAATATATAGAACACACACGCATGGCCAGTAGTATAGATGTATATAGTGCAGCGTACAAAAAAGGAGGGCTGCGCGCGCAAAGAGTATACAGTTGCCCTACCTATAACTCGATTTCTTTCCATGCACACGGACACACAGGCACAGAATGCAGCTACGTGGGTGTGTGCGTGAGCGCGATAGTTCTTTTATGGATAATTTACACCGAAGAATCGAAGAGCCAATGTGGCGCGTGCATTTTTGCTTTTGCTCTTTGGCTAGCTGCTGCTACTGCTGCTGCTGCTGCTACTCGAAGAGGAGGAGTTGCTCTCGTGTATATTATGTACCACGAAAAACACCCTTGTATTCCATCGCGAGAATTTTCGAATTCCGAATTATAATCCGCCCAGCAGCGAGAATTCGTGTTTCGAATAATTCAGCTATATACGCGTGCCAAAAATATTCAATGACGTTTTCAGCAACTTCTCGAGGATAGAAGAGGATTATGGTATTTACATAGGCGATTATTTCAAGACAAAACACATAAACCGATTGAGTGAGCGAATGAAAAAAAAATTGCTTCAACCGCTATTCAATAAATGTTATGGGTCAAGAATACTAGAGTCACCGATTTATACGTAAGAGTAAAAAAAGAGAGCGCGAATATTACGCGCGCGCACGGATTACGAAGTATTAGCGCGAGACTGGCTAAAATTCAAAATCGACAAGCCAGCCAGTGAAAAGTTGATTACTTTCGCCCGAGTTGCGAAAAAAAGAGAGAGAAAAACTACTAGAGAGCTGTATCTTACTTTTCGCTAATACATTTATAGCCGCGCGTTTTTCCTCCGTAAAGTTCGCTATTGAATTATTTACATCGCGCCAGGGCTTATAGAATCGAAGTAAGTACACGCGCGAGATGTGTAGTGTACGTCGGATGTAGTGCGCATTCGATTCTTCGTACGTATATCAATAAAATACTCATAAGATGCAGTATATGCGCGGATAAGCGTCTATCTCCAACGCTCGCAGGGGATTTACGTAGCCTCGTATAATTACCGAGAGAATTCGAAAAATATATGTCTTTGCGAGATAAGAAGTGCAAGAAAAAAAAAGAAGAAAAAAAAAATTAAGTGCCCGACGACGACTGCGAGGACGACGACGTCAGCTACTCTTGTGTTCTGCCCAGTCGTCGCCCGAATAAGTAAGTAGTAAGAGTCAAGCTGCATGCAGCGCGCAGACCCCCTTATCTATCTCTCTCTCTTTCTGATGCTATATATATACGGTATAAAAGTAGTAGTGTACGAGTGGCGCTGCTCGGGAGGCGCGGATAGTTCTGTTTTGCACTCGCTGCTGGATGGCACGATATTATATATGCAGCAGCAGTAGAGCGAGCGCTGCCGCCGCCGCCGCCGTCGCTGCAGTCCGTGCATATCGTGTACGTGTATACGTATGTATGCATATATCCCTCCAGTGCTAACGGATCAATGAAAATGTTCCTTTTCTTGGTGTGGACGTGTCTCTCCCTCCCTCCCTTCCCCCTACCCTCAGCAGCGATCCTGCGCGCACCACCCTCCCTCCTTCTCTCCCTGCATCTCTCTGTTTCCCTCTTTTGCTCTTTTCTATGTAACGCGCGCGGTGCACAGTTGCAGTCTTGCGAGTCTTGTGGCAGCAGCAGCAGCGGTATTGCCCCTTTTTTTTCAAAAGCGAGACTGACGAGAGGCGCCAAACTCAGACGCCTGCCAATTTTGGCCTAATCGCATCGTATATATGGGCTCATGATGTGTAAATATGCTCCGAATAGTCTCCGATGGCCCTTTGTGTGCGCTAGCTGCGCTGCGCCGCCGCCGCTGCTCGCGCGCGCTAATGGCTACATTACGACAGAAATCGAAAGTCATTTGCCTGCGAAATGGGACACCGACACGCGCGGCCTTGTCTGTACACACACTTCGACTGTTATAAATACGCGCGGGGGAGTAGGCCGACGGCCGACGACGATGACAAAAATCTAAAGCTAAACAACGACCCCCGCCTCGCGATGATCGGGATAATTTACCCCGTAGACGGATTTATTTATATAAATAATCTTCCATTTGTTCGGGGAGCCATCGGCCCGCGCCACTTATCAACCCTCCCCCAAACGAAAGCCACCGATGGATCGGCGATAAGCCGCGTCGAGTGGACGGATATTAATACCCACCGGACGTGGAACAATTGGCTTGTATATCTCTTGTATTCAGGATGTATTCGAACGGAGGAGTGCACCGAAAGCTCAGGATCGATGCTTATAAAGCTCTTATTTATCGCTCTTGACAGGCATTTATAAAGAAGAAAGCTCGACTTTTCGAGTAAAGAGAAGAAAATTAATTATTAACGCAAATGTCGTTACGCATTTATACGATTTATCTAGATCGCTCGATATGTGCACAGATACATTACGATGTGTCTTACCAAAACTCCAGCTTTACTGCGCGATGCCGTGGTATTATTTACTAATTTGATGACGCGGATAAACTTTGCAATTGTGGTAGCTTACAGCATCTGCTTGGAATTATTCACTCCCTTTGCAGTATTTGATGCGATTAAATCATCCTGGGATCGAGGTTTGGATACACAAAAAAAAAACGGATCAGCGCATAATTAGTATTCAAAATATTTAATCAATATCGTTAATTGATTCATCATCATTTTACAAAATTGTCATCTTTGAGAAAAATTCATTGGTTTTATAAACTGCCTCGCCAAAATTAATTGGTTAGACAAATCATAATATGTGATAATTACACATAATCAATTTGTAGCTGTATTTTGTAATTAGATTGTTTACTGCAAGTTCATCTGAATTAAAGCAATAAGATTATTACCCTATATTCAGAATGTCATTGTGTTGATGTTTACAATTATTGTAATCGCAGGCATCAAATGACTAAAAATGATATTTTGCATCTGATGCCTACTCTTAATTATGCTATATTACATCTAAAAGAAAAATTATAATACACTATCGGGTCTGTGTTGTTGCTTCTTTCCTTGCTGCATCTTGTAGTAATTGGGTATCAACTTCATCTCCAGGTAACTGAACGTAACGAACAACAGATCCTCTGATAAAACAATTTTTAACAGATCTCTGAAAAGTTAGATAACATAAATTAATTAACTAACATTAAATGGACATTTATTTTATGATAAAAATTAATATACCATATGAGGATATTTATCTTGATCAGTAACTAAGATATCTGTCAGTTTAATATTCAAGTATTGGTCCACTGAATGCAGAACCCCACAAATACTAAAAAATATAAAAATTAAGTTAATTATGTAAATACTTGAAAAATGTGCAACATTAGCAAATGGTTCACAACACAATTCAAATGTCAAAGAATTGTATCGCTTGAATAAACAAAACTTCTTGTTACCTTAGATCATTCTTGAGTTCAACAACCACATCTTTTCCCACCAGTGACTTGAAAAACGAGTAAAACAACTGCAAAAATTCAATTGATTATACCAGGAACATATTTAACATATTAAAATATTGAAAGAGTTATAAATATAAAGTGCTTTCTTTTAGGTTAAATAATTTAGTGGACCTCTAAATACTTCCACTATTAATTAAAGTTTTTAAATAAAATCTTACCATGATCAAAGAGCCGAGTAGTGACACGCTTGAAAAAAACTATAATTCAACTAATATATGGATGATAGATGTATAAATAAATGTTATCCTGAATTATTGATACCGGCTAGCTTGAGTGCAGTCGACAGTCATGAGTCGAATCGAGCAATGTTATTGTGTTCGATTTGAGAGCTTTAGTCTGTCACTGTTGGTAATGTATCAAGTGTACCAACAGAACTTCCATTATAACTTGGCGGGAATCCGCAGGTGTATGCGAGTTGCTCGACGAGAGTCGTTTATTCACCCTCTCGACCGCAAGTTGTTTGCAAAAACTAAAAATGCAAGCTTTTCTGAAGACTGGAAAACTGGGACCGTCGGAGCCTGGTACATCAAAAAGACCAAGAGAAACCAAAGAAGAAAGAAGTAGCAGGATTAAAGAAGCTAAACAAAAATGCACTCCTTGGGTTGAAAAATAGTGCGTATGCTTTTAACCTCATCTCAATTTGTTTTTATCTTTGTTTCTCTTGAATTTCCTTCAAATAAGAGACGATTTCTCATTTTCGTAATGACAGAGATATCAAAACGTAATATTGGCATAATAAACTTATTTTTAAATAGTTGAATATTCATAATGATATTTTTAAATTAAATTGTAAATTTAAAATTTTTAGCCGACCTAAAACTGTTGATGAAGTCGTGGAACAAGGAGAAGTCGTTGAAGTGCTTCGACAGTGTATGAGTGGGACTGATTTTCCTAATCTTCTCTTGTACGGTCCTCCAGGTACTGGTAAGACCAGTACAATCTTAGCTGCTGCCAGACAAATGTTTGGAGATCAGTTCAGGGAAAGAATTCTAGAGCTCAATGCATCTGATGAGAGAGGAATTCAAGTGGTCAGGGACAAAATTAAATCATTCGCACAGTTGACAGTTAGCAGCTATAAAGCAGAGTGAGCATTATATTTTTGTTAAATGATTTATTTTTGTAGTTGGTCAAATTTTTAAATGATGCTCAAAGTAAAAGGTCTGATGTTTACTATTAGATTTATCATGATTCCAAGAATAGCTAGCAGCCGGTTAATGTATCATAAAATTCATTGGAAAGTTTAATGAACATTGATTACATACCGGACATTGAAAATGCTTTGAAATGAAACAAGGAAACTGTAAAACAAAGTTTCTTCATTGTCAAACATAAAGCAAATATGCTTATGGAAAAGTAATTTTTGAGATAGAGCTTGAATTTTTATTATTTATTGGTTATTCTTGAAAATTGTTTGATTTTAGTTTTAGTTTTTTTTTTTATTTAAATTTAACTTTAGTGTTGTATTTCATAAATTATCTTGAAGATTATTCTTCTTGACATGAACTGTTTAACTACTCTGGGAAGTGATCAAATCTATGTACATAAATGATCTCAAAATAGTACTGATAAAATGGAAGAATATCATATATCATTGTTGAAATAATGAAGATGATTTTTTAAGTAGAGTAATTGCATTTCAGCGGCACTAAATGTCCACCATTCAAATTAATTATTCTTGATGAAGCTGACAGCATGACGGATGCAGCACAATCAGCTTTGAGAAGAACCATGGAGAAAGAAACAAAAAATACCAGATTTTGTTTAATTTGTAATTACGTATCTAGAATTATAGACCCACTTACCTCTCGTTGTACAAAGTTTAGATTTAAGCCTCTTGGAGAAGAGAAAATTATTGAAAGATTAGAATACATATGTCAACAAGAAGATTTGAAAGCAGAAAAATGTGTGCTCAAAGCTGTTAATGATGCAGCAGGAGGTGATTTACGTAGAGCAATAACTTGTTTACAATCTGTCACAAGACTTAAGGGAAAAGGAATTGAAGTATATCTTGAAGATGTTATAGAAGTAACTGGTGTAAGTAATAATTATACTTTTTTTGAATGAGTATATTTAAAATCTCAATTCAAATTATGCAACATCTTTTAATACATGTCATATTAGCAATAAAACAATTTTTTTTTACAGTTTGTTCCAAGAAAATGGTTAGATGATTTGATTCAAGTGTGTGAAACCAAAAATTACAATGAAGTTGAAGCTTATGTTGATAAGTTTATGTTAGAAGGTTATTCAGCAAGTCAGGTAAAATATTTCATACAGATTGATATGTTTCTAGTCTGTAAAAATTTAATGTTTAATTTGTTTTAGGTTGTTGATCAACTAAATGACATTCTTATTTTTTCGAATCAACTTACTGATAAACAAAAAGCTGTGATTGGCGAAAAACTTGCGGTGAATAAAATTTTTTTATTAAATAAAATAATTTATTACTAGTAATTTTATAATATTTATCTACTTTTTTTCAAATCTAGGAATGCAGTTACAGATTACTAGAGGGTGGAAGTGAATATGTACAGTTTATGGATCTTTGCTGTGGAATTATAACGGCATTTGAAATATGTTAATTGCGTAAGGATTCACTTGTAAAATTTCTAAAAAAATTTCAGTAAGACAGAAATGAGATTTCTATCTTACGGATCTTGATACAAAATTTTAGCGTGTAGAAAATGTTAATATCATAACTTTGGCACATCCGATTTAAACAATTCAAAATCAGGATTGCAAACACATTGTTTTAACATTCAATGATCAAATAAAATAGTCGCGAAATATTTTCTTATACTGATTAACATCGTTGCATTAATTTATTGTGATTACCATCTAGTGCCTATTTGACAGTTATTTTGCATAAAATAAATATAATTCAATGTTATATAACAAATATGAATTATATGCAAAAATGTTTCTACGTCGTTTTTAAAAAATAATTTACAGCTTAAAAATTCATCATTGGATAATAAAACATTTACAAAGAGTCGAAGCCCTAATCCGTACCGCGTACTTATGTCTGTATTAAAAAGTTATAACCTTCATTAGCTAACTTGCGTTATATATCATACAATATAATCACACATACATTCAATTTAAGTCATAACATTTTACAAAATCGAAACGTTCGATTGCATATAATTTTTTATTACATGATTTTCTGTTTTTCCCTATTGGATCATCGTTTTGTGTAGTATAAATTTTACACATAACTGAAGTATTTTATGCATCAATAAAATACTGAACCAACCCTATAATTAGTCTCATATTCAATCATTTTACCTAAAAACATACATTCGTCATTTTAAAATTACATTCAAGTCTTAATTTGAAGGCTCGCGCACTTGTTTTCGCACACTAGTCTTTTAGTCGTTAAACGAGATTAAAGTACACAAATCTTCTTTTTAATAAGGCGGTGGATGCTGCTGATAAGGATGCTGCGGCGGTTGATTCATGCTTCGCTGCAAATGTGCAACGAGCTGCGAGGTCGTTTGCTGTCCAACATTGCCGGCTTGCTGTTGCTGCACTTGCTGTTGCTGCTGCTGTTGTTGCTGCTGCTGCATCGCCATTATTGCCCGCATTCGCTGCTGCTGATTCATGGCCATTTGCTGCTTATTTGGTGATAAATGAGGCATAAAGTTATTATATAGACGACGATAGTGACGATCTTTAATAATACGTAGAGCAGGATCCTTAATTTACAATTTTTAATAAAATGAAATGAAATGAAATGATATGAAGAAAAAAAAACAAAAAAAAAAACAAAAATAAATTTTTCCTTGTCTAAACTTCAAAATATAGTTAGTTTTTAATTATACCGGTTGCATGTGTTGATTTGGTTGAAGACCCACATTAGCCTGTCCGACTCCCCCAACGCCGCCAACATTGCCGACTCCAACTCCAGGTTGACCAGCCGCTTGTCTGTATGGTGGGGCTGGTTGATTCGGAACGCCTCCGCCCATTGGACCCATCGTATTCATCGTTACATTAGGCGCCTGCTGTAAAAGAAAAAGACAGTCCGCATGCAAACAGCCGTTCGGAAAATAAAATATCTTAAGTCAGAGCCGACTTACCTGCATGTATGGTGGTCTTGGCGCTCCAGGCTGCATTCGCTGTTGCTGCATGTACTCTTGACCTCGCTGAGAGCTCATTAATTGCTGCTGCTGACTCTGTGCGTTCATCATCTGTTGCTGCTGTGTCTGTGCATTCATCATTTGTTGCTGGTTCTGGAACATGTTGGCCTGCTGAGCCATCATATTCTGCTGTTGCTGTTGCTGCTGTTGTTGAGGTTGTTGCTGCTGTGCCAGCATCTGCTGTCCACCGTAGCCTGTGTAATTTTGATTCATTCCTGGCATATTTTAAATTTAATTTTATCAACAGTTCAACGTTTAATTTGACTGCGATTTGACCGTGATGAAACGAGACTTACCCTGCTGCATACCCTGATAGACGTTCTGCTGCTGCTGCGGTTGAGGCTGTTGCTGCTGTTGTTGCGGAGCGAACATGGCTTGCTGCTGGGGCTGCATACCAGGTGGCCCGGTGTGAGTATTTCTGCCTAAGTGTTGCTGCCTAATATACTGATTCCGCATACCCTGAAAAGCGGCGGGCCCCGTGACATTCGGAGGAGCCGCATTGGGAGGAGCTTGCACGGGTCCACCCTGCTGTTGGTTCATGAACGGATGCCGGAGTCGCAGCATATTGGTCAGAGCCTGCTTGGACTGCGATTGATTCATTGCTCCGGGCCGATCGTAGCGCGGCCCACCCATGTTCGGGCTGTAGGGATACTGCTGGGGCGGCCCCTGCGGATGAGGCGCCTGCTGAGTATTCGTATACCACTGCTGAGGATTCTGCGGCTGGGGCTGCGGTTGCGGCTGAGGTTGATTCGGGAACATGCCCGGTTGTTGGGGCATGGACTGGGGCTGCTGACCGCCGTACGGTATCGGGTGCATCTGCGAGGGATTCGGTTGAGGCTGCTGAAAAAGAGAAACGTGTCGGTAACTCTTGCACAAGTACTTGTAAATTTGATCGCGAGAAAAACAAAAGAAAACAAAAACTAACAGGTTGCATCTGCTGTTGCGGCTGCATCGGATTCGCCGGAGTAGCGAGCTTGGGCTTCTTATGCCTTTTCGTCTTCAACGTTTTTCCTTTGCCGCCAATGATTCTGCCGGGCGAATCGATACTCATCGGGGTGTCGGCCTTGCCAGGCTCCAGATCTTTCTTGTCGGGTTCGAGATCCTCGGGTGGCAGGGGCGGCGACTCCAGATAATACGACGCCGAGCGGGTCTGATTGTGCGTGTGGAAGCGTAAGAGCTTGTGGGCGTTCTGATAGGTCAGCGGTTTGCGCTCCAATCTGACCGCACGGAACCAAGCCCACGACAAGGGAGCCGGATTCTTATGACCCTCAAGCAACTCCCAGGCAGAAATTCTTTGCGAGTTATAGACTTGTAGTCCCTGCTTCTTGTCGATACTGTTGAAGCCGGCGATCTTGTTGCCCTTGGTGTCGGTGATGCAGCCAACTTGCTCGCAAGTAATGACCTCCATCGTGACCTTGGGCAGGGGCAACAGCTGCCGGACGAACTGTATGCTCTGCGAGTTCTTGTCGCCCAGCTCCTTCTTCAGCTTCTTCATGAGGTTCTGATAATACTTTTTGTTCTCGTCCTTCTCGCACTGCGTGTCCGAGACCAGAGTGGAATGTATCAAGTTGCTGAGCATGTCGATCACGGTGGTGAACAGCTCGGCGTTGTTGTTGAGATCGATCACACCGTAACTGACCAGCTGGACGAACAGCAGGGCCCAGTCGTTCGTTACGGTGATGTTGCGCTGTATCGTGTCGAAGACCCCGCCGACCAGACTGAAGCGCAGCTGCAGCGCGTCCTGCAGGCTCTCGCGTGCCTTGGGCTCCTCGCAGCTCGACGACTTCTCGTCCTTGCTGGCCGTGCAGAATTGCGAGAGCTGCAGGTGCAGGGAGGTGAGCAGCCCCTCGCGCTGATCGTCCTGGCCCTTCAGGCAGGTCAAGACGAGCGACAGGAACGGCTGATGATTGAACATCGACGGGCTCTTGGATCGTCTCTCGCGGCCGGTGCTCTTCGCCCAGTTGCCGGCTTCCAGCACCTGACCGGCCACTTTGAGAACTCTGCCCTGCACAGCGCTGGGTAATTTCGATACCAGCGGTGCCACCAGCCATATGGAGTCCGGGCGCTTTTCTGCTTTCGCACTGATCGAGGTGCTGTTCAGTTGGAAAACGTCGATCGCCGCCTTGGCCACGGTGTCCAGCCAATTTGACAATTCTATACTGTTGGGTGGAAATTGCCGGTACATGAGTTGAAGATCCAACCAGGACATGCGCAAACTCCATTGCTCCAAATTTTCCAGGATATTAGTTATGTGGGTTTTCTGGTCGAGAAAAGCGTCGGCGGACGTGTCCGGATAGCAGATCATGTGCAGTAAACGTTGAGCTTGTCGGGGCGTCAGCAGGGCATCGAGCAGCATATCGTCTTGGCAGAGCTCCTCGGGATTCTGCAAACACCGCTCTAACACCCACTCCTGGCTGCATATCTGACGTAAAACGTAAAGAGCAAAGTCCGACAAGCTCTTGACGGTCTCGTTGGACATGCCGGTGCCGTTGCTCGACGACGACATGCCCAGGTCAAGATTGAGATCGTCGCCACCGCTGAGTATGTCACTGGTGCCCAGAATGTGGCTTATGGATAATTCACCGGGTGCTCCTCCGCCCACGCTGTTGGGTCCTCCTTTACCGATGTTCATCTGCGCGTCGGGCTTTTTGGTAAGCTGCTTGACAGCCGTGGCATCGCCAACAACCAGGATGGCCTTGAGCACTGCGATCAACGGCCCAACGCTGATGTTGTTGTGAGCCGAGGCCAACAGATGCCTGTCGGAGCTGAGCTTGATACTGATGTTACGCTGACTTCCTTGGCTGGGTAAAGGATGCGGACTAGTGCTGACCGAATAGAGTGAAGGTTGAGGACATTCGGAGGTCTTGAAGAGGCGTAGTATCAGATGAATAGCCAGTCGCACGCCGGCCTGTATCTCGATGTCGAGCTCTCGGGCGTCGTTGTTGCATGCCTTTACCAACGACGGTATGGCGATGTAACGGATGAAATCCTCGAGCAAGAAACATTGTCGGGCGATGAGTATGCATGTGAACACGCCCAGCGAATTGTGCATGCTGAGATCTTGAACGTCGACCAGTTGGAGCAGATCGACGTAGGAGAGGGTGTGAGCGGGATGCGCGGCGCACATGGTGGCGATGGCGCAGAGCCACTCGTTGGCCAGGGCGCCGCAGTAGGAGGTGAGCTCGGCGCACATGATGCACAGATCGTTGAGCTTGTCGTTGTCCGTCTCGTTGCAGATACTGATGATGGTGTTGGTGACGAAGCTGTAGCGATTGGGCAGCGACTCGTTGAGCACCTTGGCCCACTGGAGCTCGATCTTGCCGCCCCGACGCGGATTGTTCACCACGTCCAGCATGAATTGAGGGGTGTAGAGTTGTTGCGTCGGCACCAGCACGAGCGACGTGAAGTACACGGCTCGGATCTTGGGATAGGCGTTGTTGAATCCCTCCGAGCTGTGAGGCTTAGACTTGAGCAGAGAGCAGTGCAGATAAAGATCGTGCAGATACGCCAGTATGCATCGCTCGGACGAGCTGCAGTCGCTCGGATTAGACACGTGAGCCACCAGCTTGCAGAGCAAACTGAAGACGGTGGTTGCCTGCTCCGGGGACAGCAGCAGGCAGCTGTGATAACGCCTGAAAACGCCGACGATGTACAGGCACAGATTGGTCGTGTAGTTTCGCACAAGGTTGCTCTTGCGAGCGTCGAGCTGAGCCTCGACGTCGGGCAACTCCTTCAGTATCTGAATGCTGATGTCGATGAGCGCGTTGATGCTCAATGATAACTCCATCAGATCGAAGAGAAACGCGACGTGCTCTTGGACGGGCAGATACGACGAGCCCGTTACGAAGGTGTTGAGCATGTCCACGACTTGAGTGGCGCACTGCCACGTGACGACGTGCTGATCGAAGTAGCTGAGATTCTGGAACTTCTGCGTGATCGCCTCGAAGTTGAACTCGCTGCGCGAGTGCTTCTTCACTTTGCCGCCCTCGGCCACATCGATGCTGAACTTCTTGCCGAAGAGCTTGCATACCTCCTTGGTCATTTTTTTCACAAGGTGACGCGCCTCGTCGCGAACTCGGCCGACACCGTAAAGAAGTACGTGACGCTGATTGCAGTCGTGTTGGCTCGTGCTGTCGTCCTGTGGTAGCGGGAAGTGCGTGGTGTAGAGCAGGTGTCGGCTGCCCCCGCTCATGCTGCTCTTGTTCGTGCTGGTGTCCTGCACGGTGTGCAGCGCGTCGGGATCCTTGGGACTGTCCGGCGCGTCCATGCTGTTCTGGTGCACGGTGTTGATGTCGCGCAGCAGCTTGTCGAGGTCGTCGTCGATTTTGCTGTCGTCCTCGTGGGCACCGCGCATCTGGTCGAGATGCGGCACCCCGTGAGGCTCGACGAGCTTGCTCGGTTTCATATCGATGCCGGAAAACATGCCGTTCATGTCGGCGTCCATGGGATCGCGATTGCTCGGCGTGTTGGGCTTGCTGGCCGCCGGGCCCTGCATGAGATCGCCCCGAGATATGAGGGTGCACATGTAGGCGTCGTGCGAGAAAACGTCGTGCCTGATGAGCTCGGCGAACAGATGGACCAGGTTCGTGAACTGCACCTTGCTCTGGACGGACGAATTGTCGAGAACAGGCGCGTCGTTGTCTAAAAATTTCATCAGCAACCCCTGGAATATCGGCAACAAGGAGGCACCGTTGCCGTTGCTGCAGACGCTCTCCTTGTCCTCGTTGTCGTTGTTCTCACCCGTGGCTTCGGCTTGACGTTTCTCCAGGAGTTTGGCCACGGCCATGGCCCGATGTTCACCCCAGCGTTCGGCGCTCACAGCCCATTCGCACAAGATCTCCACTATAGCCGCGTCTTGCTGCGGCGAATACTCGTGCTTCGAATTATTGCCGTTATCGTTGCTACTGTTGCTACTGGCAATGCTATTACTGTGAGCGTTCGCTGATGCTGACGAAGATGACGGGAGTACCAGACTCATCGGTGGAGACGACGTTGCGGGAGGTGGGGCATTCGTCGGTGTCGTGAAAATCTTTGCGTACAATGTGTCGAGCGAGTGATTCGCGTCCATGCGATCAAAGCTATGACGGTCGAGGGAATCCAGTGTCGCGAGGATCTTCGTCGTTGTCATTCCTGTTGCAACAATTAATTTTGTTTTTAGCAACGCGATCGGTCCAAGTGTCAGAGCTTATGAATACTCACCAGCGCTGCTTTGTTGCCATTTATCGCATGACCAGCGGCTCTCGGCAGCTTGAGATCTCGCTCGAATTCTCTCCTGAGCTTGAGTGAGTTGCTGTCTTATCGGATCCGCAGGATTGCTCGATGGAATTGGCAAAACCGACGGGGGACACGGCAAGTGATCGAGAGGCGAGCCATTCAATGCGGAAGTGCATTTGCTCTCACCAACGTTATTCCAAACTAGCGCGGTTGGACATTCGATCGTTATTACCTGTAATAATTGATAATTGTAGCTTTGAAGTAAGGGCATCGTTGTACACGATTAAATTCATTTTGAATGTTGTTACCTGAATTATAGCGGATAAGCCATAAAGTACATCGCGGTGATGTGGGCAGTTTAAATAATCATTAAAAACTTGTTGTAACTGACTGGATATGGGGGTCGCAGCGTTAGCTTGACTTTCTGATTTTACACCATTTTCATTTTTAACATTTACGTTGCTATTTAGCACAGGACTTTGCGTTGCAGTTTGACAGTTTACCGTGTCTACGTTAACGCACATGTGAGCAATTTTACGGCAGCAAAGATAAGCTAAACGCCGAGAAAACAACTCCGATTGGACAAATTCTTCAATGTACTGAAGAGTCAATGGTATGAGGAGCTTTAGAATACCATCATCAGTAGGGGCAGAACGTAGTTTATCCAAGAGTTCAAGTATCCAACTTAAAAACTCTTGCCTATCGAGTAATCCTTCCTCAAACATGTACTTAGCTATAACAAATTGAAAGAAAAAAATACATAATTGAACAAGTTTTAAAAACTTTTCAAACTGATTAGGAGATGAGATAACTACCTAATTGATTACAATAGTGCCATTGCCTAAATGCCAGTTGGTGTTCTTCACTCATTGATCCACTACTTGAATTGGATGTACTACTATTAACATTAGTGGGAAGGTTGGGACAACCACTGATACCATTTGAAGTGGGAGTAGTGCCATTTGAAGTTGGTAGTGAAGGTGCATTACTACCATTAGAAATAGCACTGCTTCCATGATTTGATCCAGTATTGAGTAGGTAATAGTCATGAAGTTTTGTTAGTTGATCTTTCAGGAACTTTATAAGAGTACCAGTCCATTCTGTAATACAAAACAATTAAAATGATGCGTTCAGAAAATATTGAAATTTTGTTAACTTATGTACCTGTAGTAGGATCTGGTAACTGCCTCTTTTTGATTTTTGCTTCAGACACTGCCACTGTATAAGCAGAACTGAGTTTTATAAACCAAGCTGCCCTAAGCATGGGCACTTGGTATTCGCACAGCATAGAAAATATATCTTCTTTTTTATTGAAGTTAGGGGCCTTTTTAGCCAGCGATACTAAAGGCTTACAACCTGACAAGTCCTTGAACCAAGCCTCAATACCATTTTTAGTTCTAGCAGTTACCGGCCAAAAATTATCTTTAGGATTTATTTGTTGTCTTTTTCTTCCAGTATCAGGCATAGTGGCCAGTTCTTCCTTTTTTGCCATAATGGCATTGAAGAAAGCTCCAATTTTGGCCGCCGTGACAGGTAAATTTCTAGCAGAGCCATGTTCATCGGATAATTGAGATGTAGTCGTGAATCCATGTTTTACATTATTTGGAGTCAACTCATCTTCCTTTTGTTTTGGCTCTTGTGGGTAAACATCAGGCGGGCCAAGCCTGGGCCTTTTTAAAGGCCTCTTTTCGTACACCATTCCCATCATTTTATCGTGGACAATTTGTATATATCATTACCTAGGTAAATATTAATTACTAACTAATTGTGTAAAATCTTCAATGCTAAAGACACTCTATATCACCTGGTAGTGATAAAATTCTTCCATCTTTTACAATTTTTTACATTTGATGCACTGCATTCCATTCTTTCAATGGAAAGAAAGCACTATTGGATACTAGTTTTCTGCTTTAAAAGCACTTGTAAACCTACAAGCATATATACAATTATTATTATTTTTAAATCAATCACTACTGTACGCGAATACAAAACGCGTGTATTTAATAACATTCGATTGTCAGACACTGTTTACAATTAAAAAAGATTCGAAACAGTATTCTACCGTGCATTCAGAAGAAAAGTTTTGGAGTTTGCAATTAAAATAATCTACTTAGAAACACCTGATTATGTTGTTTCGAACGCGCTGATTAGAGCATTAAAAAGTAGTGTGTACCTTGCGTGTCAAGCACTTGTCGTTGTTGGGGCCAGTCTCGGCACGAGAGATAAGTCAAAAACGGCTAACGAGCCTCTCCGGTCTTGCGTCGAGCGTGTACATATAAAAATCACCTATATAATCCGAGGCATGTAAACAGTATCGTCGCAGCAGGGCGATAACGCGTCAACAAAGTTCGTGATCGAATATACACAGAGCACATACTGTATCGCCAACTCGGTGGGCAACCATCAAGTCCGTAGTCGTCGTCGTTCGCGACGATACGTTACGCTCATCTTATTTCAGCAATCAGCACCGCCGAGAATCGTGCTGCTATGCTATGCGTGCAGCGGACACAACCGACCGACCGACTCCGTTTGTAAGCGCGGGTGAACGATCGATCGGATTTCCCAACGTGCGAAATTGGGAAAATTGTCGCCTTGGCTTTTTGTACGACGCGAACGACTAGTATATAGCGAAAATTGTATCGCTGGCAGTATACTAGCAACACAGCACAGCAGTATCAGCAGCAAGCAACAACGCCATATCCACAGATTCGTCGCTCTCTCTCTCTCCCTCCCTCTATTTCGCGTTCTCTCTCTTTCTCTTATGTATGTACTCGCGTTAGAGTTTGCGGACGCGCATAATCGTGTGTACTGTGGTGTGCAAATGTGTGCGTGTGTGCGTCCACACTGTACAGTACTGTAGTAGTGCAGAGAGCAGTAGGGGCTTTCGATATTTCACACGGCCTTACACGCTGCGTGCAGGACAAGTCGTCGCGAAAACCCAAGCCATATGCCGTTATCTACAATGACTCGATGAACTCCGCAAATGCTTGGGTAATTTTTAAATAGGCCGTCCAATGGAAATTGAGATTTGAGTTAACAGCTGATCGTTCCGTTGGATTCCTGTGTTTCATTGGTCGTGACAATAAAGCTTTCTTATTGTATTTTCAATAGATATTCATTTAATTAAAATAATTGAAAGCGCAGAATGTCAATTGAAATGTCATTTTGACTGCAAGTATTGTTGTTTTGCAATAAAAAGCTATTATAATTAATATTTTGGATAATACTTCGAATTGTTGATGATAATTTTGATGCTCGAAAATTATAAATAATAACCGGAAATTACATTATTCTACTCCACATTTATTTGAATTTTTAATAAATTACGAAATAATGATAAAAATCGATTACATGAAAAGAATTTAAAAATCTCATTTTTCGCGCCATTTTACATTCAAATCGCGCAGCACTGACGGACGGCTTTGAAAACAGCCTATAACCTTTTATTTAGAGACACATGTTCTTCACTCTGCCGCATGTATAAGCCGAGCCATGAGTAGTCTCCACACGTGTTTCTAAATTTTAAAGTGCTTGTGTTACATATTTAGGTAAAAATAATTTTTTTAAATAATAATATTATTAAGTGTGTAATCAAGAAATTGACAAGTAATCACTGAATGTGAAGATAGCTGTTGGTTGAATTATTATTCAGTGTAAACTTTTTTAATTGCAGTTAAAAATGTCGACGCCAGACGATGGGGCCATCGTTCACAAAAAACATAGAGAACGCAATGCAGGTCGTAAAGCTGATAAGAAGAAAGATAAAAATGCAGCAAATCTACCTGAAGATCCTAAACAAAGGAATCCTAAGGCATTTACTTTCAACAGTGCCATCAAAGCCGAAAGAAGATTCCGTCGTAAACAAGATATTGACGCAAAAAGGACACATGTCCCTGTTGTTGATCGAACACCCCTTGAGCCTCCACCAGTACTGGTTGCCCTAGTAGGTCCTCGAAAAAGTGGAAAATCAACCCTTATGCAGTGTCTCATCAAAAGTTTTTCAAAAAATCCATTGTCAAGTATCACTGGCCCTGTTACAATGGTAACTGGAAAAAAAGCCAGAGTCACATTTATCGAGTGTAATAATGATATTAATAGTATGATTGATATAGCTAAAGTTGCTGATTTAGTACTGTTACTAATTAATGCATATGACGGTCTTGAAATGGATACTTTTGAATTTTTGAGTATGTGTCAAGTACATGGAATGCCAAAAGTAATAGGTGTGCTCACACATTTAGATAAATTCAGTAATGCAAAGCAGATGCGCAAAGCTAAAAAAGAATTGAAACATCGTTTTTGGCAAGAAATTTATGCTGGAGCCAAACTCTTTTATTTGTCTGGAATGCAGCATGAAGAGTATATGCGAAATGAGATAAAGAATTTAGCAAGATTTATTTCAATTCAAAGATATAGACCTTTAACTTGGCGAAGCTCGCATCCTTATTTATTAGTTGATAGAATAGAAGATTTGACGGATCCTGAGTTAATTCGTCAGGATCAAAAAACTGATAGGACTGTGTCTGTTTATGGGTAAGTACACAATTTTATAAACTGATTTTTTTTAACTTTTTACTAAACCAAAACATTTTATTTCAGATATATTCGAGGAATACCTTTGTTAAAAAGTTCCCTTGTTCATATAGCTGGTTGTGGTGACTTCAAAGTAAAGGATGCCTGCTTTTTACCAGATCCATGTCCTTTACCAGATGAAATAAAAAAACGTGGGCTCTTAGAGCGGGAAAGATTAATTTATGCTCCATTTTCTGGAGTTGGAGGTATTGTTTATGATAAAGATGCCGTATATGTTGAATTAGGAGGTAGTCACTCTCACACAAAAGAGGATTCTGGATTGATTGGTCAACTAATTAACACTCAGCAGACTTTAGATCACAAACTAGAAAAGAGTGAAATTCAGTTTTTTACAAATTCTGCTCCTCTTAAATCTGGACAAATAGAAAAAATTTTTGATAGTAGTAAAATAAGTGATAATATAGATGAGGATCGTGATAGTGATGGCAGTAATGATGAAGATGAAGAAATTGAAGAAGAAGAGGATGATGAGGACGACGATGATGACAATGACGATGACGATGACGATGACGATGACGATGACGACGAGGATGAGGACCAAAACGATGATAAAACTGGTGAGAAAAGGAAAAGAAATAAAAAGGATGAAGTTAAAGGGAATAAAAAAATTAAAACAGATTCTCAATTATCATTAAAATCGAAAAAGGATGAAGATGATGAGAGTTTTGATGAACTTAGTGACGATGAAGATGATTTTGCCTTGAATTTAGAAAGGTCAGACAATGAAGATGAAAGCGATCTTAATTCAGATGAAGAAAACAAAGATGAAAGTGAAACAGATGAAGAAGACGAAGGAAATGTTGAATGGAAAGAAGATATGGCTCAAAAAGCTAAGGATGCGTTTTTCGAGCGGAAAAATAGAAAAAATATTATGCATTTGGTTTATGATGAAGATGAACCATTGACTGAAGAACCAGAAGCCGAAGAAAATGGCGAAGAAGAAGAAATTGGTGGGATCTTCCGCGTTGTTAAAAACAAAGAGAGACGGAAGCTGGAAGACAAAGAGCTTCAGCTTGAAGATGATAACGTTCATCACCAAAAAGTGCTAAAGGAAGACTGGACTGCAGAGGAAAATAAAGTGTTATTGGCAGATCTCTTTGTCACTGGAAAATGGAAAGACGATGAAGATGCAGAAGAACTAATAAAATTAGGTAAGAAAAATAAGCAACATCCTGCACAATAATATACTTTTATATGAAAATAATTAAATTTACTCAATCAATTTATGTTTTACAGATGATATGGATGATGAGGATATTTATGGTGATTTTGAGGATCTAGAAACAGGTGAAAAACATACATCTACCAATTCGAAATCTGATGCCGAAAAAGTCCCCAAAGAAATGACTACAGACGAAATGGACGAACGAAAAAAACTTATGGAAAAGAAAGAAAAACTTAAAAAGAAATTCGACAAAGAATACGATAACCCTGATAAGACGTATCTAGATGACTGGAAAGAGAGCGTCAATCGCCAAGCCGAAATTAATAAATCCGAATACGAAGACATGCCCGACGAACTTCGTGTTATCCATGAAGGTTTTCGCCCAGGAATGTACGTCCGAATCGAGATCGAAAAAATGCCATGCGAGTTCATCACCAACTTGGATGCTAGCTACCCCATAGTAGTAGGTGGATTATTGCCTGGTGAAGAAAACATTGGATACGTTCAATCGAGAATTAAACGCCACAGGTGGTATCACAAAATACTCAAGAGTAAGGATCCTCTTATTATGTCCATTGGTTGGAGGCGCTTCCAAACCATACCGATCTTCGCCGAATTAGGTGTGTATTCAATTCATTTTCATCTATCAATCTAACTAATCGATCGAAGCTAATTGTTATTATTAACTTGTTATTAATTTACAGAGCATAATTTGCGTTTGAGGCTGGCCAAGTATACACCGGAGCACGCATATTGCATGGCAAACTTTTGGGGACCAATGACTCCGCAAGGTACTGGTATCCTGGCGATTCAGGATGTAGCCAGAGTTGGAAAGGAATTCCGCATCGCAGCTACTGGTACTGTCGTTGAGCTCGACAAGAGTAACAAAATTATGAAGAAACTGAAGCTCGTTGGTGAGCCGTACGCTATTAAAAAGAAAACGGCGTTCATCAAGGGTATGTTCAACAGTGACATAGAAGTGGCCAAGTTCGAAGGTGCTCGCATCAGAACGACCTCGGGCATACGTGGTCAGATCAAGAAAGCCGTAAACACAAAAATTAATTATGAACAAAACGAAAATCAAGTGGCAAAAGGAACCAAAAAAGTTAGAGAGGCAGGAGGTCGCTTCCGTGCCACCTTTGAGGACAAGATCCTACTGAGTGATCTCGTCTGCTGCAGAACTTGGTACAAAGTGGATACGCCGCAATACTACAATTGCGTGACATCTCTGCTTCTACCTCCAGAGGAGAAGAATCGCTGGAAGGGAATGAGGTGTGTCAGAGAGTTGAAACAAGAGGCTGGCATAAAGGTCGTGCCGAATCCTGACAATCTGTACACGCCCGTGGAGCGTCAACCTAAGGTCTTTAAGCCTCTGTTCGTACCTAGATCGTTGCAGAAATCGTTGCCGTACAGAGACAAGATCAAGGTAACTCCGAGCGGCGGTTCGACGTTCGAAAAGAGGCGCGTCGCCGTGGTGCGTGACGCCAAAGAGGAAGCCCTTGCCAAAACGATGCAGAGCATCAGAACGATTTACGCGTACAAACAGGAGAAGACGAAACAGGAAACGGCCAAACGAATCGCGGACTACGATAAGCGAATCAAGGATGAGCAAGTTATTAAGACGAAGAGGCTGAGAGAGCAGAAGAAGGAACTATTTAGGGAGAAGACCAAAGAGGCGGCTAAAAAGGAAGCAAAAATGGGTACCTTAGGTAATAGAAAGGGTGGAAAAAAAGGTGGTAAAAAGCAAAGAGGCGATGATTAAGTGTAGTTAAATGAATAGATATAAGATACCACATTTTGTAAAAATGTACATAATTTTAATAATTTTACTTTTTTAAATAAAGTATTAATCGTTAATCAAAGCTATTGTTTTTTCCATCATTTTGAATTGATAATTACCCTAATCGAACAGTTTCAATGACATCACGCGGACTCCACTACCTACTTATTAATGAGAAAATTAATCATTCGAAATGCTGAAATCATAATGCGCGTAAACATCTGATCGAATCCGATGAGCCGAAACGAAGCCGTATAAACGTTCAAATATTCACTCGCGAATTATTGAATGGAAAAAATTATACGACCGTTCGCGCCTTGAACGGTAATCGTATCTACGTTCCGACCTACTTGCATATTTATGAAAATAAAAAGAATTTTTTTGCCATCGTAATTATAATTTGAGTAGCTCGAAAATATGCGCATTCACAATTTTACTCTTCGAATCTCCTCCAGCAACCACCACCACCACCGCCACCGACACCACCACCACTTCTCCAGCCGCTCACACATCGATGACGCAGGAGCAGTTGGAGGGAGTCATATGAAAAGAAGAACTGCAAATAGGCAATTTGTTTAATGCTGCATGCTTTCTACGCGCAAACTGCAACTGCTGCGTGTGTTATTCGCGCCGCGGCAGATTGTCCAGTAATTGCGGGGCAAACGCTTGTGTAGCTACCTTAAAGGGAGAGAGAGGAAAAAAAGAATTCGTCAGTTTACACACGGGAGCGTTTCGCGGTTCTTCTGCCCACTCTTGGCCGCGAGTAAATTCTTCGCTTTTTTAACCACACCTGTCATCAATTACATAAATATAGCGTCGAAGCATGTCTTAAAAAAGAGTCGGTCACACACTTTTTTTTTTGCTATCGAACGACGACTGATACATCGTAGAAAACCAGAATTACACACGTAGGCATGTTAAACATGTTTTCTTGTTCAGTGGTAGCCCTAATCAAGTGTGATATTGAATTATCTTCTCTCGACGTTATAAAGTTAATATAGCAACGTACGCGGCAATGGCGAGCCGCTAATTTAATATAACAGTAACATATATTATCTGGAAAGCAGCTGCAGAACGCAGTTGTATAGATGCACTTTTTTCACAAGAGAAGTTCAAGGTAACGTTTCGTTCTCTTCACTCTGTATTATAAAGCAGGTGTGCAAAGTCTCATTTTTATTTTGAAAGATTTCGGGGATGTAAAGCTAGACTCATCGACGTCTCTTCGATATTTATTTCATGTGACTACATGCTTTAATTATCACGAGATTTAGAGAGCGTTTTTGCACATCCATTTCTAAACTGCCTTTCTCTTACTCTATCTTGCTCTCATATGTCAAGCCTCATTAAGTAAACTCTGGACTTACTCCAATTATTTTGAGAAAGGCATATATGTTATATTATACAGATATATGTACAATAGTTGGCATACGTCTAATACTTATACCATTTTTAGATAATAATTAAGCATCATGTCTACACCGGAGCAATTGGCCATTGTCCAATCCAAATTTACCACTGGTGAAACAGTTGTCATTGTATCCTTTTATAAGCATAAGTTTGAGCGTTGTCTTTACTGGCATAAGTTTCATTCAATAGTAGGCAATTATGAAGGAAAAGAGTTCAAATATTTTCCTTAATGCAACAATTTTAGGCAATGGAGGCAAAGTTATGTCAAGGTTGGCTGAAGAGCACCCGTTTGATTGCTGTGGTCAATAAAGGTTCAACAAGTGCTTTAGTTGTTTTAATAACATCAAGAAATCCTCCTCAAGTTTATAGTGATCTTACTATAGAGAAAATTCTACCAATTGACCAAGATTTTCAGTGTAATATAGGTAATAGGAAAAGATGTTATCATATTTTATGAGATTTTATTTGGACTTTATGATATAACCTGCTGTTTTTGTTGAAACTCAGGAACTGATGAAGAACAACAAGATGTGACCGATGTGTTTTTGAATGTCACATGTCGCAAAACAAGGACAATTTTTGAAATGAGGCCTGGTATAGCAGCCACAAACCTCGTTTCAGCAATTTTCCAAGCAATTGATGGTAACCAGAGCTTATTTAAATGTCATTTACATAAGCATTATTGAATTGCTTTATAATGTAAATATTTATTTTTAGTCTATCAAAAAAACAAAAATCCAACGACAGATTTTTTGTGGATTCAAAAGTTGACTGGAAGTGTGAGAAGTTTAGATATAAGTGGGGATCAGGAGGAAACAATCTCAGATCCAGTAATTAACATTAAAATTTAAATAAGACTAGGATATTTAGATAAATCACATAACCGTAACTTAAATGATTTTAGATTGTTGATCTTGAGAGTCAAGATATCAATATATCTAGGCGTAATATTGCTACAGGAAAAACTCCAATTGCTCCAAGAGAATCAGTGGTTCGTTATCAAATGGCATGCAAAGAAGATGATTACACATATACTAAAACTTTCAGGTAATTTAAGGAGACATTGTGATGGATTTTAGATAGCTAAAATATGAATTAATTTTTATGTAACTCAGATTGTTTATTGGAACTTGGAATGTAAATGGACAACCACCAATTGGAATAACATTACAAAAATGGTTAAGCTGTGACGAAGAACCCCCAGATATATATGCTATTGGTTTTCAAGAGTTGGATTTGAGTAAAGAAGCATTTTTATTCAATGACACCCCTAGAGAAGAAGAATGGAGGCACATAGTATCAAGAAGTCTTCATCCAGATGCTAATTATGAGCAAATTGCTCTTGTCAGATTAGTTGGAATGATGTTAATAGTATTTACTCAAACTGCGCACTTGCCACATATAAAAAATGTTTGTGTAGATACTGTAGGAACCGGTATAATGGGAAAAATGGTAAAAATCTAAAATTGATAAAAGTATCTATAAACTACAAGCTTTAATCTTTACATTTTTCATCTTAAAGGGTAACAAAGGTGGAGTTGCAGTGAGTTGCACAATTCATAATACATCAGTTTGTTTCATAAATGCACACTTGGCTGCACATAGTGAAGAATATGAAAGGAGAAATCAAGATTTTGCTGATATCTGTGCTAGACTTCATTTTAGTACATATGCTCCTTCTAAAGGATTCAAGGATCACGAGTAAAATCTATTTAATAATTATACAACATTGAAGAAAAATGTTTTTCTAAGTACTTAATTTTATTTCAGTCAAATATATTGGCTAGGTGACTTGAATTATAGAATAACAGAAATGGATGCATTCCGTGCAAAACAATTTCTGGCTGGAGGAAATTTACTTCCAGTATTAAAACTTGACCAATTAGAGCAACAACGAAAGCTTGGAAAAGTTTTCCAAGGTTTTCATGAAGCAGATATAACATTTAAGCCAACATATAAATATGATCCTGGTACTGATAATTGGGATTCAAGGTAGATTGTCTAAATTGAATCTAAAAAAAGGAGTTGTAAAAAATGTAGCTTATCACTTATCATTTGTATCAATTTAGTGAAAAGGGAAGAGCCCCAGCATGGTGTGACAGAGTATTATGGAAAGGAGAGGCTATAAATTCAATTGCTTATAGAAGTCATCCGGAACTCAAAATTTCGGATCACAAACCCGTTAGCTCGATTTTTGATTCACAGGTACTGTTAAAAAATAACAATAACACTTTCAAATGCTTGTTTCGTTTTTGTTTTTCTTTTATTAAAAATTTATCGTATTAAAGGTCAGAGTAATTGACGTAGCGAAGTATCGTAAGATTCACGAAGACTTGATGAAAAAATTAGACAAATTAGAAAATGAATTTTTGCCCCAAGTGACGGTAGACACAACGGAAGTAATATTTGAAACTTTGAGGTTCGATGAACCGTGCTCAAAAGAGCTCATTGTTGCAAATACTGGTCAGGTACGTGTGCTTGATTGTTTACGTGTGTTTATTTGTCTATTTATTTATGTATTAATTCATTTATGTCATTGGGATCCCATGTATACATAGTAGAAAAATTAAAAATATAATAAGCAATGGCTCTGTATACAGATTATATATTTTATTAATAAACGTTATATAAGTGACTGGAACTCAGGCTTATTGAATTATACTGAAACTAAAATTATGATTCTCTAGTTTTATGTATATAACATGCTTTTGACTATGACTGACTGACTCACTGACACATCATTCTAGTTTTTACCATTTTCAACGTTTAGATAAACACAGAAACGTATTCATAAATATCATTAGCGTAAAAAAATTTATTTCGCTTAAAATCTTTGTTTCGTGCTTTTTTACCATCATTTTTTGCTTTATCGAAATGCTAATAAATTATTAAAGAAGGTGCTACATTATACTCATTCAAAAATTAACTTGTGATTGTTGATATGCATATACTTCACATGTGCTTTCCGTGATCAATGTAACAATTTTTAAATGCCGCGCCTGGAAATTGTAAAACTTGTGCGCGGTACAGCTGCTACTTAAACTTTCACTTTTTTCTAAAAAGCCCGCAAACATCTAAATAACTACTGCCTTTCACATTGCTTTTATAACATCCTGGCATGACCTAATTTGAAACTCTCTCATTGCGATAATGCAAATCAACATGATGCTTACCGATGCGTAAATTTCATCGAGCTACAACTCTTCTTTCAAGGTGCCAGTGGAGTTTGAATTTATAAAAAAGTTAGATGACGCGTCTTATTGCAAAGACTGGCTCAGCATTACTCCTTACACGGATTTCATTGAACCGGGTAAATATTTTATTTATAAATTATGTATCGATCGTCGATTTTCATAATGCATTATCTTGACGTTGTATTTCCAGGCCAAAAATGTGATATTAAACTCGAAGTTCGCGTTGACAAGCGATCCGCTTGGAAACTCAATTCCGGAGCAGATCAACTGTACGACATTTTAGTATTGCACTTGGTCAATGGAAAGGATATATTCATCACAGTAACAGGTAATCAAGGAAATTTATAGATAGATTTATAGCGTCGTTTCGCTGTTAATAACATCGAACCGATCTATCCTTCAGGTACTTACGAACGTAGCTGCTTCGGTTGTTCAATGGAAGCTCTGATACACATACCTGTTCCGATAAGAGAGGTACCGGCTGGCCGAATAACGGAATTGGTTGGTATCGAAATTTCCACTAATTAATTCAGCACTCCGAGCGTCAAACCTCATTGAAATTAATGTTTCAGGAGAACAGTAAAAACCTCTCGCAAGATCCATACTCCGTTCCTAAAGAAATATGGCTATTAGTGGATCGATTGTACAGGCATGGAATCAAGACTCCTGGACTTTTCGAAACACAAGGTTTACACAGCGAAGTACTGGCTATCAGGGATTGGCTCGACGTAGGGAGTCAAGACGCAATGCGTACGTTGTTTTTTCCTGCACAATAATTAAAGAAAAAAATTCTTTTTTTACAATCAGTAATCACACGAATGTTTAACCGATTTAGCTGGCAGTGTGCACTCGGTCGCCGAAGCTTTGCTTTTGCTTCTTGATTCAACGCCGGAACCTTTAATTCCATATAACTTACATAGTCAATGCCTGTCAGCTACGGCGAGCTATTTGCAATGCAAACAAGTTAGTTTCATTGATCCTTAATTTTTTTTTGTTATTGATCGTTTAGTACATCGATTATTTTCATCACTTTTAGATCGTCATGCAGCTGCCGGAGATTCGAAGAACAGTATTTTTGTACATATGCGCTTTCCTTCAAGAGCTGTTGAATCATACTCAGGATAATGGTTTGGACGCCAAAACACTCGGTAATTTGCTACACTTTCATAGAAAAATGATAAATGACAGTATTCTGAATACTAATAATTGCCTTTTATTTTCAAGCTTCTCTATTTGGATCGTTTTTCCTGCGTGATTTACCAAGAGCTCGAGATGACCGAATCCATCGAAGTAGAACTATTCAACCTACATTCGATAGAAAGAAGGCAGCTTTTGTTTATCACTTTTTGATAAACGATCAAAGCGATTTTATTGGACGATAAAAAAAATAAATACAAAAAAGACATAGAAAGAAAGTAATGACATATTCCACGAAAAAATTCACATTGTTTTTGTGATTATTCAAGCACTGAATCTCACAAACCATGTTGAAGATCTCACTAGCCTAAATGCATCTATGGTACCGCCCGTATACAATTGCTTTTGCATATAGTCACTTTAAATAGATTTAACCGTCTTACTTTTTTTCTTCACATGTACATGCCATTATAGACTTGGAAGATAATTTTAATAACTGATAAATTAATTTTGTTCTGAATAAACTCGCGAATGCTTGGAGATTTTATTTTTATTAGCATCCACGAGACAAGTATTTTTATAGTTTTTATATATATTTGACAAAAGATGGATATATAATGCTGTCACGTGTGTATTTTGGTAGTCAAAAGAACATATTAGAGATTTATTGCGCCACTAATTCTAAGAAATTATTTTATAAAGCATGTATGGATTATGAAGTCACTGGTAATTCTTTGAATGAGATTCTAAGCTAGTTTAAACAATTCAGATGATAGTCTACGTCTGATGTGTTAAATGAATTAGTTATGAAATTGTCATCTTTCCCGTTAATATGTAATTGCAAATATCAGAAATTTTTTAAGTAGCCTAAATTCATCATGGTATAAAATTTGTTAATGAATTATAATAAAATTAATTTTATAAATTCAGTTTGTATTTTATTTTATTGTGTAAAAATAGACGAACATTATTCAAATAGTTACACTGTTTATTGTTATAATAATGTTTGTGATAATAACAATATTCAATAAAGAATTTGGCACGGGTATTCCGTTTGTTATACAGAGTATACTGACCAAAAGATATAAATAAAAAATTTAGTAGGCTTGCAAAAAAAAACTGATAGATGGATAATCTATGCAACCACTAACTATAAAAATATTCGAACTTGAGTAAAACCACATTATTTACAAGTAAGCTAAATAAGTATAAATTAAATTAGAATTAATTAGAATTTAAACTCTTGTGGATTTGATGTTGTAGCTTGGAATTGTAGTTGACCATTTTCAGTAGACGGGGAAGGCATATCGGGTTCCTCCTGCAACAGGTAATTAATTTGATGTAGAAAGAATTGTCAAAATAGTTTTGAAAGATTATAATGTATCATTTAGATTCTTACCTTCTCTGAAAAGAATGAATCAATCATAGCTGAAGCTTTCAAGTAAACTTGTTCATTTGCATGCGATTGAAGAGTTTCTATTTTATCTAGACCTCCTACTTCTTCTATTATTATACTAATGTTTTCAAGTTCACCCATTTTCATCGCTGTGTTCAGTATGTTAGTGAGTCCATCGAGAATTACAAGAACACACTTGAAATCTTTAGCATCAAGAAGATTGCAGAATGGAATGAGCACTCCATTTTGTACAAGAGTTGCAAGTTGTTGAACATTACCACCGGATGTTAAATTAGTTATGGCCCAAGCTGCTTCTTTTTGAGATTTGAAATCTCCCTGTAAATACAAAATGTGTTAATTCATGTTAATTATAATATTAACTAAATGAGACCAAATAAAATTACCGTTTGAAGAACTTCTATCAAAGGTGGCAACAACCCAGCGTCAATGACTTGTTGAATTTGTGCAGCATTACCAGCAGTGATATTGCTAATTGTCCAAGCTGCCTCTTTGACAATATTAAGTCTTTTGTGTCGCAATAAGGGAATAAAGTACCTTAAAGCACCTGCACTAATGATTGCATCAGTTTGTGAATCATTTCCAGTTACAATGTTTCCAACTGCTCTCAAAGCAGGAGTAAGAACTGTCACTTCTCCGTGACCTAAAAGTGCAACCAACTTGGGTACAATACCAGAATCTAATACTGTTTGTATTTTATCATTTGATCCATCTGTCAAGTATGACAGTGTCCAACATGCGTCGCCTATATAATTAGATTTTATTTTAGTAAAATGAAACAATATATTAACATTAAATAAAGTAATGAGATTTACCAAGAACATCTTTATCGTTGTATGTCAAAATTCTATTCAAGATTGGAAGAGCTCTGCTGACGATTTCAAAGGGAGGAGGTGGGTTTTTATTTCTGCAGCAGTTTGACATTGTCCAAACAATATTGCGAATAAATGACAATGGAGTTTCAGGAGTAAGAAGTTGTATCAACATTGTTAAAGCTCCTTCATTGAGAACTAAATCTCTGGGAATAGGTCCATCGCCAGCAATGTTACCTAAAGCCCAAACTGCTTGTTCTGCCACATTTATGGCAGATGATTTCAATAGGGCAACCAACTTGGGAATTGCACCATGTTTGACTACTACTTGTGTTTGTTCTGAAGTGCCAGATGCAACATTAGTTAGGGCCCAGCAAGCCTCAAACTGTAAAAGTGGACTAAAATAGAAAGATAAATACACTCAATAAAATCCTTGGTCATCATTCCTAGTATTAAAAGTAATAAAATTTAAATACCTGTCATGATGTCCTAAAAATTCTATACAAAGAGGAACAACTCCTTTCTCAATAAGATCATTGATTGGTGGGTTTCTTTCTCTGCTAAGCATTTTACGACAAGCTTGAGTTGCTTGCAGTTTAGTTACTTCATCACCTGATGTCATTCCTGCGATAATTTCATCAATGGACATATCAAAAGGAGGTGATTTTTCACCAGGTGGTGGGCTGAGAGGCTCATCATCAATATTGATGTTGCGCCGCTTTGATAATTGATCATCTTTGTTAGCTTTTCTCAGTTCAACTGATATTTCAGTCCTCCTTCTTCTGGCTTCCTAATATTGAAGTAATATATGGCATAATTCACATTCTTATTAAAATATAGTTTTTGATAAAAAGTCAACTCACATCACTTTTTCCTTGGAATTTGAATTTTGAAAGTCTAGAATTGTTCATGTCAGAAACTGGCATTATCACTGAAAACGAAAAATTTCATTTAGGAAAAATCAATCATCTCAACACACAATCAGAGGGACATCTACTTGTTAATAAGATAATGGAAAATAAGCAAAACAAAATTAGTTTTTTAAAAAACTTCATACACTTCAACTAATTGCTGCAGCTGCTTCTCTAAAATATCTCGCTACTCGAAAAAACCGTTGAACATAAAGAGTGAAAGTGTATCAAGGGGTCGTGCATTCGCGCGCGTGTATGTTGATCATTTCTCATCTGTGAACCTCAAAGGTGGAAAAAAATCACATCGACTCGACGAGGAAGCTAGGAAAAGTCGTGAAAAATGTATGTCAACAATAGCGTATCGTTGTGTGCGATTGACAATATAATTATTTCCGCCAATTTGCCGCTAAATCGAAATAACCTCAACGCGATGATTTAATTAGAGAAAGATGTAAAATGTGATTTTGTAACCGTCGCTTTCAATAATGATAACAATTACTGCATACAAGAGAGTAAAGACTCGATAAAAAAGGCAGTGTACCTTTAAAGTTCGAAGAAAGATTCAAGGATAATCAAGCAGACAGGACAATTTTTTTCTCAATAATTGTTACAGTGTCAATTATTTACCTCTCAACGAAGCAACAGGATATCGTGTAACCGGGTCGGTTGCGAGTTCAGCGCTCTGCTACAATGGCTGTAGAAGATATGCGTTTTCCTTCTGCGGTAGACAGTAATAATTGTAATACTGCTGGGGTTCTCTCTCCAGATACGGAGACCAGATGTGCGGAGTAAAGAGAGGGGCAAGTAATATGGCGCGCAAAACTTCGTCCCTCACCGATTCGTCGACTTACAGCTCACGGAATCGCTTGATTGGTCGATCCTGCCTTTAACGTTTTTCTACTTGGTCCGTTTCGAGTTTTAATATAAAAATGAAATTCGGGGCGATATACAACACTGGGTCATACAGTGCGTGTATGCCCTCCTTTTCCATCACCATGTGAACCAAATCGCGATCTGAGCCGCAATATTGAAGATTAAAAGTTATACAATAAAAGATCAATAAGATGAAATCGTCAGGTTATCGAAAAGAGAAAGATTTTTTTTCGTTTTTTTCAAAACACTTGATTTATTCAGATTTTGAGAATAGAATGAAATCAAAACAAAGTAAGACTTGTATTGATAAGAAATTATATTTAGACATGTTAAGGTATAAATTAATAAAATAAATGCACAGAATGTAATGAAAAAAATCAATCTTGTCAATAAAATCAAAGTTAACTTACTCTTGTAAGTACAATAAAATCCAGAAAAGGATGCCCTTACATCGTCATAAAATTTTTATAAAATAAACTTTTTCTGCCTCTTAACACAATTTTAAAACATGAGTGGAAGAAGATATTCACTCATTTCTTTTTGGTGGAATTAATATCAATTACAAATATTCTTCATACTAGTATGAAGTATACTTAAAAAATATATAAGTTATCTAAAAATAGATTAGATGTTTATAGAGTATTTTAAGAGCTCAAATAACTGTATGATGTAAATTCTTATACTAAAAAAATATGTTCATCTTTTTGTTTTACAAAATTTAAAAGCAGAACATTTTTCAACATTTTCTGGAAAAATAATTCAGATTCATTAACATTTTTTTTTTGGTCTTTAAAATAGAATACTTTTACTACAAATATTTACATCAAACATTTCAAAAGAATATCAGAAACTGTGGAATAGTTTCTATTAATTTTTTATAAACTTCCAGTTATAACAATTTTTCCATTTGCAAAAATGATTCAGATAATTTTCTATTACATGATTGCATAGTAATATATTAATATTTACATGTATTATTTTGAATGGAAGCCCACATACTTTTGATTTTATTAAGCAATAATTGCTTCTACAGTTTTCTTTACAGCATCTCTGGCATATGGTATGTAAGATAAAGAATACCATAACATTGCAAAAGATTGGATGAGGATAAATACCAGAGCCAGTATTGGATTGTGAAGCTAAAAAATAAAAATAAATCATCAGAAATTTAAAAAAAATAAGAAAAAATTGTAATATAATTAACAAAAACATACCCCTAATGCAGCATACAAAGTTAATCCAAATGATACAAATACAATTATTGTTGCAATGATTCTCGTAGAGGCAAACATTTTTTTCAATTGATTAACTGGGCCCATCAAGAAACATGTACTGCAAAATCAATGTATAATTATAAGTTTTAATTTTTCATTCCTATAATTGTATTACTTTTAAATATTTTTCTTACCTTGCTAAAGATATTATATTACCAAGTGTATAAAGTACACCATAGGTAGTTAGGCCCTTTAAAAATAGAGCAAATGAACCAAGTACTGAGAGAAGAATACCAACAACAAAACAAATGATGAAACCCTTAATTCTGGTGGTTTTACTTAATTTCATGGTATCTGAAACCTGTTGAAAAAAATTTCATTAAAATAAGGTATAATATTTATTAAATGAAAAATAAAAATAAATAATTTGACACATACCCACCATAGTCCAAAGAAAAGTAAAACAGATATAATTGCAATATTAAAAAGTGGATATAAATTAAAGATAGTATTAACAAATTGAGTTATGAAAGCTGATACTATTCATGGAAATTAATACTCTTACTTTCAATAACCTAATTATATAATGATAATGATTATATTGTTATAAATAACTCTACCGTATCATTTAAAGAAACTATAGATAGTTAACATGATAACTTATATACACAATTTGAAATAATAATGCAGAGACTTTTTTCAGAGAATAGATGATTGAATAGTTTTAAAATCCTGATAAAAACCAAGTTATATTAGATATAAATGATGTTTAATCTCACCTGTGACATGATACCATTTTGCTCTTCCACTGTATCTTCTTCACCATTAAAAAAGCTCTTTAGTTTATCCATGGTGGTCTCAAAATTATTTTTTTACAAAACCTAAACAGTATTAAATTTATCCATTAGTTTTAACAACACATAGTTGAAACAATTGAATGTCTAAGAGTAATGCACATATTGAGAAATAGACAACACTGGACATAGCTAGATGTGTAATCCAAATGATCACATGCATGTACTATGAAACAATTCTGCTGTCATCTCTAGAAATACGCGCAATAACTTATTCAGCTCTCACTCACCAAGAATTTTTTTTTATTTGACGTTAGCTCCAGTTGGATGCAATGTGCATGGGATGCTCATATCACGCTCACGGGCCACGGCTCAACAGGTTGATTGATTGCACACAACATATATAAACGCACATACACAAAAGCACACGCAGCTATTATCACAGTCGAATCGAGACGTGGCGAATCGAAAATGGATCACGGACGAGTATGTTACGAGCAGGCGGAACCATCCGGAGAGTCAGACTCTCAGAGTGTTTATCGTCATCGAGAAATTAATGATTACGCATTGATGATTTACTGGATGTAGTATAGTATGTAGATCGTGTTGTGGTTATGTGTATTTAAAGCTCAATAAGCTAATTCGACGTCGCACAGATGGCGATGGTGTTTTCTTTTGTTTGTTTGTTTGTTTTTGTCCGTGTCTCGTAGTGCGCTGCTGTGTCAATGCTCTCAGCAGTGGGTGCGAGAAAATTAAACAATTTCTTGATGGGTCGTTAGGCCATTTAAATATTTGCATTTAAAATTACCAATCAATTTTGAGCGCAGATCAGAGTAAGCATGGCAACGAATCAATCTACATCGTCAGAATACACAAATCACTTATGAAAATTGTAATTTTACGTGTGATTTGGTGCAACGTGTGAAATTTGCACATTTAATTCGAATAATTAGTTGGTAACTCATTTTGTCACCGCCGAAATTAGTCAAAGCGCTATTGTCGCAATTGTCTGGTGCCGTGGCTCGAAGTCTTCTGCTTTTTACGATGTGTCAGTGCGTCAGCAGACCAGCACTTGCAGCTCATTATTATTATGTAGAGCTGTTTGACAATCGCAAGTCCCGAGAGAGAAAGGGAGAGTGAAAGAGAGAAAGAGGAAGAATCTAAATAAAGCTTTTGAGTTATTTTTAATGATAAGTATGAAACTTGAATGTTTGGAAAATCTAACATGGATTTGATTAAAATTAAGTGAAGAAAATTCGTCAATTTACTACTAGAGTACTGAGTGAGTAGAGATTGAAACCAATATTGCAATATTTGAGAATGTGATTATTAATCAATTGACACTCTGATTTTGTAGGCATCTCATGTTAAGGCTTTAGAATGTTACTAATTGATATGTTGGAGGGTTTGGCACCATGGCTAGTACCCAATTTCTTGTACGACTGGTCGCACTATCCGTTTAATATTCAATTAAAACCAAATACAGCTGACTTCATTAAGAATAGAAGCATAAATATAAATGATAAAGTTTTAATATTATATATCTTAGTTGCCTCAACCACCTTACATTTGATCTTCAAAAAAATGCTCAATGTAAGTAAAATTATTTTACGGTACAATAAATGGTATTAATTTGACATTTTCATTTTTAGCAATATTTAAGGAGAACTGGTCATGGCTTGCTGCACAGAAATAGAATTTCCACTATAACATGGACATATATTTGTAATTTTATGATTCTTGTATATACTATATTTTTATGGCATTATATATTAAATCCAGAAATGAATGTGATCATCATGAAAAGTTTTTATATACACCACAGTTTAATATTATTAAGTTCTGGTTATTGGCAAAAAGCATTTTCAAATATGATGTTTATGCTGTTTCTATTTGGAATCCCTAGACAAAGGTTTGATAATCAAAATTTTATTTCTATTTAAAAAAATTCGATTTTTTTCATTACATATAATTCAATATTATTTTGACAGTTTAAGGCCTCCAGTTTCAACCATGTTCCTTCTTAAATCAATAGATTCTTTGATTTTTGATATTGTTAGAATATTGTATTTAAGATGGCCAGTAAAAGTCAAAACTTTTTATGCAAGAATGATTTATGGTCTCTACTGCATATATTGGTAAAACTAAAAAAATATTTATTCATATAGTTATAGCACATTCTAACTTAAAATTATCAAATGATAAATTATGTTAAAAAATATTTCTATTTTAGGACATATGCATATATTATTGATATTCCTCTGTACATACTACTGCCATATAATTATCAATCTTTGAATGAGTTACTTCTAATTTGCCTTTGGTTCATCTCACAGTATTTTGATTTTGTAAGTATCATTGTATATTATTGATTTACAACAATATACTTAAAATTCATAATTTTTTCAGGTATGGTTTGATTTTATTAGACATTGCAATACAGATAAGTTTTTAGAACGTTGCTTATTTCCTAAACCCTCGTTCAACAGAATGTATTTATCAAAAATTGTAAAAAGGCACAAATATATGCAGAATAGGTAGGAAATTTTCGAAAATATTATTTTCATTTTTCATATCATTCAACTGCTAACAATTTAAAATGAAATTTATAGAAAATACAAACAACATCAAGCCTCTCATAAAAAGGAATTGTGGCAGACGCTCAAGTGTAAGTTAAGAAAAACGTTTTCCGTTTGAAAATGTGCTTTTTCACAGTAACGAAATTATTGTAGGCGCGCTGACTGTCAAAAAAAAGATCAACCGACTGAGAAAAGTAAAAAAATCCAAAGAGGAAAGGGACCAAGAAAGTCCAATGAACGACGAAAGTCAATTAGATTAATCGAATCAATCTCATCACGTGTGTACCACGCAATACCCTCCTGTACATTATGTAAATACATTTGTAAAATATATAAAATATATTTGTCGATATGAAAAATGGAAGTCAGTGTTAAAAAAAATGTTTTATTACTTGTAAGCGTTTCTTCGAAGTCATCGTCTTGTCTTGTTCATACATTGTTTCTTTCCGCGCGCTTGCGGCGCGCGAAACATTTTGTGTAACGAAACGGCACTCCGCAGCTCGCGATAAAGGACACAGAGTTGTGTAATTACGACGACGAAAAAAAAAATATTGAATAAACACGTGCGCCGCGACGAGAGCGTCGGTATTATAACGTAAATAAAAGTTTATCTCGAGCTTATTATTCACGATCAAATGCTCTCTCTGCTCGTTAATACACGAATTAGAGAGACACAGCGGCAATGAATTCGTGTCATAAAATAATATAAATTCTCGAATCGCTCGATTACTTACGAGCACGCGGGGGGAAAAGAAAAAAAATTGTCGCGTGCGCGCCTTGTGTCCGCCCGGGAATTCGAGTCGATAGCAGAGATAATCGAACTCATTTTCGTGCAGGATCCGACATGTCTAGAGGGAATTAAGAGCGCGCGTCGATCGACGGAGCCGAAATTTCTTCGTTTCGTGTGTCTCTCAGTAGTATCGTTTACCGTGCGCGTACTAACAGGAGGAAAAGTGCGCGCAATGACAATAACATTACCGATCCGCGCGGAGATTATGTAAAATGTTTTATCTCGGCGCGCAAATGATTCTTTTTTTCTTCAAATTTTTCCTATGACTCGGCGACGACGGCGGCGCGTGTAAAGTAATGAAACTCCAGTGCGCCCGTGTGTGTGTGTGATAGTTTTTCAATGCCACAAGGAGGGTTTATCGCACCTTCGTCTTTAATTTTCATAAGTCATCGCGCAACAATCGCGTTTGCGAGAATATAAAAATTTTAGTCCTATTGTCGTAGGCGCGGACGTTAATAACGAAAATGACGTGATTTACAGTGCTTCTAAGCTAACGATTGCTTTTTTGTGTTTTGTTTTTTTTCTTCGACGCTTCTGTACAGGATTGATTGACTCCCCGCATAGACTTTGCAAATAAGAGCTTTTCTTGAGGTGCTCACAACGAGTAAGTATTATTGTTATATTACAGATTTTTCTCGACTGCGCATATCGAGCTCATTATTTTTAACGTGTCCGAGAGCGCAAAAATATAAGCTGAAATTCATGTTTAGATAATAGCAAATGATTTTCCAATCCCGTCGAGAAACGTCCCGCGTCGCGCGACGATTGCTTATCGCTCGCGTGGCTTAACTCTGCTACTTAAGCTACTATTGACGATATAATAGATTTGAAGAGGAAAAAAAATGTAAGAATGTCTGTAACTATACAGATTGCGCAATAATTAGCCATCGACAATAGACCGATCTCGCGACAAAGAAGCAAAAAAGCTGACCCCGAAAAAGCGGGATACTGCGCCACGAGTTCGTGCTCGGGGGTATAAATACACGAATTTACATGTATGCCGTGATTATACACAGTCTCATTATCGGCAGATAAACAGTGTAAACAGCGTTACGAGACGTTATTTGTGTACAATACGTAATAAAGCAATACATCGAGTTTCATTCATGATTATGTGATGTGAATCGGCGCATCATCGATCCAAAAGATCGTTACACATAAATTTAAAGTATACCCCGATATGGGTGCGATGCATCGGGCTGGCATGCGTTACACTTACGTACAAACGGCGGCGGCGTCAGCAGCTGTATTACCTGAAAATCATTTCACTTTTACGATACTATACGTAATGATACAGCAAAAGAGTATTACCAATTGCGACGCGTGTAAAGACGTTTCCAGAATCTTACCGCTGCGGCGGTGCAACTATATATATACTGTAGGTCGTCGCGAGATCTGCATGGGTTTCCGCGGTGTGCGATCGTTAACGCACGCGCGTTTCGTAAAATAAAAAAAAAAAAGATATCTCTTCGCGCTTGTAACGTGCATATGTATAAGCGATAGTCGCCGCGGCGGCCGTGAAGATCGCCGACTTTCTCGCGCGCGCAAAGTCATTATGTAGATAGATTGGCTGATGGGCAGCAGCAACAGCTACTGTACACACATGCGGGTCAATGAGACATTTACACGACACTATGTGTGTTGCACCGTAATCGGCAAGTCTCGTTTTTTCCACCGATATAATACAACGTCGTCGTCACTATTACGATTGCTTTTAGAATTAGATAGTAGAGTTGACGCGATACATTCCTTTTGTAGTGCACGATCGACGCGCGCATAATAAATACGCATTATTATTGCGCGAATAAATACCATAGTAGACTCTATTTGTTATTCCAACTATTTGTTAAGCAATTTGTATGATGCGAACGCAGTGACGTATTGCGATATGACAGCCGTGTTCGTCCGCGTGCAGCAGCTTCCCCCATGCGTCGTCGTCGATGCATGCATCTCGATGACGATGATCTGTATATTATTCCTACGTTGACCGACAAAAAAATGGGATTTACGCGCGATCGTATTAATATATAGTATAGAGAGAGCTGTATCGCCACACGCATACACAATAAACAGATCGTCGTCGATCGCCTGCACAATATTATTCTGTTGTTTCGGAGCCAGCTCCTATAAAAATTTCCTCTCGCTTATTATTATGTACGTATTGGAGGAAATTTTAAAATTAACATTCAAAACACATAATGACGTTCGAAAGCGCGCACCACGTTGATTTTTAATGATCGATCTGCTTTAACGATCTGCATAAATTAGTGTGTTAAAAAAACAACATCTCCGGACGCCGCTGGACCAACGATAAATTCGGAGAATAGTAGCGAGTACAATGAACCATTGTTGCGTGGGATACGTCAAGATAAGATGATGGAGCGATGATCGATGCGTCGAACACCTGCACAGACTCGTTACTTAAATAGAGATTAATTAACACGGGGCCGCTTCTCTACGCACTACTGACCCATTGTCCTTTCAGTGCGTTACATCCATTATAAACGCATTCATGTTAAATTGGGCCTCCGAGCTCTATGGACCAATCGGTGAGCCGAGGCCCACGTGCGCGCGGGTTTTTACCACTGCGTCGATTTTTATGTTATATATACCTTAGGCGCGCGCGCACACAGGTGTCTATACGCTGTATATAAACTCGGAGACGTTGACAATTCATTTTCATATACATTATAAACGCACTCGCGAGCGGGGGGTCCATCTCGAGCGACTGTATCTCTCTCTCTCTCTCTCTCTTTCTTTCTCGACTGCGTGCGCGTGTGTTGTGCTGCACTGTACTCCGCGCGTGTCTGCGTGTGTGTACAAGGTAATAACTACTATATAGACGCCGGCGGATCTTGACGGTGCCGGTCAGATATCGCTCAAACATTGACGAGTCTACATCTCTCCCCGCGGATCTCGTCGACGACGGAGAGACACGTTACTTTGCTGCTACCTCGTATTATAAATATATAGTGTTGAATCGTGCGTGATCTTGTGCGGACTTGCATGTCACCCCCTGTGACACACGCGACGATAGCTGCGGGGTTATTTATTTTTTTCGTTTTGACTTTGATCTGCCTCAGTGAGTGGTTTACTTTTTTAATCGAGTGATTTTTGTTTATTTCTTTTAAATTTACGACTCCGCAATTCGGCGTTGAAAATTTTCCAACGCACGATTCATTATTTACCTTCGATTTACGAGAGACGTTGCCTTGATTTTTAGGTGCACATTAGAAATGGCTCGCACGAAATTTCACCTGTGTCTGCTGCTGCTTCAGCTGCTCGTCTATGGAAATTTGCTGGATGGTGAGTATCTTTTTTTTTTTCCAATTTTTATCGCGTAAATAAAATCAAATTGAAGAAAAAATTGGTCAATGACTCGTCTTCTCACGTATATATTTATATATACTCGCGTAGTTGAGATTGTATTTGATGAGACGATAAGCTTAATTTTAATCGGAATATTTTTCCAAATATCCGCTGAGGAAATTAAGTGAATTATAGAGACGTATTACATACGGTGTTGTTCATCCAATTATGGCTTTATTGACATGTTAACGCCTATTTTTTTTTTTATACAGCTTATCGCGTGCGCCGCCGACAAATCCGTTCTAATTTGAAGAACAGGCTTAATCTGCTTCAGCGATTTTGTCATTAGCCAGAAAATATAATAAAAATCATTGTCATCGCGTCGCGACTGTACTACAATATTTTGACTCATTCATAAAAGATGTATTACACGTGCCCCAATTATCGTTATTGCAGCTCGTAAAGCGGCAAGGTCAGCCTCGGCAGCCACCCCAGCAACGATCGAGGCAGCAGCCGCCGAGCCCTTCTGGCTGGATCCGGAGGAGCTGAGCGAGGAAAGCATCGACCTCGTCGACTGGAGGCAGCATCCCTGCCGGCGCGAATGCCGCGACAACGAGCCGGCCATGGAGTGTCGTTACACTTTTCACATCGAGCACTACTACGCGATGAGCAAGGCCTGCTACGACTGCCCTTACAACGTGACGGACTGCGCGAGGCCGCACTGCATCCCGGCGGACGGGGTGAATCGGCCACTGGTCGTGGTCAATCGGCAGATGCCCGGCCCTTCGATCGAGGTAAAATAACAATCGAATATATTTACTTTTTTCTATCGCGCATATAGCTAGGGCTTGTGCATTCGCACGGGTGCGTATATTATAATACACGATTACCGATTACCGATTACCGATCACGCGCCGCGATTGCGAAACGTTTACCAATAAAGCACGTGATCGGATTTTTAGCTCGTTAAACATTTCTTATATACGTAATAATAATAAAAGCGCGCGGCGATAGACATTGTATAGCTGCGAGCGCGACTAATATTCACTAATTACCCCGCATGTATATATAATACTAATACTTGATTATTTATGCGCGAGATTGTGTGACTGCGACTGCGGGGACTCCACCGCGCTTATCTGTCTCTCTCTCCCTGTCTCTCGCTTATATTATATATTATAAGCGCGTCTGTGTGTGCGTTGCAAAATGTTACGTTTATTGACACGCATATATTTATAAAATACGTTTATTGAGCGATCGACTGTACATTTGTACTCGGAAAATCCGGTTCAAGATTCAGCCCTGCCCATGCGTAGCGTCACCGGAAAGATCTATTGTACTTTTGACTTTTGAACTTACTTCGGAGGATTTCTTTTCGTTGCAACGATTAACAAATCAAGCGCGTTTCGTATGGAAAATTAGACACATTTGAATTTGAGTTTTTTTCAGTTTTAAAGAAATCGAGACACACTTATGACAGAGACATCGACATCTGCTGTACGCATCCATAAAGAATCCATAAAGAATCATAATCGCGAAGTCATATAATCCACATATATTGTGATATAAACAAAAATAAACATTGCGACAGAGTCGCAAGCAACAACGGAGCAACGAGTTATATATAATGTAGGCAAATAATATTATAGCTCGCTTAACATTGAATTTTTGCTCGCGAGCCACATAATTTCATGTAAATTATCCTCGCGAGCTTGAAAAATAGTCTTTAAGGTCGGGGAAAATATGCGAGTATAACGAGAAATAGCCACGCAGGAAAAGCAGCAGCAGTCCATGTACAAGCGCACGTACGCACGAACGTATACGTTTTGTACACCAAGGTGTTCACGACCTTACGAAGGTCTCGATCGGGATAAATTCTGCTCGCAATTTCGCAACGCGATCTTGTACTATATGGTGCACGAGTACATACATACTAACACAAAGATCCGAACTGACATTTGGCGCGCGTGATTGACTGCGTATACGTACATACATATCCTTTCTACGTGTATTACCCGGGGACCGACGGTCAGGCGGCGCTCAAGGGTAGTCGACGTTCACTTGGAAACGCCGAGTACTTGAGAAATCGCGCCCCACCTGCGAGACCTGTGCACCGATTCAATGCCAAGAAAATCGAGCATCGTAAGAACAGCGCCAAGGATAATTTAGACATTAAAAAGGCGCGCGCGCACACACACACATATACCGCTTCGCACCGCTTTTATTCGCGCAGCAGTGATGCTGCGATCGGTTTACGTGACTTTTTTACTCGATGAATATTTAGAGAACTGTTGGAGCAAGTGCGTCACGAAGATACACGCATAGCGACAAGTCGTGTCACACCGCACCCCAAATGTGTAAGCCGCAAAAGCTCGTTATAGATCGTTTCGGATTATATATTGTACGAATGAGTAATTTTTCTTGGATATGCGTAGCCGTGAGCGAGCACGAGGGAGGCATAAGAGTCGTGTGCGTTATTATTACACACGATACACGATTTTTTTTCCGGCGAATCGATTTCTTATAGTCGAGGTGGTTCCGGCTTCGAGCTGCAATTATATTCGTTATAATGGAGTAACATTATGATTCGCGACAGTTAAATATCTCAATATTATGGTACATTATAATACGATGGCTCGACTCGATCACATGTATAGATGCATGTAGAGATGTATGTAATAGATAAGAGGAATAAGACAAAAAAATTTTTTGATGAATCGGTCTTAATTGCGAGAGCTCGGATTGCCCGTTTTTTGTGTCAGTTCAGCCGAACCTTGAGCAGCGTTTCAATTGATTTCTCACGAGCTGCTGCACTCGTCGAGTATTGTAATACGCGTAAATTACCACATACATAAAAATCGTATCATAGGCATTGCTATTAAGCCTAAGCTCGAACAAGGAAAATCGGCAACGATCGGTATAACAACGTTTTAATTTTTCCCCATCCATAGGTATGCCAAGGCGATCGGGTGATCGTCGACGCGGTCAACATGATGCACGCCGACAGCACGACCCTCCACTGGCACGGCCAGCACCTGCGCACCAATCCCTACATGGACGGCACACCCTTCGTCTCCCAATGCCCCATCCTGCCCGGGGCCTCGTTCCGCTACGACTTCGTCGCCGAGACGGCGGGCTCGCACTTCTGGCACTCGCACGTGGGCTTCCAGCGAGGCGACGGCATGTTCGGCCCCATGATCGTGCGCAAGCAGCCCAAGCGCGACCAGCTGCGCAATCTCTACGATCACGACGAGCATCACCTCATCATCTCCGACTGGGATCACGAGCTCGGGCTGGACAAGTTTTTGGCGCATTATCACGGAATGGGCGATAACAAGCCGCCAAATCTACTCGTCAACGGGCTGGGTAGATTCACCAAGCTGGCGGACGAGAAGCACAATCGCACGGCTCTCATGCCCACTGCTACTTTTCGCGTTAAACAGGTACGTTATACGTTATGAATGATGCAACAATGGATGGTCACAAAAAATTATCTTACCTTCGGTCACAATGGAATCGTTCGAGCGAGAACAAAAAAAAAGAGCGTATCCTTCGCTGCTCCATAAATATATGTACCTGTATTTGTATTTTTACTGTCCAATCATCCTTTTAACGCGCGCGCGTGTACTTACTTACTTTTTTGTTTCCTTTTTACTCGAGTGTACATACGCGCAAATGAGCCCACCACCTGTTTGTACTGCACACGAATCTCGATGTAAGAAAAATCGATCGATCTTATTCGATTATAATACACAGGCGCTTAAATTAACTCGTTCTGCGAGCTCATTGTTCCGAGTCATTTTTTTCTCTTACTTCTCGCACGTGCGACTCTCTTGCATCCGGTTGCGTATTGCCCAAACAAAAATACAACTCCTTCATCTTTCGATTTTAACGTACACAGGGCTCTCGGCACCGATTCCGCATCATGAACGCCGAATTCCTCAACTGTCCGATCGAGCTGTCGATCGACAATCACACACTGTGGGTCGTGAGCTCGGACGGTCGCGACCTCGAGCCGGTCGAGGCCAGATCTCTGGTCACCTACGCCGGCGAGCGCTTCGACGTCATCGTCGAGATGGACCAGGCCGTGGCCAATTACTGGATCAGATTCCGTGGGCTGCTCGACTGCGGGCCGACCTTCACCAAGGCCTATCAGGTCGCGGTGCTGCGCTACGAGGGCGCACCCGAGGACGAGGACCCCGAGGCCGAGGTCGACTACGATCTGCCGGCCAAGGAAGCTGGATTGCTGGTAATTATCTTCTCTCTATTATTATTCTAAAAATAAGTATACGCGACGAAAATCAAAGAGGAAGAAGAAAAGAAAATTAGATGTTTAACGATCGTTCATGGAAAATAATAATGCTCATTATTGATTTACTACTAATATCTGCTTATTTCTGCAGCAAATAAACTCGCTGAACAAAGGAACGGAGACGGAGGAAATAATGAGCGTGCCGCAATTAGACGCTCTAGATAAAAACGGGATAGCCAACGATCCGTTGATAGAGCCCGATTACAAGTTTTACATATCCTATGACTTTTACGCCAAAGACAACTCGGAATTTCACCGCAAAAATCTCTACGGTTTTCATCAAGGTAAGAAAACTACTCGACACTCGCGTGTCTTATAATATATGACTGATGTTCCAACTTGCGCTCGTTTTACGCTTACATACATAGTGGCTCACAAGAGGCAGAAGGTCGGCACGCCGCAGCTCAATCACATATCGATGAAGATGCCGACGTTCCCGCTCATGTCGCAGACCGAGCAGATCGACTCGTCGGGATTTTGCAACAGCAGCACTGTGGAGGGTTGCGAAACGGACTACTGCAAGTGCAGCCACGTGCTACAAGTCAAGCTCGGCAGCGTCGTCGAGCTCATCCTCGTCGACGAAGGTAAGAAGGATTAAAACGACATTATTAGTCCGCGTAAGAGTCAGTCGCGATTACGCACGATTATGCACACACATAAGAGACCTTGTGCGGCAGTTTATTATACTATTAAGTTCAACCGGCGCAGCGTACACATGTAAGAGCCACGCGGAGGGAGAAAGAGAGAGAAAAAATTACACGCGCGATGGCAGTGTGCATTATATGGAAGCTGTAATTGCTTCGATAAATTGCCTCTGTGTAAGTGTGTATACACACACGCATGTATAATTCGGTTACACAAGAAGGCGCTGCGCTCACGTGCTTTTTCGCGCGCGCGACGCGCGTTTCAGGACAAGAAGAGAGAAAAAGAAAAGATTTCATTCAATTTTCCGCTCGTTACGTATTACACGCCGTACGAAGCACGTGTAACACACTTATTTTTATATTAAATTTATCTCATATACGTGTGTCTGTTTTTTCCATAAACACGGACAATTTTGACCGGTTTATTTTTTATCGACGCGCCGCCAAGTCGATAATATTAATTGCACTTTATGGCTATATTGTGTAATTCGTGTAATATGTTGCGGTATACGTACAAGTTAGTAATCGAGAGCTTATACATATTATATCGTGACGTCATTGCGAGAGAGAGAATATAATAATATTTATAAAATATTTTTCACGCTCGATCATCGCGCCGATCATCTCGTTATATTATAGACGATCGTTTAAACTTTTAAACTACGCGCGGTAGTTTGTGCGAATTGTTTAAATCGAAACGATCGACGCTCAATAAAGGCGTAAATTAAGGCGTAATCCCGGCGCGAGAGAATTAGAAAATAATCGATCGCGATCGAGAACATAAAAATTGCGTGCGGCAGCGGCAGCAGCCAATATTGAGTTAATTATCTATCTCTCTTTCGTCGAGTTGTTTAGTCAGAAATAATCATGCGTGTACACCGCGACTCATTACGGGTGGAGTGATTAGCATAAAATCACATATCCGCGTGCGAGTATACATATCCTTAACATCCTCAATTGTCATGATCGCGACGAAGCTGTTATACATTGTAAATCAATTTTACAATTAGCCATGTAACGACTGTGCGTGATTAGAATCAGGCCTCGCTCGCGACTCGTTTAATCAGCACGTGTGCCGAAGCTATAATATAGGCGTTTTTATCGATCCGGTTTTTTTTTTTTTTTTTTTATTCATTTGACTAATTTTTTTTATCATCGTGCACAGGTGTACCCTACGACGCGAATCATCCGTTCCATTTACACGGGCACGATTTTCGCGTGCTGGCGATGGAGCGTCTGGCGAGCAACGTGACCGTCGACCAAGTCAAGAGGCACGACGCCGAGGGACGCATCAAGCGGAAGTTCGACCGGGCGCCCATTAAGGACACGGTCACAGTGCCCGACGGCGGCTACACCGTCATCAGATTCCACGCCGATAATCCTGGTGAGTACTGGACACGCACAGCTTTAATCACGTAATCACGCGTGTGTGCAATTATTTCTCCGAATTTCCCGCATCGGAGAATCGAGCTCAATGTCTCGTAGAAAAAAAATAATAATCGCTAATGCCCATATGTGTCTTTTCAACAGGTTACTGGCTATTCCACTGCCACATCGAGTTCCACTCGGAGGTCGGCATGGCCCTGGTCTTTAAGATCGGCGAGCACGAGGATTTCGCCCCGGTACCGGTCAACTTCCCTCGCTGCGGCGATTACCGATCGAACGGCCTGACTACGACTACGACTACCACAACGACGACTACACCGAGGACAACGACGAGCAAGAGACCGGTAAAGATCGACAACGTCGAGGACAACGAGATCGGCTATCACGCGGAGAACGAAGTACGCAAGTCCATCGCTACGTGGCTTCCGCTGATACTAAGCGAGATTCGGGCCTACAATTCGTCCGGAACCATCGCGACCACCTGGTCCGTCTTCGGCTTGATCATGAGCCTGTCTTGGTCGCTCAGCTGATCGTCCTCTCGTATTATTACTATATGAATAGCTCCTCGTTTTTTTTATGCGAACGATGAGCGCATTGCCAATTGTACATATAGTCCCCCACCCCCCAAACTCGCGGACTTTTGTGAAAAGTCTCCGCGACGAAAGAACTTGTCAGTACTGTAATTTCCTGTTTATAGAGTAATTAAATTACTAAGATTGTAAGATAGATTTTTAAGATAAATTGACTTTTGTATTGTACATAGAGATTAGTGAGTAAGATTTTTTTGTTCTCGTCGTATTATCGCGGAGATGTTGAGAACATACTCTAAATGCGACTTGAAATGTATTTTTTATTTATAAATATAGCTCTAAGCTTGCTTATAGATTATTATTTTTCATAAAATAAACGATCTCAGTCGATAGAGTGAAAATCAAATAATCTTGCTCGTTTGCAATACCTTACTTCCCAAAATTTAAACAGCTCCAATAACAATTCTTCCAAAATGCATATTAAAATTAATGGTTCGAATTAAATCATTTTAATTAAGCTTAAAAAGGCGTAGAAAAAGTTTTTAGAGGCTATACTGATTTAATTCAAATTCAATTTCTATAAGGGCAAGAAAATTAATAATTCAACTCTTTTTTTTAAATTTATTTATTTGAAAGATTAATAAATCTGCAACATTGGACATTTCGATCAACGGTATCTCTATCATTATCTCTAACGCTATCGCTATCACCTTCACTGATGGTTTGTCCTGCAGCAGCCAAGCAAATGTGATAAAAATCTTCGTTCGTAAATCCTTTATCAACGATAATTTCACAGACTTCAACGGGAAGCCGATAGTGTATCAGTTCCGCGAAAGGATCCAGCGCCCAGCTCCGGAAAAATCCTCTCGACATTTTCTCGCTCAGATGAACGCCCAGAGCCCGTCTGGGCTTGTCGGCGAATTTCCAAAGATAGTCGTGCGCGAACCTGTAGCATTCCGCGTGCGTGAGCGATTTCGTTGCCTCCTTGGGTCGTAACTGGATCCATTCATGGAGCGACAGGTTCGGCTTTACCATTGTCCGCTGGGCTTCCGCCGTGTGCCTCTCGTCGGCGGACCAATGTTCCTCGAGATCCCCCGCCTTCTCGAACAGTCCGTACTCGGAAAACACTCTCATGATGGTCAGGGCGTCGCTGGGATCCAGATCGTATCCTCCTGCCTCGAGATGCTCCATCACCAACAGAGCACCGGATGCCAGTTTCAACTGCAAATTGCCGATAAATTCGAACGGCCGCTTCTTGATCCTCTCGTTGAAGAGACTCGCGGGGGGAAAAACGAAGCTAGACAGATCGGCGCCCCGAGACAAGAGCGAGGCGACTGAGTCCGGCTTGAGACTCGCCACGGCCCATTGAAGCGGTGTCCAGCCGTCCGCGTTGAGGACGTCGTGCCGCAACGATCCGTGCACCTCGACGACGGTCTCGAGGAACCTCTCCACCAGATCCTCCTTGTCGTCGCTGCCTTTGCCGCAAACGATGTGCAGAGGCGTCGATCCGTCCTCGTTGAGCAAATACGGATCGGCGCCCATCCTCAGCAAGGCCTGGATCACGTTTTTGTTGCTCCGGGATAGAGCAAATTGCAGCGGTGTCTCGCCCGTCTTATCCACGATGTCGACCTTCAACGGCTGATATTTGTCGAGGCTGAACCTAAGCAGCGTCTCCGCGAAACCGCCATGAAAGTCGGCCCAGGGAAGCACGTGCAAAGCCGTCACTCCCGCCTCGTTGGCCCGATGAGGATCGGCCCCCCTTCTCAGCAGAACCTCGGTCAAGCCTATATCGCGCGAGAACAGAGACCGGTGCAGCGGAATCTCGCCCTTCTCGTCGCAGGCGTTCACATCGATCGGCCGTTGAACGTCGTCCAGCATCTCGAAAAACTTCTCGACGAAGTCGCCGGTGGCGCGCAACTCGACGAGGAAGTGCAAAGCGTTCATTCCGTCCTTGTTGGCGAGATTCGGATCGGCGCCTGCTCTCAGCAGCAGGCCGACCGTCCGCCAGCACGGCAACCCGGACGAGATACCGGCCCGCAGAGCCAGGTTCAACGGCAGCTCCACCGAGGATCTGTGTCGATTGGGATCCTCCTGACCGAGCTCGATGATTTTTTCAACGGCCTCGTCGCAGCAAGCCAGGCAGGCCGCGTGAAGGTGCGTGTAGCCGGACACGTGGTCGATGTAATTCACCGAGAAATCGTCGTAGATCTTGAAGAGCCGTTGGATCGCGCGATACCCGTCGCTGCTGGTCCAGCCGAGGCGTCTCGCGGCCAGATGCACCGGTGTGGCGCGCCACGGACTAGGCTCGGTGCCTGCTGCTGCTTCGTCCTTGTAGCCTGTGCGGATCGCAAAGTCGATGAATGGAAATTGGCCCTCGTCTCTGTACTTCACGTCGTACGCCATCAGCCATTCGATCTCTTTGGCAGGAAAAATATCACGGAGATTCGGCAGTTGGCCCTTCCAATTGTAGATCAAGTCGTACAATTCAGGAAGAATCGTACTACAATTGGCAGCGTTTGCTCGCAAGCTCTTCAATGCTCGCAGGCTCGAGTCTTCGGGAACATAACCGCGTGATACCTCGTGGTCGTCGGAAGTGGACATGGTTCCAAATGCACTCGGGTACAATTAACACAATTAACACAATCACACACAAGGCTTGTTGTAATAAAATATTTGTTTATTATTTCACTTTTACAATCACTTTCTGCTGCGGTGGATGCGATCTATCTTTGTTGTATGACGATGTTGCGTTGTAACCAACGATGTGGAAGAATGCACTATACTAAACACGTGCACGTGCTCTAGAGTCAGAGAGAAAGTCAGAGATGTGAATGACACGTTACTCTACAAAGTTACAAAAGCAACTGAGCGTCGAGCTGCGAGCCGTAGTGACTAGTGGCGCTACTCGGCATGCAACAGCAGCGGAAGCGAGCAGGCTCATTGGTGCACTCTGAAATCTGAAAGTCCGAAGTCCAGATTATTACAGTGCTGCGTCTATTATTACAGCGCGCGAAAGATTCTCTATTTTTGAGAAGTCTATCACTCTAAATCCGAAAAAGTAATTTTCGAACCTCAAAAGAGCAAACAGTTTACTCCTTTCACTTTAACGCTAGAACTTAAAAGAGTAAAGTGAAAGGAGTAAACTGCGTCATTTACTCTTTTAAAAAGAGTAAATAGCGCAGATTACTCTTTGGAGGTTCGAAAATTACTCTTTCGGGTTTAGAGTGTACGGTTCTCATTCTTGTACGCGACTATAATCGCGCTCGTTTGTTTTTTATACGCTCATTTCATACGTAAAGAAGTTTCACTTCGAATTGTCATAAATCATCTTTGAATAAAAATAATAGTAATTAAGCCTATTGCACAACAATTATGCACACGTCTGGCGTAATAATGTATATAGGGGTCAGAGCTTCTCTACTATATATGCCGTATATAGCACACCTACATTAACATATCGGGTGTCGCATTTTCACACTCAAATGCAAATATACGATTGATATACCGATATATGCGCACCTACGGCTGTTACGTGAAATTCCAACTAGCTCAAGCGACAATTTCTATATTAACTTGCGCGCAGGGCTATTTTGGGAAATATCGTCGCGCCGCGCGTCGAAAAAAGCCCATGTCGCGCGCGCGCATCGAAATAGCCATAACAATCATAATAATAATGAGCGCCTGCGACGCCTCTCTCTTCTTTCTCTCCTTTCTCCTTCCTTCCTTCTCTCTCTCTCTGTTATGAGTTTTCGCCTATCTCTCTCCAGTAGACAGTCGCAGTGCACGAGGTAAACAGTGCGTGATACCCGAAATTACTCAATTCCTTAAAGACGCGCTTTTGCGAATGCGGTAAAGGTCAAGATCGCAGACACTTTTACACCGAGTGCTAAAATTTCTATGTGCGATAGAGAACGTTGCCGTTATGTTTTTCGATCGCTGCAAAGGTCGTCGTCAGAGTAAACGGTAGGCGCGCAAACCTATTATTATTGGTGAATTTATAGTATATAGTGCGACGAGAGAGTAGATCCATTTTTGGATTTGACACACAAGCACACGACAGTGCGCTCGGTCTAACGAGACTCGCGAGCATCGTCCATCGCCATGACCGACTCCAAGGTAAGTTGAACTTTTTTTCATCGCATCACCCGATTCGTGAATTTGTTCTTCTTTTTTTTCGATGCATGAAATTCCAGAGGTTAGGTGTGTGTAGGTGCAGGCAGCGGTACTGCTTTAATTATAATGACAAAAAAAATTACCGTGACTAGCTTATCTCTTTTCTTTCGTTTATCGATTACGGACATCGAATTAATTTGATTTATCGCTTTATCTGTTGTCTCTGTCAATTAGTGCGGACTGAATTTTTCTGTGCAATCGATCGTTTACAGTCATGATTTCGAGAAAAAGCACACACTGCTTTTATATACACAACATCGCACATCGTGGAATGTAAATTAGCTGTATATGTTGCGTAGTGCATACCTGCACGTGTATCGTACTCTTTCCTAAAGTATTTGGAGCATCTCTTGTGTTATTCGCCGTCTTTTATTACCGTTATCATGACAATATTTTATAGTTGCAATTAGATTTTGTACTTGAATTAAAATTCTTTGATTGAACCACGCACTAAAAAGAATATTTTGTTTAGATGGCTTCCATTGATTTAGATGAAAAAATCAATCGTATGAGATTGAAAAATGAAGAAATCAAGAGGAGATACGAGGTAAATTTTACAAGAAATTATATAATTATCCGTTGAATCACATTTATTTCATAACATAATTTTTCTTATTTATAGGAAGTTGAAGCAGACAAAAAAAGGGCAGCTAAAGCAAATGCTTTGGTTAATTTAGTACCATCTAAAGATTGGCCTATAAGAAGAGAGCCCCCTGAATTTTCTGAATCTCATGATGCTTCAACGAAGCTACCATATCATGGCAGAGATACTGTGAGGCCGCTATACCCAAGCGTACAAGATAGGCTTCAGCGCAATGCTAAGTATGGCCAGGTAATAAATGAAACCTTAAATTTACTAATCATAACAATTACTTTGATCAAAGAATCTAATCATTGTATTATTACAGGGCGATGGACCTCCTCCAGATCCAAAGTATAACTTTTTAGCTGATACTGAAAGAGAAACACAACTAATCAGTTTTGAAAATAAAATTGATGAAGACAAAAATACATTTATTAATAAGGCCCAGCGAGGAGTGCCACAAAAAAGAGAACGAGGCCCTGCTGCATCAACCAGAAGTGGCGGGAATAGTCAATCACACTTCAAAGTATGTCAATATGATATTAAATTGTGTAAGCAGCGTAATCAGCTTATGAGAATATTTAATAACTTTTTTGTTCTCGCAGGATGGCAGGACAACAAATGTTTTTCACAGTAGAGATGATCGGCCAGATTATGAAGCTTGGAGAGCTGAAAGAAACAAAATTGATGAAGCTAGAATCAATAGGCAAAAAACCGCTGAAGGGAATTGGAGAAGAGAATGGGATAATGAAAAGGTTAATTTATAAGAAATTATTCAACTTTTTCAATACGATATGTCATAAAAATAATATTTCATTCCAATTTTGTTTTATATTTCAGTCCAATGTAGAGAAAGAATTCACAAAAAAAGTAGAGTATAACAGAAATAACTCTAATACATATGAAAGAAAAAATAATTATCACGATGGTTAGTTAAATTTATGTCTAAAATTTTTAAATGCTAATAGTATATTAAAAATATTGAAACTTCGAATTTTATTAATGAATTACAATGGAAATGGAAACTAATTTTTTATTATTAGGTGATTATTCTCACAAAGGATATGGTGGAAGTCGCGTTTTTCATGGTTCACAAAGATCATCTGAACACCAGGATTACAATCGTCGATCACAAGCAAATAATGAATTCAGAAGAACCACCTCTGATAGGAAAGATACAAAGAATGAATGGTCTGATGATTCCAGTCAAGGATCACAGTGCAAGGGGTCATTAATGAGTGTAAAAGGTAAACAACTTCTATTAATTTACTAATATTTATTCATTTATACTTATATTTAACAAATTGCAGTGAATGCTCCAAGTATTGCTGGAACTGGAAGAGTTGGACCAAGGCAAAAGTCAAGAGTTACTTATAGTAGTCAACAGGATGCTGATGCAAGTTTTGAAACAAACAGTTACTCAAAACCTAAATCTTTTGATTATAGAAACGGAAGAGAATTTGGAAATCCTAATAAAGTAGAATTAAGATCAACTGAATTCACATCAAGTTTAAAAAATACATCAACAGCATTGCCTCAAAAAGTAGAAACAGATCAAAAAGAATTTAGAAAACACACTTACTCTCAGCAGAGACCTAGGCCTATAAGGAATTTAAACTCTGAAAAAATTGACAGTCTTGATCTCTCAGAAAATAAAATTTCAATCCAAAAAGGTCAATTAAATGTCACTCAGAATGTTAATGATGATTGGGACGTAGAAATGAATCCAAAGTCATCTGAAAGTATTGAAATGCCTGTTGGTCTGATCATATCTAATTCTAATCTTAAAAAAGAAGATACAACACCTCATCTAGACATTGATACCATTAGCAAAACCATGATTTTTGAAAATAATTCTGTACCTTCCATGAATTCAAGTGAAATCTTGGTAAATAACTCGAATGTTAATGTCGATAAAAATCTTCATATTCAGCAACTTGTCATGGACAATGAGAATTCATTAAATACTTTTGAAACAATTGCGACTTTTGAAGATAAATCTGTGAAAATTCCAGACAATATTGGTATTTTAGAACTTCAACCTGCAGACATTTCTGAAATCATTAGATATCATCAAAATACTTTTGAAACCATTGAAACCGTTGCAGTTAAATCTGATGAAATCGTTGACTCTGTTCTGCCTTATGAAAATGAATCTATTAAAACTGTTAACGCTGTTGAAACTTTTGAAGTTAAACCTGCAGACAATTCAAAACCCTTTGGAACATTTAGAGTTGAACCTACAGAAATTTCTGAAAGAATTGAAACTTTTGATGTTAAAACTACACAAAAATCTGAAAACATTGAAACTTTTGATGTCAAGTCTGAAGAAGTTGCTGATTCTGTTGAACCTTTATTAGATTGTTCTGTAAAAATTGCTGATACTATTAGAAATTTTGAAGTTGAACCTACAGAAATTTCTGGAACCATTGAAACATTTGAAGTTCAATCTGTTGATATCGCTAAAACTGTTGAATCTTCTGAAGATACATCTGTAGAAACTGCTGACACTGTTGGAATTTTTAAAAATGAATCTGAAGAATTGTCTCAACAAATTTTGCAGAGTCAGGAAAATTTATTAAAAAATTTAGTTGATAAATTAGCTGAAATTCCATTACCAAGTATAGACACTAACCAATTGGAAAATGATTTAATGAGACATGATGAGTTATTCAATAAAAATTCAGAAGAAAAAGTCATAACTGACAATTTTGAAGATGATAAAATAAAAGTTAATGTGAATCTGTTACTTATTGATGATGATGGCCAATTAGAAACTCCGATTATTCCTCAGAGTTCTGAATTAAAAGAAAACATTACCTCTGAAGATTCTTGCGTAGATAATCAAAATCTAGATGCTCCAGAGATTTCAAAAGATACAGAAGAAAATGTTTTGATAAGCCTACAAAGTGAAAGTCATGAACATAATATTGATGATTTGGACTATGAAGCAATCGTAACTGAAGATATGGATGTGAATCTATTACTTATTGATGATGATAATGGCCAATTAGAGACTCCGATTATTCCTCAGAATTCGACATTAATAGAAAACATTACCTCTGAAGATTCTTCCATGGATAATCAAAATCTAGATGCTTCTAAGACTTTAAAAGTTACAGAAGAAAATGCTTTGATAAGCAAAGAAAGTGACAGCCATCAACATGGTAGTGGTGATTTGGACAATGAAGCAATCATAACTGAAGATATAGACTGTGAAGATCAATCTTTTGTGGATGCTGATGAAGATTTTGTTGACGCCATTGATGAAACATATGATTTTGAAAATTCCAACACTGATGTATTCGATTCTCCACAAAAATCTTTTTATGACGCCAATAGTACGTCAGAAAAAATTAATGCAGCAGATGAACTTGAATCATCTAATAATCAAACTTTCGATGAATTCTCATCAGAGTTTAAAGAAACAATTGAAATAACCAAAGAACCAAATGATAAGATTGATACAATCTGTGATAATTCTAGTGCTACAATCAACGAACCTCCTACAACAGCCCTAAAAGATATTCTTGATATTATTTGTGATGAACAAACAATTTCTGACCTAGATAATACTTTTAATGAAATTCGAAATTTAGGATCAAATTTAAATGATAAAAATGCTGTAAAATTACAGCTAGATGAATTAGTTAAAGTATCAGAAAACATTGTTTCAAGTATAGCAGAAGAAAAAGTATTTTTGAATGAAACACAAGAAAATCCTTCAATAAAATTGGACGAAAATTTTGTTTCAGTTCAAGCAGAAAATAATGTAGCTACAAGTTTAGTTTTGACTGGAACAGAAGATAACGTTGCTTCAATTAAAGCAGAAGAAAATATTACCTCGCTTGAAGTAAAAGAAAATGTTTTAGTTGAATCTAAAGAAGAATTTTTTATTGAAACAAAAGATATTATCAGTCCTATTGAAGTGGGAGAAAATATACCTTCAATAGAAGTTAAAAAAAGCATAGCTTCACTCAAATTAAATGAAAATATTAATGCTGAATTAGACAAAGATGTTCTATCAGATCGATACCAAGAAAAAGTTCCGATTGAAACGGAAAAGAATGTTCCGATCGAAAATAAAAATATTCCAATTGAAGCGGAAGTTTCTTCCACTGAGTTAGAAGAAAATAATTCAATTGAAAAAATTGAAGGTAACTAGCCATAAAAATATTAAAATCATTTATTCTCAATATTATTTAATAATGCAGAGAAGAATTAGAAAAATTTATAAATTTTACTGGAACCTTGAAAAATCTATTTTAATACCATAATTACAAAAAAATGGATTATTAATTACTTACGGAACTAGTTATATCATTCAAGCTTTAAAAAAATGATTAAAACTTAAAAATAAGCAAACGTTTATGATAGTAACGTTGAAAAAATATAAAATAGATTTTTCTCATCACTGAGCAAATCATTTATGGTTCTCTTAGAGAATCTTGTTTTGATCGATGCAATAAAGGTTGATTAAATCTAATATTTTGAAGCACCTAAAAATTGAAGATTTTTCAATATTGCAATGGTTAAGAATGAAAAGTCTTTGAATTTTAGCAGCATGTTTATATCGAATAAGCTCAAATTTTATTCTTTAAGGATACACTAAACGGTGATAAACTAGCCAGATGAACTATTGTGATAAAATTAAAAATTGAGTCAAGATTTAACACGTATTTTGGTAATAGCTATTCAAAATGAAGCAGATTGTTTTAATTGTTTAGTTGAATCAATGAGGCTTGCTTATCTAAGTTTGGTGTAAAACAGCCATGCAAGTATATTTTCATATACATTTAAAGTCTGAGACGCTTCAGGCGTTTTTATACAACAATTTGCGAGTTGTAATTATTTTATATGAACAATGTAGTTAATCGATTCATCTATTTTCATCGCTTACAGCAAGTTTTTATAAAAAAAACTTAGGATTTTAAGCGAGTCAGTAATAGACATTGTGTTGGTGACTATCGTTGTATCTATTAAAATAGTTTGGTCAATTGGAAAACCCTATCAATATTGTAAGCTGTGTATTAAATACTAATCTTCGTAAAATTAATTTTTAAATGAAATAATTCACACAAACATAGTCATACGTAGACTGAGTTCTAGTTTGTATAAAATATGAAACTAAATTAAACTGAATCATTCACTATTAATTGTGATCACAAGAAATTTACGATTGTCATTCTTTAGTGCTAATACCACGTTAAATCAAATAGTTACACGGAGCACTTGCTCTAACGAAAATTGTGCCATCCGCTCAAGTTCCATACTGACATTCAGAAATAAAGTTTCGTCAATATTTGGCGATATTTTTCCTCACAACTGAAATTCCCGAACGTTTCCTGGATCAAGAAAAAATATTTATTCGTTAATTGAAAAAAAATAAACGGAGTTTACGCGATGTTGGCTGATATTTCAAAAATATCCTGATGTCATATTGTAAATGGAGCAATATGCAACTACGAAAATGGTATTTATAATAAGTGAATGATCCATAAGAAATATTTTTGTATTAATATTATATTTAAAATCAACATTAGATATCTTCGTCATTAATTGAATATACAATATAGATTTAAAAAAGTTATATCGATTTAAAATTAGTACGAGTAAAGAAAATTTGAAATATTGTGTTATATAAAATAACAATAATTATAAGAAATATTTATGTAAGGTTATCCTTTTTTTATCGCAAAAATAATGTATTTTTTGCATATTTTTCCTTAAATTGAATTATATTTTTTCCAGATCATATTAATTACTTACGTTTCGACATGACTAAGTATTATAATTTATATTAAACTATAACGTTAATTTATGCATTTTTATAGTTTATTATTAAAAATACTGACGTTTATTTTATTTATTTTTTTATTAACTTTGGTTATTAAATTGAAATTACGTTGTTGATTGTAAAAATATTTTCATTTATAAAAAAAAATGATTAGAAGCAATAATTTCAATGCTTACATTACTAATAATTAGTAATTTTACTCAACATTGTAAAATGGGTAATAATAAAAAACAAAAAAACAAAAAAAACTCGTCCAAATGGATCCAGATTATCAATGAAGTCCACTGCAACTTTGTATAATTATTCAGAAGTTTAACATTTTAATGAAGATTGGATTGTTATTGAAAATAAAAATAAATAAATATGGCTTGTAACAACAAAATCGAAAATTTCTTTTTTTGCCTTTTTAAACTCTTCAATCGTGAAATTAATGTGATGGATGAGATTTACATGATGCTCGAGCTAATTTATCGATAAACAACAGTCGCGACAAGTGGTGAGATTTTCCATGCACTTTGGAACCGAATGGCTGATGCATATACTTCCGTTTTATTCCTTTCGAGTTAATTCTGTTTAAAAATCATTAAAATAAATATTTACTTTAACTCAAGCGAACCAGTTTAAATAATTATAATTTTATTTTTATCTCATAAAAATATTTAATTATTTAATTTAAGATACGATCGATGAACGAAACTATGTCAGAACACGATGTATTCATGTATGAAAACTAGATTTTTTATATGAAAAAATTTAATTAGAGACAAAAATATTATAAAATATTAAATGATTTTCAATTTAGAAGTACATGGTTAGATTCGAATTTTCACGCACTGTATTATTTGTCTCTATAAACGAGTTAAAATGAAAATTTATTTCCATCAATCTTTTACTCATAGTAAACTCAATTCACCTTGTATCGTTATTCGGAATAAATGTGTCTCCAATAGTGTCAAACACTAATTGAAACGAGTTCCTGATGGAAATTTGTGAAAGAAATCCGAATTCGTTATCGGCAACGATTATCTTACATTTGTCTCGTTTAACCGATAGGACAAATGCGACTTCTGTATTATTTTTGAGCTTTATCATCATGCTGAAATGTTATGCATAAACATAAAGCTCGAGCAGAGCTGCGAACAGGTGCAGTATACAGTGATTTACATAATTTGTGCAATGATTTGTGTGAGCCGCCACGGCGGCTTAAGCCTCCGGCTCGAATGTCGCGAATCGGTATAAAAGCCGGAGGAAATTGTGAAAATGTCAGATTCAAGCAAGACATCGATCAAGCAGCAATATGAAGTGTGTACTGTTAATTGTGGGCTTCGTGATTGTAGCCAGCGCATTAGCTGAGCCTAGTAAGTCGACTCCAATAAAATTATTTAATTATTTAAAATTTTTTAAAAATTGATAATATTAAAAAATGTCACTCGCCTTTGCATCCTAGATGTAGCTGTAGCCAACTCGAAAGCCAACGCACAGGCCGTTGGAAACGGACGCGCCAATGCCAACTCCAAGGCCAAGGCTCTGGCTCAGGGCCGCCAATCCGAGGCCATCGCCAATTCCCAAGCCGAGGCCCTGGCCCGTGGAGGTCGCCATCGCCGCCCCAGGTCCGTCGCCACCGCCAACGCCAACTCCGAGGCCGTAGCCGTCGGTAACTCCGTGGCCAACTCCCAAGCCAAGGCCCAAGCCCTGGCCAAGGGACCCAAGGACGTCGCCCAAGCCAACGCCAACTCCAAGGCTCTCGCCGAGGCCAAGAAGGGAGGCAAAGCCGTGTCCAACTCCGTAGCCGACGCACTCGCCAAGGCCCAGGGTGGATCCAAGGCCCAGTCCAACTCCAACTCCGAGGCTCTGGCCAAGGCCCAGCGTGGCGCCAAGGCCCAGTCCAACTCCAAATCCGATGCTCTTGCCGTAGGATCTCAGAAGGGCAACGCAGCCGCCAACTCCAACTCGAAGGCTCAGGCCCGAGGCGAAGGTCGTCGCGACAACGCCGCAGCCAACTCCAACTCGCGCGCCGAGGCCCAGGCCAAGCGCGGCGATGCCCAGTCCAACGCCAACTCCGAGGCTCTCGCCGCTGCCCGCGGTCGTCGCCGTGAGCGCAGACCATCCCACGACGGTGGTGCCCAGGCCCAGGCCCAGGCTAACGCCGACGCCATCGCCGCCGCCCGCGCCGCTCGCCGTCACGGACGCCGCCCAAGATCGGTCGCCAGCGCCAACGCCAACTCCGAGGCCGTAGCCGTCGGCAACTCCAAGGCCAACTCCAACTCCAGAGCCGAGGCTCTCGCTCAGGGTCGTCGCGGAAACGCCGCTGCCAACGCCAACTCCAAGGCACAGGCCATCGCCAAGCGCGGAGGACGTGCCAACGCCAACTCCAACGCCGAGGCTCTCGCCAAGTCTCGCCGCCCCAGATCCGTAGCCGAGGCCAACGCCAACTCCGAAGCCGTAGCTATTGGTAACTCCCAAGCCAACTCCAACTCGAAAGCCAAGGCATTGGCTGCCGGACGCGGAAACGCCCAGGCCAACGGAAACTCCAAAGCTCTCGCCCAGGCCAAACGCGGCGGACAAGCCGTAGCCAACTCGAACGCCGACGCCCTCGCCGAGGCACGCGGACAACGCCGCCACGGACGCAGACCCAGATCGGCCGTCGCCAACGCCAACAGCGAAGCCGTAGCCGTCGCCGCGGGAAAGGGTAGCCAAGCCCAGGCCAACTCCAACTCCAAAGCCCAAGCTCTGGGTAACAACTCCCAGGCCAACGCCAACTCCAAGGCCAAGGCCCTGGCCAAGCGCGGAGGACGCGCGCGCTCCAACTCCAACGCCGAGGCTCTCGCCCAGGCTCAGGGTGGACGTCGCCACGGTGGACGCCGCCCCAGATCCGTGGCCGAGGCCAACGCCAACTCCGAGGCCATCGCCGTCGGTAACGCCGTCGCCAACTCCAACTCCAGAGCCAAGGCTCTCGCCGGACGTCGCGGTAACGCCCGCGCCAACTCCAACAGCCGCGCCCAGGCCATCGGCAAACGCGGAGGACGCGCACGCGCCAACTCCAACTCCGACGCTTTGGCCAAGGCTCAGTAAACAACATCAATCGATTCAATCAATTTAGCCTTCAAGTGACGAGATGAAATTCACCCATTTGTTTCGTTGTATAATACAATTTTTAAAGATAATTCTGCCTCAATAAAATCAAATTTTTGAGAGGAACACTCATCTTATTTATTATTATCCCTTCTGTTTACCCGTTTTTCAATTTTTACAACAATTATAATTCATCAACTTGATTCATTTTACTTTCAACATTCTATTATCGGAATTGCGAATCCTGACTGCATCATTTTGTCTTTAATAACATTCATCAACTGTCTATTCTCAAGTTTGAGCTGTGATATAAAGTAGATAAATGTATAATATGATTTTGAAATTAAAAATCATTGAAACATCGATAATCACCTTTATGGTTTGCGTGTAACACTGGTCAAATTCGTCCGGACGATTCAAAGCTATATTTAGCAAGCACAAGTACCCCCACACTTCTGCGTCCTCGGGGTCTAAGCTATTCGCTTCCATCAGGGCTAATTCACTCTTGTCATATTCTTTTAGCTAAAAAATAATATTAAAATATAGCAAGTGATTCGCGTTGGTCTGAGAAGTCGAATTTTTTAAATCTCACGTTGTAACAAGATATCCCAACCCCAAGCCAAGTCTTGCAAGTAGGCCTGGATTTACAAGCTCGTAAAAATACATCCAAGGCGTGCTTGTAATCTCCATTGTCGATCAGTTGAGATCCCATTCTCAAATGGACCAGATGAATGTCGTCCGGTCTCTTGTGTAACATGTCCGCTATCTCGTACTGTTCCAAAGATTTTTCAAAATTACCGAGTTGATAATCGCAATGACCTTTGAGGGCGGCGACGCAGTACTCCTGTATGCGCACAAAATTCTTTAATCGTTTTTTGTTAGAATTGTTTTAGTTCGATTTGATTTTTTATTTTTTTACCGGTCCTATTAATAGTTCCGTCTCTTGGAGGGACTTGAGAGAACTGGTATAGTCGCGCTGAAGGTAATGCACAACGCTCGAAAAGTAAAGAAAGGCGATGGATTTTTTCGTGTGACATATATCTTGAGCCAAAGCTAATCCTGCAATCTGTTAAAGTAATTTTGGGATTAAAAAATGTTGTAATACGAGGCTAAAATTGGCATTTAAATTTTTTTCATTTGGCGGGCGTAATTGACGTCGTGACGTAGATTATAGAGGTCCTACATCGAAAACTGCGAGAAGAATGAATATTTTGATGGGTATTTTGTGTACATATCTCTACTTTTGTGTCTTGGAGGACGAAAAAGGCACATTTTTGCGTTAGTACAACAGGGGTAAATCGTTTTGAAATTTTTGAATGCGCTTCGAGCACCGTGAAAACATTTTTTCATTTCTAATTTTTTCGTAATAACTTATCATTGATAGAAAAATGTTTGCCAAGTCATTAGACGTGAAATGCATAAATTTCTTCAATGATATTTTTTTTATAGAGACTTTGTCTTTTTTTACGTTGATAACTTACGAATTACAAAGAATGAGAAAAAGAACTGGCAAAGAGCTGGGTTGGTTTGTTCTGTTTACTTTGCGCAATCGACACATGTGCCCTTTACGAATTACGATTTGTTTTGCCCTGCTACGCTACACGAAAGGCTGTGCCGTGTGATCGCTGCGATGCCGAAGCTGATCGCTGTTCTATGAAGTGCCGTGCGACGTCGCCTGCTGCCGTGCGAGCGCCGCTGCAGTGACTAACACCATACATAGGCTTCCGTTCCGTTCGCATAGTTTTTCAATTAACGTAGCGAGCAGTGGGCACAGGACAACCAAACTCTCTTTGTCTTCTTTTCTCTTTCAGTGTTAGTTCGTGAAATCATTGCAAAGAAGTCAACGGTTGATCAGATTCTCGGTGAGAAATCAAATGGAATCCAGTGATTTACTTAATTGTGCTTTTAGGTAATTTTCATCTTACATGACAATGGAATTATAAAAATATCATGACATAACATAATTATTGATTCTACTGGGGTTATTTCAGAGTGAAAGAGGAGCCTGATAACGTGTCTCGTACAGAAAATGATAGTGAAATGATTGATAAGAAACCCGATTTGAAAAACTTCCAACTTTTACCATTACCGCGAGGTAATTCGGTAAGTGTCGATTACTGCATTTAACTCGTATTATAATTGCTTTTCTTTGGAGAAATTCTCACATAGCTTTCACTTTTTCACAGACTTATGTCCATCGAAAATATGAAGAAAATCATGAAAGTGAACTTCACGACGACGCGGAAATAGTCGTTGAATGTGAAGACGTGAAGCCCGATATCAATTTATTAACAGTTAAAAAAATTGACGATGATGCTAAATATAGCAATGGTTGTAAAATTCAATATATAATCAAAGTAGAACCCGCAGAGGGAGTGAAACAGGAAATGGTTGGTGATGCTGCAGAAGAATCAAGTTTAAATGTCGACTGCGAAATTGCCGAAAAAAATAAGAAAAGAGGAATTGTAAAAAAGGTACGCAAAGAACGTAGACCCAAAAAGTACATCGGCACGAAGCATGATACAACTTACCAATGTGAAATATGCAGAAAAAATTTCTTATCACAGAGTAACCTGGATAGACATGTCGAGTCATTACATGATGGTATTACCCACCTGTGTAATACATGCGGCAAGTCATTTTCTCAAAAATCTCATCTAAAAACTCATATAAATGCTGTGCACGAAGGTATCAAATATACATGCGATATATACAGAAGTGATATCAAAATCCACATCAATTCGGTGCACAATGGTGTCACCTACACATGTGATGTCTGCGAAAAGAAATTCTCAAGAAAACATGTTCTTAAACGCCACATCGATTCAGTTCACAATGGTGTCACCTACACATGTGATGTATGTGGAAAGTCATTTTCACAAAAATATAATCTAAAAACTCACTTGGATGCTATGCACAAAGGTATAAAACATGGATGCGATATGTGTGGCAAGACATTTGTTCACAGAAGTGATCTCAAAATCCACATTGATGTGACGCACAATGGTGCCACTCATGCATGTGATATTTGCGGAAAAAATTTTTCAAGAAAACCTGATCTCAAGAAACACACCGATGTGACACACAATGGTGTCATCCATTATACGTGTGATATTTGCAAAAAAAAATTCTCGAACAAGAGTAATCTCAAATTACACATGGATTCGGTGCACAATGGTGTCACCCACACATGTGATGTATGCGGAAAGTCATTTTCACAAAAATCTCATCTCAAATCTCACGTCGATTCGGTGCACAATGGTATCACTCATGCCTGTGATATTTGCGGAAAAAAATTTTCAAGAAAACCTAATCTCAAGAAACACACCGATGCGGCACACAATGGTGTCGCCCATTATACGTGTGATATTTGCAAAAAGAAATTCTCGAACAAGGGTAATCTCAAATTCCACATGGATTCGGTGCACAATGGTGTCACCCACACATGTGATGAATGCGGAAAGTCATTTTCACAAAAATCTAATTTAAAAAAACACGTGGATTCGTTGCACAATGGTGTCACCCACACATGTGATGAATGCGGAAAGTCATTTTCACAAAAATCTAGTCTAAAAAATCACGTCGATTCGATGCACAATAGTATCACTTATGCATGTGATGTCTGCGGAAAGAAATTCTCAAGAAAACCTGATCTCAAGAAACACACCGATGTGGCACATAATGGTGTTACCCACACATGTGATGAATGCGGAAAGTCATTTTCACAAAAATCTAATCTGAAAAAACACGTGGATTCGTTGCACAATGGTGTCACCCACACATGTGATGAATGTGGAAATTCATTTTCACAAAAATCTAGTCTAAAAAATCACAAAAATACCGTGCATAAAGGTGTCAAACATGCATGTGATATTTGTAGAAAGAACTTCTCAACAAAGGTTTATCTGAAAGCCCACATAAATGCGGCACATAATGGTATCACTCGTGCATGAGATATTTATGGGAAAAAATTCTTGACTATGAGGCATCTGAAAGCTCACATCCATTCGGTGCATAAAGTCATCGCTCGTTAAGACAACATTGACACGGCGCATCACTCACACTTGAAAATTTTTACCTAATTTAAAAATTTTCATTTATAATAATATGAGTTTTTTCAATGATATCTTATAGTGAGAACAAAGTTGTTAAAAAAAATCAATAAATTTTTTAAGAAAAATGAAGCACATCATTAATTGTAAGTCAATAAAATACCTAAGCCCTTGAGAGCAAATCCCAACTTTGTCATACTTAGCCCTAAACTCAATTTTTTTATTGCGACTTACTCAGGTCTGTGCTAATTGAATCGTTTCAAAACTGCTTATGATATTTAGCACAGTAATATTTTATAATCGGATTTTTGATAATATCCTACGGCTACAATCAATGTAGTAATTTTGTTGAAGGTATTTATCTCAGTTTAACATTCACCAAGAATTGTATCATGTAAATGTCATTTGTTCCTAAGTGGATTAATCTTTAGACACACGATTTCTCACTGTCAAAAAGAAAGTCAGAGAAAAGTTTCAAATGATTTTGAGTAATTATATTAATGAAAAAACGCAATTTGAAAAAAAAACCTATCACAATTTTGCTTGTTGTGGCGTTTTCTCGTGTTCCTGTAAGTTCTCAATTGTCGGTACACGCGTCAAGTGTCAAACTTCCATTCCGATTTTAGCCTCGAATTCGAAGAATTTTATATATATGCGATTTTAATGCAAAGATGAGTCTTACGTCATAGAGATTGAGTCTGAGCAAGAAATTGGCTGTCAGAAGAAACACCCTGTCGTCGTGACAGATCTCGGCGCACCAAATCATGGGTTCTTCTTTAAAAATGAACATCGGTTCGATCTCTTTTTTTCGATCTCGCAAGGAATCCTCGGCGAGCTGTAGTGTTATATCGATTCCTGCAAAATATAAACAATCTCGATGAAAAATAAATCGTCAGTTTATATTTACAATAACGTTACCGGGATTATAATGAATTTGAATGTAGAATAAATGCAAAAGAGCCCATCCTTCTACGAATCGTGGATAAAAGTGTGTTGCAGCTTTTAAAAAAATTTCAGCCTCGTCATATTTATTTTTCATCATCAAAAGAATTCCGTAAAACGTGAGTCTGAAACATATTTTCCGTTAATGCAATTACGGTCATGGCAGGTATGAAATTGTATCGATTCGCTCACGCAATTTTATGACGATCGCTCAATCTAATCGACTCTCGACAACACTCGATGGCTTCGTCGAGTTTGCCGCTCCTGACGAAGTTGGTGGCGTACATAATCCACGAGTCAGGATCATTAGTAGCTTCAACGACGATCTGCATAATTAATCGAGTTGTTGTGAGTAAAAGTGTGTTCTTTTCTGTTCACGATATCTTGATTGTTTTGTAAACCTTTGCGTATAATTTGTCGGCTTTTTTCTGATCTCCTGCTTCGTAAGCTTCCTCGGCCCTGAACCATAATACTTTCGGAGTTTCCGCGTGCTTTTGCATCTCGTCGGCGCAAACGTTGATTTTCGTATTTATTGCCGCGTGCATTTTCTCGATGAGATACGTGTAACAGGCTGTCGCCATTTCCTGCAGGTATCAAATTGATTAATATAGAAACTGGTAATCTTTTAATGATAAGCGCATAGTCAAACCTGACGCCTTTTTGAGTCGATATTGTAACGATCAGGAAATTTCATCTCAACTAAATTAGCGATTCTCTTTTTGAGAATATTACGCATAGTGCAGTATTTACCCGAGTCGTGAAGATGTTTCTGAAAGCGACTCAATTCGTCCTGAAACAATCAAAGGTTTATCGATAGAAACGGGGAAAGGGCAAACTGTTCCATTTGAATTTCTCTATAACTAACTGGGCTAGAAAATTTCCTTGCGGACGACTCGCAAGATTCCGACATTTCTGATCCATTTTTCGAGTCTTCTTTTTTCATTGATTCCTTAAAGTCCTACTTTCATATAATAATAATAATAATTTTAAATGCGAAGCAATTTGTAGTCAGGACTTTAGCGTACCTTATAATTTTCATTGATGAAATCAAACAAATATTTCACGCAATCATCGTAATTCTCTTCGACCAATTGCGTCGTATACGGAAGCTTTACAAGATCCCTATTAACTTTTTTGTCCTTCAATTTTTCGAACCTGTTTGATGATATAATCAATTGCCATTAAATCATCATTGAGTAAATAAAAGGACGAATTAATGAATGTAATGACGCACGCATCCGTGAACTCTTCCAAATCTCGCGGGATAATGAGCGGCTTGAACACCTCAAATTCGACGAGGATCAATACCGGCTTGCCGCTTTCCGTAAATAATGGATCCTTTCGCGTCTGGTAGCCCTTGAACGGAGAATACAAACCAATCGATCGATCGATAAGAATACCCGTACTCAATTATAATACGTACTTCCTCGGTATAATCTCCAGCCTCGTTGCTGTTGGCTGAAATTTTCGATTCTCTACAAAAAGAACCGACGTGCCTCAAGGCTTCCTCGGATTCGGGCTCATCTATTAGTTGATATAACTGAGCTAGAACTCGAGTTGTTTTATCTGCGAACAAACTCAAAATTATCTAGAACCCCCGGTGTTACGTTGATATGAATTAATTATATTTTTTGTACATTACTTCCAGGAAAGAGAAGCTGACTGATATCGACTTCGCATTGGTAAACCGTGACGCATTCTTGTTCGGAATTTTCCTGACCCTCCTCCGATTCGTCGACCAGAATTTTCAAGTTCCACTTTCGATACCTGTAGTCGTTCACAATATTTTTATTTCAGCTTATGGTATAAATACACAAATAATTACTTATTGATGTGCCATTTGAGGCTTTGAGAGTCATTTTCATTCATCAGCAATCTGTGCATAGTATTCCATTGAATTCTCGGTACGTTTTTCTTCGTAGCTTCCTTAATAAAATCATGATAAAATACACATCCACGTCGTAGTTATTCAGAAAGTCGATTTCCTTACTTTCATGCAAAATTGATCTTTAAAATCATTCTTTATCCTTCCGTAATTGAAATCGATTTTGTATTTGGAAAATGAGCCACGCCCATCGATGTTCTGCAGCCTTTTCCATTTTTTCGTCCCTTCGACGTCTGGATAATCGACCCACTTACCCGTTTCAAATGTAATCCGCTCGTCCTTGAATACAATTATTTTTCAGGATCAAATTATATGAAAACTTTCGCCGCGTCACTTACATTTTCGCACGTCTGAATGGTAGTCTCGCATTTGTATCTCATATATCTGGCGAAGTAAGATGGTAAATTGAACAAACTTTCTATCGTGATATTTAAAACGTTGTACGAGATATCCTGAAGAATGGAGGGATTATCGGGGATGATCACCGAAACCGCGATCCTCGGTAAACATTGCCATGGTACAGCACTTTCGTCCCAAGAATAGACTGGCGTGTCGAGAATCAATTTTTTCTTGCTAAGCGTTTCCTCGCCTGTACGAAAAAAAAATGTTACGAGGAAAAATGACACCCTTTTCTCGTACATACCCAATACAACGGGCAAGAGATCGATATTGCAGATGCCTAGAGTGACGATTTGTTCGACGCTCTTGATGCTGATCGACGATCTCGCGGGACCTTTTTTATTCTTCTTGTTTGGTGTTTGCACGGGCCTGGGCACTTGGACGTACTCCAAAACTTCTATCAAGACCGGACTCGACACGATCGAGGCGACACTTTTCTCGCACAACGCGTTGTAGCACAGTCCGGCCGAAAAATCGATGGTGTGCTTTTTGCACGGGTCTCCGAGAGTGGATTCAAACTTTATCACTTTACTTTCTCCCAAGAGTTTACCGTCGTGCTTTATCAGAAATTTTAAGCTCGCGTTTCCCTCACGAATCTGTTTCAGGAGCATCGATCGTTATTTACAGGTTCGTATTATTTCTCTAAATAAAGTAACTCTCTTACAAAATTTTCAACATTGTGAATGAGAATTTCAATTTCGGAATCAGAGCTGCATTCTTCGCCTTCCTCATTTTCTTCTGCTTCTTTGTCTTCTTCGTATTTTTCAGCATCTTTTTCGGATTTTATAACGCTAATTGCGTAAGACCTACTGTTCCTCAGTAAGCCAGAATCTTGACACGGAACGCATCTTTCCGTGTAATCCATACTTTTTTTGACACTTCTCATTCACCGTTTAATTCTCCAGGTTATGTAAATTTATGACGCGTACTGAAATCTAACCAATTTACTGCTGGCAGGGTTTTGAAATAAAACGCTGTTATTTATGAATAAAATCTGTTTATTAAAAACGTTTGCTTAGAAAAAATTTGTTGCTAATTTTATCTACGATAATGCCGATGATTCTATCGAAGTAGTTTGACAGTCGATGATATTTTTTTTTATTTCAAGTTTTGTTTATATCTAATTGCACGCTTTATTTATGTAACAATAATATGGTTTCGAATGAAGCTGTCAAATGAATTTCCCTATATCGTAATCGTGGCAAGTGTCACGTATAACTCAAAAATCAATAAGCCAATGAACTCGACCTGCGTTCAATATAATATATATTCCTATCCTATGTTAATAAAACACAACAAAATTTTTTATAATACGTCGTATACCACAATGAGTTTCAGAGCGCATATGATCTATCAACAATCGAACTGTTTTTTTTTCGTGTTACAATGTACACAATACGTAATCAATGATTTTCATCGAGGCAATCGTTACAAATTGATAAAAGCTTCGTTAGAATAATAAGATCATACTAATTTTTATATAATAGACTATGTTAAACGTGGAACAGAAAGGCACTGCCATTACTTTGTTTTTTTTTCTATTCGTGTCTCTTTTGTACAAGTCAGTATAAAAAACGGAGCTAATCGTTTACGTCATGATATTTATTAAATATGTCATATACATGGATAAATGTCCTCGCAGTAGTACAAATAATTCTCACGAAAACAACGAATATATAATATATATAATATGTAAGGTAAAAAAGGCTATCCCACTCGTGAGTCTCTTCATTCGATATATAATATATAAATATCCATTCATCATAGTCGTATACTGAATTTTACAAAAGATTTTAACTATATAATAATGCAATGTGTCACACATGGGGAAAACGATGATATACTTCCAATCTGTCTCATAATACACGAAATATACGTTTATGTTATATATTAGGATCAATTCGTTGGCTCGTTACGGTCGCTCCTCTGCACATCATGCACACTCACACAGGCTTCTACCCGCCGCATCGTCACACTATAACACTTTATGTACAGACTGATCTGCGCTTCAAAGGGATTTGAGGGTCTTGTCGATGAGACGGAGAGTGCTCTCGGGTACGGCGTCGGTCAGCGCCTTCTGGAATCCCTCGCAGTGGAACAAGAGTCGGAACGTCTCTTTCGCGTGTTTTCTGCGCAAAAAATTATATAATCATTTTTACGTAAAAAAGTGTATAAATGATAAGTTAACATAAAATCGAGCGGATACTGACCTGGCTTGGAGATTACCGTCGGTCAGCAATTTGGCGTTGGTGGCGAAGAGCTTGTCGCGCACCTCGCGAGGAAGCAGCATCGCGTTCTCGGCGCCGATCTCCGAAACGATCAGGCAGATCAGTCGAGCCGTCGTCGCGTGCACGATCGTGTTCTGATGGCTGCAAGAACGAGAGAAAGATAAAATTTATAATATAATTGATTCAAAGAAGTTACATAATACTACGCTCTACCTAGCTCCGCGATTGGCCACCGTCAGTATGGTCTTCTGGGGCGGGAAGTGATCGACCATGGCGTCGAGGGCGCAGTTGCAGTCCTCGCGCAGGAAGCGATTCGTGTCGGCGGTGCGGTGCAGCAGCGGCGCGGCGATCTCGTCGAGGTCCTGCTCGATGCCGCGCACGTGCGCCCCGAACACCAGACTCGCCGTGGAGCAGGCCACTCGGGCCACCTGCGACCTCAGATTCTTGATCTGCTTGCCGAGGAGACGGGCCAGCATACCGGGCGGACAGGCGTCCAGCTGCTCGGGCTCGTCGCGGGCGATCTGGCCGAGGGCCCGGAGGCCCTTGAGCGTCACCTCCCAGTCCTTGTTCTCAAGTTGATTGAAGCAGGCTTGGAGGGCCTTGGTGGGCTTGCTGTCGTGGTGCTGCTTCGTCTCGTTGTGCGCCGGTCGGCCGTTGACGGATCTGGATCGGTGGCAGCTGGCGTCGGGGCGCATCTTGCAGGGCGAGACTTTGGCCAGGCGTCGCGGCACGTCGATCGGAGTCGCTTGGCGAGACTGAGGCACGAAGCCGACGTTGTCCACCTCGTCTTCTCCCTCGTCCTCGAAATCATCCTCGTCGTCGTCTTCCTCGCTCTCGCTCTCATCGTCGTCGTCCTCCTCCTCGCTGCTGCTGTCACTGCGCTCGGCCAGAGGACCGTCGAAACCAATCGGTACCGGAGGCGGCTCGGAGGAGGCCTCGTCCGACTCTGGGTACTGGACGACCGGTTCCGGCTGATCGGCTTGGCTCTTGGGACTGCTTAATTTCGGCGACTGAATGCGGGAAAGGGGTAAAAATAATCGATGCTCAATTACAATTACTACGTTAGGCTTGTGGCTTCGTATATAATTGCTCGCGCTCGTTGTAAATCATTCAGACGGTTCGCTTTTAGTGGCTTGATGTACATTAAAGACGCCTTAGACAGGCAGGCTCCTTGACCTATATTTACCGTTTTTGCTTTTTTCTATTTATTTGTTGGCATTGATTTTCATCAGGTTTAAACGTGATTATATAAAACTTACCGCACTTTCGCAGCTATACACGCTGACGTTGGAGTCGGTGCTAGGTGGAATATTTTTCGCATCGGTCGCCTGATGGAATTCTTCCTCCTCCTCCTCCTCCTCCTCTTCCTCGACGCTACCAAAGACGCACTCGACGGCGGGCATAGAAGGCTTCGAGGTCATCTCGCTCGAGTTCGAGTCCGAATCGACGACGCTTTGAACTGTCGACGTGAGTGACGAGTCCGACACTGTACTCGGTGGCACTGCCTCCTCTGGGCAAGTCGTCTTTTCCTGCTCCTCATGCGGCACGTCGTTTGTTTTTTCGATATTCTAAAATATAACAGTAATTTTTTAATCGATTCGTTTGGGAATGTCATTGAGGGCGCAAGAAAAGTTTCCGTCTACAATTAACTTTTAATCGTTCGACCGTAAAGCGACACACAAACTTTTCTCATTTCGCAGGACGAAAATAAACTCACGATAACGTGCTCCCTGTGGACTGGTGGTTTATTATCTTTGACTTCTGAGGTCGTGGACGATATGACATCGAAGGCCTTGTCGGAGTCGGGCGATTCGCGATGATGATGATTCGAGGCGAGAGGCTGCTCGACGATCGTCGCCGTTGTCGCCGTCGACTCGTCGCTTTGATTATTGTTGTCGGCGCGATGATGATCGTTATTGTTGTTGACGGCATTGGAAGAGGACTCGTCGCTCTCCGTGTGAGCGGCCAAGGAAGGAGATCGACGGTTTTTCAGGACTCGCCGAGCGCTATTGTTAACCGAACCGCTGCTACTGCCACCGCTGCTGCTGTGGTTGCTTCTGGTGTCCTCATCGTCTATTCACGTGAAAAAAAAAAAAAAATAATAATAATAAGACCCATGAAAGCATCGTATAAATTGCGAGGCGAGCGTCGCTATTACAACGGAGAAATAACGTCGAGTCCTTTATGTTTTATGTACCCCAACTCGCGAGATCGCTATTACACGGGTGTAGCGCGATAAGAACTCCTATATACTGCAGCTATATAGTGCATTTTTACAGGTGCGCGGGGGTTTCCAATATAACGGTTTAGATCCTTATCTCTCGTCCTTATATACATTATGCCCTATGCATTTGCGCAGACAAAAAAGCTCGTCCCTTTCTTTTTTTCGCAAACGCCCGCGTCAGTTGCGGGAAATAAAAGAACAGAACTGGAAAAAAAATCGGTGTATCGATCGGTCGGTGGCGCGCGCGGATATCAATCCTCCAAATAGGATCGATTTGTGTGTGCACGTTACATGGTACGTATGTGCGAGCGCCTACTTAATAAGTAAAAAGATAAAAGTGCAGCGAAAAAGAGAGAGAGAGAGAGAGAGACATAACTGCTGTACTACACTAGCTCGACATAGCGAGAGAGAGGGACTACTCGTTTTGTCGCGTGGTGTATAGATATAAAACTACCCTTATAATATCGATCCTTCCTCGCTGCTGCTTGTGCATACATACACACCCACATATACTACACACGGACACACTCACAGGAACTGCTGCTTGTGCATGCATGCATACATCGGCGGTGGTAGCAGCAGCAGCTACTCTCGCCCGTTGAGCTCTCCACTGCTGCTACTACTAGCTGCACTATATGGTAGTACTACTGCTATTGCTTAAGCGCAGCATAGCGCTGGGGGTTCAAGAACCTCGCGTTCCAATTCAAAATGCGCCTTTTTTGCGCTTTTTTTGTGCATACGCAATGCACGATCTCGTGCCTACGTGCTCAAAAACGATCTCTCGCGCAGTTTGTCTCGGGTAAACATAATGTCGAATGCAAATTCGATGTTTGATTATCGCGAGGGATGGCTGATTCACGTAAAGCATACGTAAAAGAATATTATGCCGAGGATTAGTGTAGCTTTGCCACCTGTGCGCGCTCCCGATGCAGCACCGCGTCTCCCGTGTTTGCCACGCGCAAATAAGCATTCGGCAGGCATATGATATTATAAGCAATCCGAGATCGGAGCTTCGAAAGAAAAACGTCTCGTTGCATCAGAAACTTCTTTCCGACGCCGACTCGCTGCTACTCGTGTATGCATGTCTCCAGCGGGCTCGATGCATTCCCAGCTCGGAGAATGGCAATTCCCATGCACACGGGCCGATCAATCGAGCACGTGCAAATACGTAAACTATAGCTCCGCTACTACTTATACCTCTGTGCTAGACCCCCCCGAGTCACGAAAAGCCTTCGAGCAGGAGGTCAATGACCAGAGCCGGTGGTGTGCATCCTTTGCTCCCCGCGAGTCTTTGTGTTACGTAGGTGCACATCCTTAAATGTATATGCGACACTACTTACCGTTGCGTTGCGGCGACGAGTTGCTGTGATTCGTCGATCGGCTGACGCTGATCGTGCGCCCGGAATCCGCTTGGCTGGGCTCCTTCGATTTGTCGTCGAGTCCTTCCTTGTCTCTGCAAACAAAGAAATTCATTCAGAGTTAACTCACTTTGCGCAAGACAAAAATTAGTTGACAAGGAGGAAATATTTATGTATCGATGAGGCCTATCGCGAAAATATTCATTATTATGAAATAAAACAAGTAGAGACGTGAGAATTGTAACGAGTTCGAGCAGCTGTCCCAACAAAGCGGACAGTGCTCTAAAACATAAACATTTTCATTCAAAAGAAACGTACGAATTATGAAAATGAGGAGAGATCCTCGCGCGAATCGGCGTCGCGTCGCCGTCGCAAGCTCTCCTTCCCTCGAGGTGTTGAGAGTCACCGTTGCTCGTGGCATTGTTTATTGTATCGTCGCATCCGATGGCTTTTCTCGATCTGAAAGCGCACGGGCAGCAGCCCAGAAACGACTCGCCGAGATCGGCCAACGAGGACGCGCGACTAGCCGCACTGGCCACCCTCGTTATGCCATTGTTGCGCTGATTATGGCCGTTCGTTTTGCCATTACTGATCTCCGAAAGATTATTGGAGTCTTCCTTAGCGGTGGCGGCGTTGGCATCCGGCCAGAGGCAATATTTAAAAATCATTTTCGTCATTTGCGAGTGCAGGGCATCTTCAGGCAGTAGTAACGAAGCTGCTGCTGCTGCTGCTGTTGCGACGCGACTCTGCTGCGGCACTCGCTCGCCAGCGAGGACAATTGACAACTAGCACTACGTGTCACGACCATCCTGACTATATGTTCCGTAATCGAGGAGACGAGCTTTTTTTCTCATCGATTTCGCGCCATTCTATGGGCAAGATGATCGAGCAGGATTCGACGACAATCGAATGGCATCGCAGTCTTGGTCTGCTCGACGATCGCGACACGCGTGCACGCTCATTCTACGATTATACGACCATCATAATAATCATAGTACGGCGCTAGTGTAAATAGAGAGAGAGAGCTTTTTATTACGATGAATTATAAATCGATTTCACACGCGTAGCAGCACGCGGCGGAGTGTCTATAGGCGTATATAATAGTCGTGTGTGCGGCTGGTCTGGCGAGTCGCGTACTTTTGCCGCTGCTCACGACCTTCGCCTACGCGCGCGTATAGAAAAAATTACTAACAACGACGAGTCTCGGTACACAGGGTGCTTCGTAGAAAAGTTTTATCAGTGTGCATAAGTATTCGTGAGTGAAAATGAAAATAATTATCGATCGCGCGCGGCAATTATTCGGAGATTCGCGGCGCGGCAGTCGAGTGCAGCCGACGCAGCGAAATGTTTCCTTAACTTTGCTTTGATAAAATAATACAAATAAATACACGGCGAGTTGACAGACTGCTGCTGTTGCTTGATCACGTGTGACTCATATAATTTGTGCGCTCTCGCGTGTATTATTTTGAATTTTAATGCAAGTCAATGTGGAAAATTTGTCGATACCGGCGCGCACTTTTGTATTGTACACACACTGAGCAGAGAGAGAGAGAGTGACACTTGCAATTTTGAGGCACCGAATTTTTTTTTTTTTACTTTTGTCCGTAACGCAAAGGAAGTCTATGAGGAAGGAATCACGCGCGTTGGACGCGGCCCGTGTACTACTGGTACTGCGCGTGGAGCCCATATATAGAAGCACACAAGACACCGCACACGCGTGACTATACTACAGCGCGGCGGGCTCAAAATTCATACCCGCGCTCTCTGCTCCTGCCTCGCCTGCGGAGCAGCAGCGGCGTAGGGAAATATATACACTTGCTGCTCGAAAAAGAGAGAGAGAAAGAGAGAGAGAGATAGAGGCTCTGCGTTGACCGGCATGGCTGGTTGGCGCGCGCGCGCATACACCCGCAGATATCCAGCCTAGTATATATAGTAGGTACTATATACGACCCTCGGAATATCCCCATCGCGGCAACCCGACCACCCGCCTACCTCGCGCGCTTTGTTTTCCATCGCGATAACACGCGGATAGAGTTTGGCTTAGAGCTCCGAGTACCTATACCTATACCTACATGTACGGCAGCTACTGCGTACATGTGTATACTTTACGAGCTCCGCTTTTTCGAGCTAATCAAACTTATTTTCTTCACCCATGAGCCACTGCCATCGCTCTATGAATGACGTCTGTATATGTACGCGCGCCAGTCGATTATTCAATAATTCATATTACGGGTGTAATACGTAACCCAGCGTTCATGCATAATACAGCAAGTATTTATTTGGCAAAAGTTGACGAAAGCTTCGCCGAGCTTCCATATGTAGACGAGGGTAGGGGTGGTGGTGGGTGTCGTTATATACGAAGCTCAGCGCGCACGACTCTTTCGAGTGCGTGCGTAGGTAATTGTTGTCAAATGTACACACAGCTGGACGCGCATGTATATACACACCTGGTAAATATCTTTAGCTACTCGTGCTGAATGCGTAATCAGTCCCTTCTTACAACGATACTATAGGCTTTTAATTGTGTAGCTGATGTTGCTCGTCTATCATTAATAATTGGATTATTTTTCTGTTATGAAACGTCTACCACGAGTGCGTCGTCCACCGCATTTTTCAATTTTTCAACTCGTGTCTCGTGGGTAATTTCGACGCCCGCACATCACCCAGCGCATTAATCTCTCGAACTCATATTTGAGCTTTCTGCTAAGAATAATCACGTACACCATGCAAGTGTAAGCTTACCCGGCCCCGTTGAGGAACAATGTTTTTCTTTTCCAAGCCCAGCACGTTGGTATAAAAAATTCATTGGCCCGAACGGGCCGCCGTTACAGTATCAGAGCGCGCTCTGAAAACGTCGACGGAAATGAGGCATCAACGTGTCACGCCATCTCGCTAGACGTAGCCAATATGCACTAGCTCGTTCTCGGTGCGCTTCGAGCACCATGGAATCAATTTTACATTACTCTCGTTGATAGAAAAATATTAACCGTTTATTAAATGTGAGATGCATAGTTATTTCTTTAATGAAGTCGTCATAATGACTTGGTTTTGCTTCGTTTAGATTAATAACTTCAAAATCTCATTTCATAATTTGTTAATATCATTAAGATACGTAGAACAACTGTCGAACAGCACAGAACTCTGATCGTCTTTCATTGCTTACATCGAGCATGGCATTTCTTGACCTCTGTGTGTTGCCTGGCATGGTCTTTTGTCGTGCATAGAGGGCTGAGCTGGTCGCGCCGTGCGAGTCAGTTGATGCTCTTCTCATAGCAAGATATAGCTAAGCGTGCAAGTATACAGCTCTGTGCTCTTCATCGGTTTCCCGCGTAGTTAGTTTACTCATCTCAGCAGGATCAATTGTTATCGAAATTGCAAGAGAGAAAAATGGAATTTAATGGGTTATTGAATAGTGTTGTCAGGTAATTTTCGTTTTCTTCACAGGAAATTGTGAAAAATATTTTAACCAAATACTTGATCTAATTGAGGTTATTTCAGAGTGAAAGAGGAGCCTAGTGATGTATCAATTGCTGAAAATGATCGCGAAATGATTCATGAAAAATCCGATCGTAAAAACTTCAAATTCTCAACATTTTCGCGAGAAAATTCAGTGAGTGTTGATAATTACATGCAACTGTTATTTCAATTGTTCTTTATAAAAATTTTAACATAATTTAAATTTTTTCACAGACTCATACCCTTCAAAAATGTGAAGAAAATCATGAAAGTGAACTTTGCGACGATATACAAACAATTGTTGAATGTGAAGACGTGAAGCCCGACATCAATTTATTAACAGTTAAAATTGAAGAAGATTTTCAACATTACTTGTCGACTGCAAAAAATAGAAATAGTTGTAAAATTCAAAATATAATCAAAGTAGAAGCCACGGAGGAAGTAAAACAAGAATTCGTTGGTGATGCTGCAGAAGAATCGAGTTTCAATTTCGACTACGAAATTGCCGAAAAAAATAAAAAAAGAGGAATCGTAAAAAAGGTACGCAAAGAACGTAGATCCAAAACACACATCGGCACGAAGCATAACGATACAACCCACCAATGTGAAATATGCAGAAAAAATTTCTCAACCAAGGGTAGTATGGACAGACATGTCAAGTCATTACATGATGGTATTACCCACCCATGTGATATATGCAGCAAGAAGTACTCCCACAAGAGTTCTCTCAAATATCACATCGATATGGCACACAATGGTGTCACCCATTATACATGTGATATTTGCAAAAAGAAATTATCAAGCAAGAACTATCTTAAAATCCACGTGGATTCGGTGCACAATGGTGTCACCCACACATGTGATGCATGCGGAAAGTCATTTTCACAAAAATCTCATCTAAAAACCCACATGGATGCTATGCACAATAGTGTCAAGTATGCATGCGATATATGTGGCAAGTCATTTGCTTACAGAAGTGATCTCAAAATCCACGTTGATACGGTGCATAATGGTATTACGCATACATGCGATGCCTGTGGAAAGAAATTCTTAAGACAAAGTTTTCTTAAACACCACATCGATTCAGTGCACAAAGGTATCAAATATGGATGCGATATTTGCAGAAAAAATTTTTCATCAAAAAATTATCTCAAAAACCACATAGATACCGTGCACAATGGTGTCACCCACACATGTGATGTATGCGGAAAGTCATTTTCACAAAAATCGAATCTAAAAAATCACGTTGATTCGATGCACAACAGTGTCACGCATGTCACTCATGCATGCAATATATGTGGCAAGTCATTTTTTCAACAAAGGTATCTCAAAATCCATGTAGCAACGGTGCATAGTAAAATTACTCATGCATGCGATGCCTGTGGAAAGGAATTCTCAAGAAAAGCCTTTCTTAAACGCCACATCGATGTAGCACACAATGGTGTCCACCCATTATACGTGTGATATTTGCAAAAAGAAATTCTCGAACAAGAGTAATCTCAAATTCCACATGGATTCGGTGTACAATGGTGTCACCCACACTTGTGATGTATGCAGAGAGTCATTTTCACAAAAATATTACCTAAAAATTCACGTCGATTCGGTGCACAATGGTGTCACCCACACATGTGATGTATGCGGAAAGTCATTTTCAAAAAAGTCTAATCTGAAACGGTACATAATGGGAACACTCATGCATGAGATATTTGTGGGAAAAAATTCTAAACCATGAGTCATCTGAAAGCCCATATCAATTCGGTGCATTATAAAACCACACAAACATGTGATATTTCACATAGACGCGATTCACAATGACGTCAAGCATGCATACGATATTTACGAAAAGATATTCACACAAAAGCAGTCTCAAAAAGTACACCAGACCTCTACTAGATCTCCACCAGATTCGGTAAAAAATGTTCTAAAACATACATCGGATATTTGCCGAAAGAATCTTTCGCAGAAGAATAATCTAAAACAACATATATGTACGGTGCATCACTCATTTACTACACAACTTAATGAAAGTAAAAAATTTAATGAACATGTTCAAAGAAATGAGTTAAAAATTTTCATACATCGTTAAGAATTATCTTTAATTGACAATAAAGAACAACTTTTTATTTGAAAAATAAGACAAAAGTGAAAAAAAAAATTCCTAAATTTAAATATCTTCATTTGTAATAATAATTTCATGTCTTTTTTATAATGCCAGTTACTTTTCAACTCGCCCTGAATTTTGCAAGCTTTGTTTCTCGATTTAATTAAGTCTAATTCGCTTCAAAACTGTAAACGCTATTTATTTCATCATTTTTTAAAAATATGAATAAAATACGAATCATTTACCAAACTATTTTTTCATTTTCTTTTCACCAATCGATACGAACGAGTCCTTCCCGTGTATTACACGTGTGTGCTGTGTGCATTCAAGAATATAGCTGCGTGCCGCCACTGCCACCGAGTCGAATGCGTGCGACCTCGATTTTGCCGTTAGTACGCCAAATAAATACCTCAACGCGCAGAGAGAGAGAGCTTAGGCTAATATTTTATATTCGTGCCCGAGCCCCGCACGCGCATATAAATCCTATTTTTCAATCCTTTGTCGGCGCTGGCCTTTTTTTTATTTTACGTTGCACCCGATGGTGACAAGCGCTAGCGAGGATGCCAGTCACGATTTCAATCGCGTAAACAACAAAACTTTGCCATCGCGAGGACGATGCGCAATGTCATTTTTGAGGAAAGAAAAAAACAACAAAACAAAATTAAATCGTCGCTAACGAGATTTATTATATTTTTAGTTAAAAAAGTTAATAAGCATCGATTAAACAAAACGTGACCATATACGATATGCAGGCCTATCGCCAATCGAGTGAACTTGAAATATTTATGCGCTCGTGAGAGGCAATGACCGGTTGTCACAGAGATTATACCGATGTAAGTACACGTATGTATACGTAATCCCGCATCGTTCGCGTAATGGACTGTGTCTGTCGCGCGCGCCGGTGCCGTCACACACAGAACGCAGGCTTTTGTATTTATATGAATTATGCACGTCATAATTTGCGCGCGCGCGCGTAGCGCATATAGGCCGATAAGCAATTCGTTCATTTTTTTTCTCCTTTTTTTTGTTCTCTCAAAATCGGTACTACGTCTACTTTGCTATTTCATTCTCGCTCGATACAATTTCAACTCTTTTACTCATTTACTCCGTTTGGCCTGACCTGGATAACCTTGTAATGTGTGTGTTTTTTTTAGATGTTGTATGTATACAAGTTAAATGGAGCTAATTACTCATGCGATTGCTTATTCCATGAAATGCTAAAAAAGGAAATGCATCGGCATAGGATCGCTTCCACCTGCCTATCTGCCTGGTGTCAAATATATAATTCAGCGGGACCTAAATATAATTTCGAACACAAAAAGTGAAGAAAAAACGAATACCTCGCGCATTGGTTCGATAAAGTCGCAGTTAAAATGCATTGCGTGATTTTTCACCTTATCGGATGAAACGATCGGCACTCGACTGTTTATAGAGTACTTGTATGTCATAATAAAGTGAATCTGTTCGGTTTATTTTTTTCCATAACTCCGTCGATGTGGAAAGAGAGGCGCAATGACCCTTAACGTATCCAACTCGAATGTACGAAATGCATTAGATTATACTTACGTCGTGGAAGAGTCGTCCACGGACGAGGATTGATCATCGACCGACGACGAGTAAATGTTCCGCTTCTGTTTCAAATCGCTACGGATGTCTCTGGAATTTTCGTCCTGCAAAGAATTTTGAATCGTAAATTCACAATTTTAATGCTGTATAAAATAAAAATATCGAAGCGATCAGAAAATCTTTATACCTGTTTTATTTGGTACTTTTGTAAAGCGCTGAAACTCTCGTATCCGTAAAGCGCAGGGCTCGGCGACGTCTCGTGAATTCTCATACTTTTCTCCGTTTTGTAGCGACTTTGCCGTTGATAAATCGACTCAAAACTGCCATAGAAGTTACGCGGGTAAGAAAAAATTAAAGACATTTACTTTACCGACCGCAAAGTACCGATTTCACACTTACGTATCTTTGACGTTCGAGTAGTGCTGCTGCTGTTGCTCATGATAATGAGTCACCGGTACGCTCCTCGAGCCGTGCCTCGAGTGCTTGACGACGCTCTGTCGACGACTGCCAAAGTCGACCTCGTCGATATCCTGCGGCTCCTCGAAGTCGTCCTTGAATTTTGCCTGCGACATAGACATTTCAAAATTAATCATAAGACGCGCTCACTAAGCAAAGAGATCAAGCCTATACCTGTATCTCTGCATCCATGGCTCTGATCGATTTGACGAATTGTGTGTATCCGAAATCTCGGTTGTGATTGACCGTGAAATTTGTCCTCGGCATAGCGGCACTTCTCACCGACTGTATAGTCCTGCGCTGCTGCATACTAAAGTATCTGTACGAAGAATCAAAAAGAAATAACACGTTATATCGAGCGATAATGTTTAGAAAAATTGCTGTTAAAAAATTACCCATTGCTCTCGCTGTGCTCGAGTTTGGAATTATCCTTGAAACGATGATGCTGCTGCTGCGACATCTTGGCATTGGGGTTCGTCGTCGTCTGTACTGCGTTGCTGCTGCTCGTCTCGTTTACCGCGGGAAACTTGGCTGTTGCTCGGTCGCGCGTGTATACCGGAATACGAGACTCTTGCGTGGATCTGTTGCCGTTGCCGATCTGCACCGACGACGATGCAGTACCACCTCTGCCAGTAGTTGTAGTAGTAGTACTGCCACCACCACTGCTGCTGCCCAAGAGGCTCCCACGATCCTTGACAAAAAAAAAAGAAAAGAAAAATAATGATATCATCCGTATATGCGTCTGCGTTACGCAATTTCACGCCGTGGCCTAAATAACCCAAGCGATCTCTCCGCGTGTACATGAATTAATAAAAATTCGGAAGACGACGGGCAAGCGCGAGCGGATGTTATATGGTTCCGAAATTGGCTCGGCCAAGGTCGCTGCGCGCTACGACGTGTCAAGGAGATGGTAATGAATTCGGAAGTAACAACAAAATTCGCACTTACGGCTGCCGCTAAATCGTTGTCGCTCCTTTTGAACCTTTGGATTTTGTTGTTATTGTCGCTCGTCTGCTGCTGCTGCTGCTGCTGCCGATCGGATCTCGTCGGCGTCGCATATGGACGCTGGAGTTTGTCTTTTTCATAGAGATCGACTCGACCGCGATCCTGCAAGTCTAATTTGCTCACTGTGCATGGAAAGGAAAACAAGACATTGTTGATTTTTCATCGTATTATTTGCACGCTTTTATTTTACCTTTTAGCGAGTCAGCCGATTTGGTGACACGATCATTCTTTCTTAGCCTTGACTCTGGATGATGACTCTGCCTATTGTTGTCCTGGAATGATGATGTACAAAATAAAGCGAAAAATGTTCGGCTACTGCGGCTGCAGAGATAGACCGCAGCAGAGGCACACACAGCACACATGTATTTCCTATCTAACCTTAACGATACCCAAGCGAATTAACCAAAAATCGAGTAATTTATAAAAGTAGTACATAATCTTTCAGTAGCCAGAAAAATCGTGACAATATTAAAAGCCATCATCGGTAAATTGATCGAAAAAATGAGTTTTCAAAAATCAAAGAATAAGTAAACGCGTATGAAAAATGCAATTATCTACTTTTTGTAAATATATAAAATTAAATTGGGTGCGTGTGTGGTGTACAGCCACAAACGAGCACATTCAGGCGCGTTTACGAAAAAAACTACTGTACCACAAGAGAAAAAAAAACAAAACAGTGAATTAACATTTTTAATTAATTTATTACATCTAACTGCGGTAAAAATTGCCACGAGGCGGTCCTCTCGTTCTTGTCTAGGAGTAAATTTATGGTCCCACTGGATACGCTGTGCTCGCTGACCGGTCGTATTTTGCGCTTCTTCGTTGCGTCACTGCTGTAACAATAGCAAAAAGAGGAACATGAATCACACACGCCTTCGAAATTGCGTTATGATTGTCGTCGGACATTATAAAATTATAATAACGCTCTCACTTGGCGTCACCGCTGTTCTGCAGCTGCTGTTGCTGTTGCTGCTGTTGATCATTATTTTCAATTTTTGACTTGGCGATCAGCTGTCCGCGGGTTCGTCCGGTGCCGGGCGACACCGAGCCGCTGCCCGCCGTGATCCAGTCGACGTCGGGCCCACTGTGATGTATGTTCGAGGATATCTGCAGGCCGTAAACGACGAGGCCGTCGGCCGATACCGTGGGCAAAAGTTTCCGCGACAGTCGCGTCTTGATAGCGGCGTGAATCTCCGGGCCCTCGGGTTTGTCGGCGGTGAAGCGTTTGCTCACTTCCAAGATGTTCTGTAAAAAAACAAAAAGTTATAAACATATAATTATTGAATATAGAAAATGAAATTGTGTGTCACACGATGTACCTCGCTGTCGTAAATTTGCGAGAGAACGGCGAGCGTATCGAGAGCCGAGTGACGCACGCGTTTGCGTCGATCGTCGACCATGGCGACGACTCTCTCGATGGCCGTCTTCACCTTGAATTCCGTGCTCGGAAACGTCACCAGCGAAAAGATCAGCAGCTGCAACGTATTTTCTCGCATCTGTGTGAAATAGAGAAAGGCATGAATGGGTGTTATACAGCATATATAGAAAATCTCCATATAAAGTTGGAATCACCTTGGCATTGCGGGCGTCGATGCAGTGTGGCTGCAGCAGCGCCTCGAGAAATAGTCCTGGACTGGTCCTCAGCATGGTGAGCCTGGCCAACTGGGCCGCCTGTGGTCCGCCGTGCCTGGCCAGGCCCCAGGCGATGAGGGGTAGCCTGTCACGAAGGGCCTGCTCCGAGCATCCCTGCAGCAGCACCCGGGCCACGGCCAGACCCGCGGCGGCCACCCGACAGCTGCGCTCGCCCGCCAGAACGGCGTGGAGCAGAGAACCCAGCCTGGGTTCGACGCTCGACAGCGCCGTGGCTTGGCGTAGGGCCGATGCTATGCGCTCGAGGCCGCGCACCCGGGCACGCCAGTCCTCCTGTAACAATGATAATAATAATAATGCAACGATTCAGTAGTTGTACATCAAATATATTACTCGCGATACGCACGCAACAGCTCTAATTATTCGAGAACTTATATAGTATAACGTGGCACACAATTGCCGCATAATAGTCCCGTACATAATGCAGCGAGTCCGAGATTAAATGTTATTCATGGTATTTGCGTTCGCGACGTCGCGTGGCGATGGATTTTCTCGTATATAATAGCTCGCGCGCGCGCTCGGAATGGTAGTAGGTAGTAGCGAGTGTGGGCTATATCGTTTCCGTGATTAGCTCGCGCGCAGCTAGCACTGTTAAACCCTATATACTATATTATATTCGCAGTTAAGAAGATTTCTATGATTTGCAGTTGATGTATGCATTCGTATATTTGCAGCTTGCAGAGTTCATTGTGCCATACACCCTGTCGGTCACGCTCATATAAATATGAAATTTTCCTTGCAAGCGTATAGCTCCTTGGACATAATATATAATGTTTTTGTTTTGGCTGCAGCTAATGTAATTTTTAGGCTCTCACGAGCGGCGAAATAAATTCTTATCGCGCGACGACGATTACGCAACGAGCTAACAATAATACATTATATATCGACGCGGCTGAAGCGCGACGAGACTCGCGATTATAAATAATACGACAATTGTCGCGGCTCTAATTACTCCAGATGCAGAATTGGCCTATTGTTAAACGCACTCGTATGCACGTGCCATCTGGCACACGTCTATAGCGGCAATAATAGTGCCTTAATCGAATATCATCGCGACTTCTTATACACGTCGTGCGCCACAGATCAATGGCCCGCTTCGTTCAAGGCTAAATGTTTATACGCTACTCCTCCTCTGGCGATTCTTCTTCTTCTCCTCCCACCTGCACACGACAACAGCCACGACGTGAGCGCATCGAATCGGTCGTTTACATCGTATGGAGATGGAGTCTCCGTCTGAGTGCGATGATGCGAGGCACAAAACTAGTCTCGAAGATCGAGTTGCGCTGCTATTTCGCCGACTCGCGTCTTTACTCGTCTCTAATTCTAAAATTTCATCGGTTTACGATTTTTCATAGAGCGATCGTGTGATACAGCCATCATGTGCTTCATGAACGATATGAAAGTTTTGTAACCCTGGAAAGTGTACTTTTTGAATTGAAAGTTGCGCAAATACAAAATGTTTCTCATCGAAAACTCGAAGAAAGAACAGCAGCAGCAGCAGCGAACGCGACGGTCGAGACGATTGCCGATAACAAAAGTCTGCGATTAATAAACCTCGACGTTAAAAAACAAACAGCACACGTGGCTCACAGTGCTAATTTTTTTTTCCTCGTACGTATCGAAAGACGGCAAAAAACGACAACAACAACAACAAAAATAAAAATAAGAGTGCGCAACAATGACTAGGAACTTCAGGCGAGCTTTAACGAGATTCGCGCTCGTGCTCTGTTTTTTCTTTCTGCTCTTTCTACTCGTCGTGCATAATAACAAGGGACTGGAATCGCCGCTGAAAATCAGGCGGCCGGACAGAGGTGCCGCCGCTGTGGCTGGCTTTGAAAAATTACAGGTACATACATTACGTATAGCTGCGCGCAGGTGGTAAGAGAAATAATTTTCTTCTCTCTCTGTTTTCGAAATTGTTATATTCGCGAGGCCGGCCTTTCTTATCGTGTGTACACATAACTACGTATTATATTACTACTTGTACTAGAGGGAGGCCAGCTTGGAAAATAAGGAGCGCCGAGCACGCGTCCAAAGAGTTTGCCAGAAGTACAGGCTGGGCCCGTACAGAACGCCGGACTTTGAGCAGGAGTTCAGAGAACCACCGGCGCCCCAGTACAGCGTGTTTTACATCGACAGGTGGGAGAGAGACGCGCGAACACTCGAATATCGAGTTCCAACAATGTATATGTATTTCTTGATTTCTTGACAGAGCCCACAACATCTCGTACTGTCCGATTTACAAAGCCGGCAGCACCACGTGGATCTACAACATGTGCCTGCTGAACGGGGCTGAGGAGGCCGAGTTAGCCAGCGGAAAGGAGCAGATATCCATGATCGCCAGGAGACTCATGCCGGAAATCGATTTGCCGCTGGCGGAATCGGTAATACGAATTTATTGTTTGCCAAGAATTGATGAATAACAATTGAATAATGAACGAAATTCATTGCTGTTAATCGTAGTTGTTGAATTCGAGCGCGAAATTACTGATCGTGCGACACCCGTTCGAGCGCCTGCTGAGCGCCTATCGGGACAAACTGGAGAACTCCGTGGCCGGCAGAGAGCACGGAACGCTGCACTTTTACAAAAAGTTCGGATCAAAGATCGTGGCGAAATTTCGAGGTAAACTCGTATGTCTGACTCATGTATCATAGATGCAGCTTTTGATTTTCTCTGTCACGATGGATAGATGAGAACGTGAGCCCGCCGAGGGAGGACCAGTTCGTGAGAGTACCCGGTAAACCCGAGCCGGCCGGCGTCGAGCCAACCTTCCGCGAGTTCGTCGAGTATCTCGTCAACACGGATCTGGCCAACTACGGCGACGACCATTGGATGCCCTACTACCTCTTCTGCACGCCCTGCCTCGTCGATTACGACTTCATAGCCAAGGTCAGTTCGGATGAAAAATGTCTTACAGCATTATAATGCATGTATACAGGCGCGTGTCCAGCTTGATGATTCGAAAGTAGCTCGCTCGCATAAATCCACGTTGCGAGCCGAGCCGTTTATATGTGTATAAATAAAGTCAGCCTCGTTTTGTGCCGCAGGTTGAGACATTGGCTCGCGATCAGGCCTACGTGATCCATCGATTGGGGCTGGACGAGGCGATAAAGCCGCGCTGGCAGCACGCCGTGGGCAGCAGCAGCAATGCTTCGTCGTCGTCCTCGCCGAGCATCAATCGAGTCTCCGACCTGGCCAAGATCTACTTCGGCCAGTTGACGCAGCGCCAGCTGCGCAAGCTCCACGACAAATTTCGCCTGGATCTCGAGCTGTTCGGCTACTCGGCCGAGGAGTATTACGATTACGCGACGGCCGCTTAAGACTTTTTTTGTACGAGGTTTTTATGTATAGCTTGTAAGGTGCACTTTTGTAAATAATAATATGTATTTGTGCGACTCACGCACGGACCGACAAAGCCCGCATATAAATTCCTTTATTTTCTTGCCCTCCCTCTCCCTCTCTATTTCGCTCTCTTAGCCGCGAGTCAACGTACCTTTGGCGAACACGGAAAAAATCGCGTGCCGCTCACACATAAGCAGCTGCTGCTGCTGCCGCGCGTTTGAATGAATCGCCACCGCTCGCAGCTTTATATATATTATAAGAACGATACAGCACCAACCCCTGGACAAAAGTTTTCTCTCGGCGACGACGACAACGTATACTGGGGTGTATATTATAGAAATCGATCGCGCCTCGACCCACTTTTTACGCAGAGCCTCATATGCATGCAGCACGTCTTGTACGAAACGTGTGTACGTGTGTGTGTTAGAGCGATTCAGCCCGAGCTTATCCGAATGTTTGACTTCATATACACATATACGAGAGATTCATATGTGCAGCGTTTCGAGTAAGGAAAACTGCACGTAGTCATCGCGGAGAGCTCTTATCAGCGAGCAAAATTTCCAGCTTGGCAAACGTTAATGTTTTTGTTGTATAACAGCGACGTCTTTCATTCAACTTGATCATTATTATATTATTTAATTATGCAATCAATTCTACTTGATACGAATCTACAGCCTAACTTTTGAAAATAATCCTACCTGTTAATATACAAATATTTGGTATAGACGTACGCGAAGAAAAAAATTATTGAAAAAAATACAATAGTACAATACAATGGCATAGAATGTTTCTATTAGCATAGAAACAAAATCAATTTATCGAGTCATTTATGAAAATACAATTAGAGTGAAGATTTTGAAAATCGAATAAATAAAGCAATCTCCAGCAACTATCGTGAAAAATTTTAGTTACATTCGAGATTTTACGTGACATTTCAATTTATGATATAGGAATGCATAACTAATTGATCGGCGCGATATGTATTGTATGTATGAGAGGAAATTATTCGAGCGATTCTTAATCGAGAAAAAGCCTCGCGTCATCGTCAATTCCAGCGAAGGAAAACAGTCGCTTTCGCCGCAATCGATCTCTCGGGGGCACGCGCGCGTACATAAGTATTATGCCGGTCGCAAGCTCGGGCGCGTTTAGTTAATTCATGACTTTCAAGCGTATACATTTTCCGCGAAACAGCTGAGTGGTAGAGAAAATGACACAGTACTTAAGACAATCGATCTGTTTTTGTCTACAGTGTAGAAGAAAAAAAAACAACAAAAATTAAAAATACTACGAGTCTTGCTTACCTTGTTGTGAAAATCGTTGAGAATTTCATCGTCCACGAGGCCCAATTCCTCCCAGCTCTCCTCGATGGGCGACTTCCACTCGACGTCGCTACCGTCTGACGACGATTTCTCCTTGGCGTCGAGGGCGATCTTCTCCTCGTCCTCGTCATCCTTGTTATCGATTTGTTGCTGTTGCTGCGGTTTTTCGTCGGATTGTTCACCTTTACCGGAAGTAGCAGTTACAACCAAGGAAGCGCGTCGCGTCTTGCTCGGACTCGACAGCTCCATGAGTATGTAATTGCGCTCCTGGCGCGGAAAGACCTCGTAGCCCGGTATGGCCGAGTGACTTCGACGCCTGCTGTCGGTCTCCTCCTGCCAGTAGTCGAATCTCGTTGGAGTCTCCAGCGCCGAGTTGCTACGCTGCCGCTGCTGCATCGACCTGGTCAACTTATTTTCCTGGTTCTTCCAGATTTTGTCGTAGGACTCGTAATCGCTCCTGTCGCCGAAGACGCTCTCGATGGGCTGACGATCATTGGCCTCCTCGTGGTCGCCGTCAATGATGCCGCAAGCTTCGCCCAAAAAGCCCGGACTCGGCGTTCGCTCGTAGTCCTCGTCTTCGTCATCGTCGTCGACGTCGACATCATCGGGCTCCTCGTAAATTTGAAAAGCCGGCGCCTCTATGGCTGCCACCGCCGAGGTGGCAACGTACGAGTCGCGCCGCGAGCTCCTCGATCGAGACCCCGTCGCACTGAATGAACGAGCGCAATTAGTTAACTCGAATTTGCCACTGTACTATATTGTACTTACCTCGAACGACTGTCGCCGAAATCCGAGCTTTTAGCGAGTATACTCTTCTTGGGGCTGAGGCTCGCATCGTGCACGTAAACGTCTCGCTTGGGGCTGCTCGACGCGGACCGTCTCCGGGCGAAAGAGCGGCTGTGGTTTTTGTTGCGACTGTTGCTTCGGGTCGGTTGTGACAGGGATCTCCTTGGCTGAGCTACTGGCAGTCTCGTAGCCGGTGCCACGGGCAAGGGTATGCGCGTGGGTGGCGGGCTGCGGCTCGAACTTCTCCGTCCAGATGACGTTGACAGCTCCATGGACGAGGCTATGGACGAGGCGTCCTCGCTGTCGGGCGTGCGCAGCTTCACGATCTCACCGCCAAAGTGAACACGCCTGTAGATAGGGTTGTTAAATGGTTATAAATTGAATGAAAATTCGAAAAGATAATCTCGTGTCAACTTGCCTGGGTAATTTTTTCTTCTCGTCGACTACTGCGAGAAGCTTAGTATTTTGATCCGTGCTGGCCTCGATGCGTTGCAGATCGCTCGTTTCCTCGCTTATTTCCGCACCTTCGACCTCTTTGTCCTGCTCCTCGAGAATCGTCATCGTGATGGCCGTCTCCTCGTTGAATTTGATCTCGGTCTCGAGGACGATGCGGGCCGAGGTGACGCTGCTCCCGGAGCCGGATCGTCGATCGGACGACTCGTCGTCGACCTCGGCGATACCCGACGTGTCCGAGTCCGATTTGTTGTCATCGTCGTCCTCGTCGTCGTCGTCACTTTCCCACTTGGCTACGTGCAAAGGTACGATGACGTCGTTTCGAGATGGTGGCTGATAAGATCGACGCGTAGCAGCAGCAGCAGCAGTTTTCCGGCGATTCTCATCTGCCGAGGAACGCACTTTATCGCTGGCCTTGACGAGCTGCTGCTGTTTGCTCTTCTTCTTGGCGGGCGGCTGCTGCTCGATGCTCCGCCTCTTTTTCCTTTTGCCGAGTCCGTAGACGTCGCAGAGCAGCTCGAAGTTGCGCACGATGCTCTCGTCGATCTGGCGCAGATAGTCGTCGACCTCGGACAGGCCGTCGCCGTTCTCGTCGTCGTCGCAAGAGTCGCGTATCTTGACGAGCGAGCGCAGCGCCGCCTCCTGATGCTGCACCTGGACGAGATGCATGGCCAGGGTGCGGGTGGCCTCGCGCACCAGCGCCGAGGACGGTCTGCCGGTCGAGCGCGACGGGAACAGCAGCAGCGGCGTGCTGAGCAAGACGCCGCGCAGCACCCGATCGCCGTCCTCGGCATCGTTAACCGGACGATCCATCCCCATGCGCAGTATCTTTTTGGTGGCGAGGTCGCGCTCGCCGCTGTGCAGCAGATAGATCCTGAGGGCGTCGAGCGAGCCCTTACGCACGGCCGGCGCCGAGTTGCCGAGATTGTCCACGAGATCGCGCAGCAGCAGCTCCTGGACCAGCTCGTCCAACGATCGGTGCTGGTCCTCCGCTGCGAGACAGGGCAGCACGTCGATGAGGACTCGCAGGGCGTGCTGGCGAACCTGCCACTCGGGATCGCGCAGACGCTCCGAGATCTCCTGGAAGAGGCGCCGAGGCTCGACGTCGGGGGGAAACTTGTGCTGCCGCGCGACGTACTCCCAGACGGGCGTGAGTTGAATGCCGGGCTCGCCACTGCTACGCCTGCCGATTTTTTGCTTGCTCGGCTCGTTGTAAGAGTAGTCGTCGCTGCTACTGGCCAAACTCGCGGTGGTGGCCTCCTGCTGCTGCTGCTGCTGCTGCTGCTGCTGCTGCTCGGTCGGTCGAGCGGCCGGCAGCATTTGTCGTAGTTGAGGTGGTGGTGGTGGTAGTGGTATAGCAAGTCCATCCGCCGGGGCCGAGTCGCTGCCGCTGCATGTTGCTTGTATTGTCCTTGGCTTACGTCGCATCGACGACCTCGCTTATGCAGCTGCTGCGACTGAACTCGGAGCGACGACGATGCGGTGACGATTTCATGGTTCAATTGCTGCCTATATCATGCAGAAAGCGGTTATATTAATAGGCTTCAAAGTAGCTGTAAGCAGCTAGCGAGGGTGGCTATAAGAGGCGACAACAATGTGTAAAGACGCGACACTAGACGAGTGCACTTGAACGTGATGATTCTTAGCCTGCTGCAATTGGCTCTCACCGTGGGGGTAAACCTCGATATGTGGTTCATTGCTGAGCGTCGTGGCCACCATCGCCAGTTAAGAGCTTTTGCAATAGAATGCCTGTACGAGGCCGAGGTGCCGCGAGCACGTGATGCGCTTGCGGCGGTTTTTCAATGCGACCGCCTACATAAACAGCTGCGATCGGCTTATTATAATTGCACACAGCTACTCGTGCGCCTGCACTGTCAAGGTGAATCGCGCACCACCCCCTCAATGAGCGATTACTACTTGTTCGCTATCTTGTCTGTGGGTCTCCAGGTCGGCCCCCTTTTGTCGTTGATGATGATAATAATAATATCGCGATCCCGAATTTCGAGGATCACTTTTTCACGTGTGTGTATAGGACGAAACAAATCATCGGCAGGTGTGGTGACCCCAATCAATGCATACGTGAATTATATGACCAATGTGTGTTTAACTCTGGCGCGCGCACACACACATGCATGTACATAGTACCGAAAGGAGAGCGACGCGGAAGTGGAGGCCCCCGGCTTTATCGCGCCGACAGATCTCTCGCGGCGATCGAGGCTCTCAAAAGTGGCACATGTGTGTACACCTGTATACAGAGCACGAATGCTCGTGGTGCCTAGCCTACTGATACACCCCTACAGCAGCAGCAGCTTATACATCCTTGTATATATTAATATTCTCTGTATTGAGCTTTACGTAGTCGCAAAAGTCCCGTATTACTGTATAAGCGTACAAGAAATCGTATTTTATAAATATTCGCTTTCACGTCAATTAATTAATTGATATGCCAGGTATGACATGTTTTGTGTATTAAACTTCGCAGCTTTAGGGTGCGTACAGCTATAGCTATAAAACGTCGTGCGTGTTCTCAGAGAGAGAGAGAGAGAGAGAGAGAGAGAGCAATCGATGACTTCCGCGAACGTATACCTATATGTGTGCGACGTCGCGTGCTGCGTCGCGAGGCAAAAGTATTGTACACCCCTTATACGCGTCTGCAGCATAATATAACGATCCGCGCGCGATAGATCCTCTATATAATATTGCCAATCGACGATTTGCGGCATGATATTAAACTGCGACGTTTGTCCGCGAGATACTCACACACACACGAACTGTGCACACGCGTCTATTCCTGCAATACATTATCGGACACGCGTCGAACGATGACTTTGACGCGCTCAGTTATTTATTATTTTCTTTTAAATACGCGAGGAAGACGTCGCATTCGAGTAGATCACGCGACTCCCTAATAGGTATGTGTCTAACGTACATCTGCTAATATACCATATTATAATACGTGCACAGCTTGCACACGCACAGCTACGTAAGATGTATGCAAACTCGTGCTGCACTTAATACTACATTATGCCGCTGCAGCACGTGTTAACGCCTTACAGGCATATAAAGTTTGCCGTTATAAAGTATAATATCGACTTTACGTACGGGTATAAAGGCTGTGTGTATACGTCTCGCAAGCTTTGTGTACGCTCGACTAATATAACACACGTTATAAACTGTCACATCCGATTTTTTGACGTTTCAATCAACGATATATCGTTTGCAACGTCAACGCTTCATTTTCCTCCTTCGTAACAATTAGAAAATATAATAAGAAATAAAAATTTACATCAATTGGACGTTTGAAGTTGTGTGTATACCTTTTTTTATCTGCGAAACGGCGACTCTCGATGCTTTATTTGACCGCTGCTCATTGACTCGAGAATGATCTTTCTTTGCTCGCGACACTGCGTATGTTACACGATTAACAATTAACAATCAGCGGCAACTCCCTGGAGAACAAACACTGCATGGTGCGACGATCGCGGCATAACAACTACTCACTGCGGCTCGTCAAGCTCGGCATTATATTTTAAACTGTCGTCATTGAATATTCTTCTCTGAACGTAAAAAAACGCCGCTGCCGGTAGCGAGTCCGCAAAAGGATGGAGATCTTCGTGTACGCGAGTCGAGAGTTTGCTGCACTACTGACCGATGTATGTATTGCTGCTTCACCTGCCGTCAGCAGCGTCGCTCGCGAGCTTTGGCGCACTGTATATGTACACCTATATGTGAGTAACGAAAACAGGAGAGAAAATATCGACCCCCTCGAGTTTCTCTCCTATATATATCCCTCTCTCTCTTTCTAGCTTCGCGCGGCGGCTATATGCTACTATATGCACTAGTCACTAGTCACTACACACCTCCCGCCGCCCCCACTGCACGTACAGCCCTATGTGTAGTACGTATTAATCTATGAACATTAACTCGAACTCGCGACCAAAGTACCAACAAGTGACGCTTTCTTTTGTAGTGAAATTTCTTCAAGCGCGTTGTCCGTTGAATCTACAAACAAAGAAGTTAAAAAACGATCGAACGCGATAATCGTTAGGTTTTCTGCCTTGATATTTTTGCCGGCGCTTTTCCCGCTCTCTCTCCCCTCCACTGCGTCAAGTAGCACTGGGCACGAGAGGTCGAGAGCCTTCCTAACGTCTACTGACTACTCAGCAGCGTCGTGTAACACATCTCTCTTGCGTTCTAAACTTTGAATCATTATTATTTACACTCTCGTTGTGCCTGTTCGTACGGGTTGTTCGGTCGAACGCACGACTCTGCGATCATTGCTTCCCGCACACGTTATACGATTTACAACGTCGTGCATACTCAAAAGAAACTCAAAAGATTACTGCAAATCAGTGAATTTTACATTATAAACCATTGTGTCGATTGTGTGTGTAAGTGTGAATACGCAAAAAGATGTCCGTGACACCTGGCGAAGAATCCGATGAAGATTTCGACGAGTTCGAGGAAGATGATGAGTTCGGCGAATACGACAGCTCTGAATTTAGTGGCGAATTCGATTATGACGGCGATTCATACAGCGACGAAGAAGATGAAGATGACGAAGACAACGAAAGTGAGGAAAACAACGAAAACAACGAGCGAGATGAAGGCGATGAAGTCAACGAAGACAACGAAGATGACGAAGACGACGACGAAGACGAACATGAAGCCGTTGACCAAAACCGATTAGAAGATTTGAAGAGCATAAGTGAGAGGCTCCAGTGGGCTGGCAGAAGACAGCTAGAGGATCTCGTTGAACAACTTCGTTCCATGTTCAAATATTGGAGAGGCGGATACCCTGATTTGAACAGCATTTTCGAGCGCGAGCAGATGGAGCGGCTTCTCACGGAGGTCGTCAAGTTCTCCGGCAACTCGTCCGAGAGAGCCGACTTCATCGATTTCGTGTACATCGCCAACTACAAGGACGAGCCCAAAGTCGATCACAGGGGCAAACCGATGCTGCGTCGCACCACGCCGCTGCATCGCGCGGCCAAGGAGGGCCGAAGCGTGACCGTCGACAAGCTCTTCTCGGCCTACGACAGGTACGACCTGAACTACGCCGACAAGACCGGCTTCACGCACTTCCACGCCGCCTGCATGTCCGAGGGCTGCGAGCTCGCCGTCGAGAAGTTCCTGAAGGCCGGCCAGAACGTCAACTGCGTCTGGCGCGAAACGGGCGACACGCCGCTACACGTGGCCCTGGACAATTACAATCACAGGACGGCCGAGCTGCTGCTGAAAAACGGCGCCAATCCCAATTTGGCCAACAAGAACGGGCTCACAGCTCTGCACGTCATGTGCAAGACTACCAGCGAGGATATGAATGTGCTGTTCGACCTCTGCGACGATAAATACAAGCCGGTGCAGATCGATGCCCGCGACAAGTCGGGCAATACACCGCTGCACTTGGCCTTGGGCCGCAACAACCAGAAGGTGGTCGAATTGCTGTTGAGACGAGGCGCCGATCTGTCTGCGGCCAATGCAGAGGGATTCACACCCCTGCACAGAATCTGTCAGAACGAGTGGGATCACGGCTCGGCGAATCTGTTATTCAAGATCTGCGAGGAGGAACATCGCACGCTGGAGATCGACGCCGTGGACAATTTGGGTCGAACACCGCTGCAATGGGCCGTGGCGAGTCTCTTGCCAAAGGTGATCAATATTCTACTGGATCATGGCGCTGATCTGTCCAGCTTCGTTTTGCCAACCGAGAGCCATTTTGAGGAACACTGGAAAACGTTCAGAATCAAAGATTGGGGATTGAAATTGGAAATGACATCTCGCATTCTGATCTGCGTCGAGCGCCTAGAAAAAAAAGGATACGAGCTGGGCCGTAGCGATGTCCTGACGATCATGAAATTATTCGCAAATCACGGTGTGTTCGAGAAAACGTCGAATCTCGATGAGCATTGGTACGACGACAAGGAGTTCGCGGAAACAGCGAAGAGGCGGATGGTGAGTCCGAATCTGTCGCTCTACGACGCGATGCGATTGCTACCCGCGAAAGCCATCAAACTACTCCCGTTCGCGGGCTACGCTTCATTTGCACGCCAAAATAGTCTTTACATGCTCTCCGACCAACATCGCGAGGCGAGCGTCGCGCACCTATGCGATATTCTGGCGAGAGGATTTTGCCAACGATGGGCGCTGGAGTTTTTCTTGACGATGACCGGCTATCGACTGCCGATTCTCTGCTGCGAAAAGATCTTCGAGCCACTGACGAACAAGGATTTCTGGCGGATCTGCTTGGCCTCCAGAGGCTCGAAAAGAGTTTACAACGCTACAGAGGTGGTAGCTGTAGCTCACGAAGATCATCAATCTAAAAAACGCAAGCTGTGATATACACGTTGGTTATTTTTGAAGTCTTGTTGCTGAGCAATGAGTGTCATAATCTTAATTATAAATGAAAATATAAATTCATTAATTGGATTTTAACTTTTTTTTTCCACGTTTTAATTTTATAATAATTTATGTTTTAATTACAAAGAATAATAAAGAAGTTTCATTGTAACAAACAACTTAACAATTTCTTATTAAAATAACAATTTTACAAATTTATAACAACGTTGATTTCACTCGGAAATCTCGGTGAATTTTAAGCCAGCCGGTAAACTCTCTGCACCGCGAGTGACCGAAGTATTCAAAACGTTCAACGTTAGAACCGGTTCTCTGTTCCTCTCTTTGACGCGATCCACGACGGCGTTGACGAAATCGTCGGTGATTTCCGTGCAGCCCTCGAGGTCTACAATTTTCAACGACAGCAGCGACGACCGGATCAACTTCATCAAACCAGTCGGCCGCATTCCGACGCATCCTTTGCAATTCAGTACCTGGAGATTCGTGGTACATTTGTCATCGAAGATGTCGTCCGTGACTCCGTTCAATCCTTCTATTGCCAAACGAGCGAGTCGAGGCAGCTGCGAGACCTTCTTCAAACTCTCTTCCGTCAAGGCCACGCAGTCTGTGTCAATTTTTTAAATTTCAACGTGAAGTACTCGATTTAATTTTTTTTTTTACAACTTACTGCTGACGTCGACGGACTCCAATCGCGGATTCATCCTGCATATCGTAATGAGAAATTTATCATCGACGAAAAAAGCTCCTCGCAAGCTGAGCTTTCTCAATTGCGTAAAAGTCGGCGACTCCTCGAGACGGCCCTGGAGCTTATAGTTGGAAAATCGGTAATTGATCTCCAAATCCTCCAGCTGTTGGCTGCACTCGCTCCTGAACAGGCACTGCAGAAACTCCGATTCGGCCTTGCGATAAAAAATAGTCTCTTTCGAGTCGAAGTCGTACTTGAATCGGCGCAAGTTCACCGCCAATTCGACGATCTGCAAAGAGTCGTCGTCAAGTCACACGAGTGTTAATTCGAATGGATACGAGTTCGATGTGTGACGCTTACTCGATGCATCAGCATGGGATTCTGGGCGCGCGAAACGACGAGCTCCCTGAGATACCTACAGCGAATCCTCCGACGAACTTTATCGCTCATGTCACCCGACAGCTCCAAAATCTTGATCTCGTTCTTGCTGAAGATCCGGCACATTTGATCCTGGTAGCAATTGTAGAACAACGAGTCGTCGAGGATCAGGTGCTGGATCCTCTGGCAATTGTCGGCCAGAGACTTGATCGACGACGGATTGTTGTATTTGTAGTGGCGCAGATTCAGCACTCGGACGTTGGGACAGAGCTTGAAGATGTTGATCAAGATGGCCGTGCTGTGCACGTTGCTGCCGAACGACAGATCGAGCTCGCTCACGTACCGGCCGCAGTGGCCGAGCAGTCGAACGATCGACGTCTCGCGGACTATGCTCATGCCGGCGAACGAGAATATGTGCTTCTCCTGATGCTCCGCCGACGACGAGTACCAGTTGGCCGGCGACAGGCTGAACCTGTTGAACGAGCGCCAGGCCTGCTGGCTCACGACTTCCCAGCGCCTGCACACCTCGGCCATCGCGAGCCTGTCGGGAATCGGTAAGAACGAAAAGACGCGCGCCAGACAATCGTTGTTCAGATTGTTTATCAGATCGTCGTCGTTCTTTTCGAAGCGATAATAGGCGAACTCCGAAGCGTCGAAGGTGTCCTCGTCGCCGCAGTCCGCCTCCATGCGATGGTCGTTGTTGCGGAGCTCCTTCCTCGCTGATTCGTTGCCCAGGAAAGGGATGACGAGGACCGGATGCCACAGCGTTTTACGCAGCAGCAAACAATTGTAAGCACTGCGACGCGAGCAACGAAAATGATCAAATTAGCCGATTCGTCGTAGGAGGATTAATCGACGCGCGACCTACCGTAATGCTTCCGCGGAGGTACTGTACGTGACGAAGGCGTAACTTCTCTGCTTCGACTTTCTTTTTTTCAGCACGAGATTTCGGATTGTCCCGAAAACTCGCAGACAGTCGTGTAGACTTTTGTGGCGTACCTGAAACGACGACGAGGATTTCGGATATGAGAATTCGCGTTCGTCCCCACGGCTCGGTTGTGAAAATTTCACTCGATCTCACCAGAGGATTGATATTATCGATCAACAATTTAGTTGCCTGCAGAGGCATTTCTTCTGACTTTTTACTGATTTGTTCCATCTTTTGATATATCACTCTTCTACGTATCGGAGAAGTACTGATATTTTCACGGTGTAGTTTGGAAAATCAAAATTTTCACAAGATGTAACGTTCACGTAAACAATGAGCTTAACGACACGGCAAAGATGGTTTGTTGTGATACGAGAGAAAATATTACTACTGAAGAATTATGTGATCTAATAGAAATATTCAAACATGATTGAAACTTGATACTCATAAAAATTCGAGAAAACAACGCATCTTAATAATCTATTGATGAAAAAAAGTTTAATAAAAAATAATGTTGTAGAACCCATTCTGTTGTATCTACGCGCAAATCGTCTCTCGTTCTTACGAATCCTTTTAATCATAACGTAGAGTTTGGCAAATATGGAATAAGATTTTGTACTTAATAAATTTTACATTATGATCAAAATATATTTTTTACACTACTAACTTAAGCTCTGCTAAAGAACACTCATAAAAATTAGCTATTAACAGCGTCTCCTGTCGAGAACGGCGCCGATTCATATAAAAAATATTGAAATTAAATAGTCAACATTATTAAACTTTAAAGTACATTTTCATGTAAAATACCTCAAATAAAATGAATTGAATTATTTATTAGAGCGTCAGAAAATTCTTAGGAATTTATAGTTTTTTATTCTCGAATTGTTTCAAGAATATTAGATGATATCAACTTGCTTTCAACATTAAAAGGGTTTAATTAATAGAATAAAATAAAAATTTATCATAAAAAGTAAAGGTGTAATGAAAGTTTTCCAAAAGCATTGATGTTAAAAAAATTTTACTCTCAAAATAAAATTAATTTATTTAAAACTTCATTCTATGAGGGTACTGGCTGCTGCGCAGTCCAAACATAGTTGCAAGATAAGCAAACATTGTCTTCTTTTCTCCAGATTTTTTGATGGCATCAACAATCATTGAGTCAACCAGTTTTTGGTCAACTTTTCTTTGAGCAGAAGGTACATATTTTGTCTTCTTAACTGCAAAAATGTCACCCTCTTCTTTCTTAGCTCTCTTCTCGTGCACTCTTTTGAAGTACTCATCATTGAGATTTTCAGGGAGCTTTACACCACTCATATCGATCTTGGTGCTGGTGGCAATGACATAGTTCTGATGGACACGTCTGAGTGGGCATCCATTGATGAGGAATGGACCTGAAAATTATTTATAAATTGTTTATTGTAATCAAAGTAACTATAGAAAAATCTTTAATGTTTATCAATCTGATCAAATCAGTTGTACAGAAAATAAATAAATTGTATCCTTCAAATTGCAAATACTAAACACTAAATAATTTGAAAGATGTTAAAAGTATTGAACTCACCATTAACTAAGAGTAAACCACTCTTTAATTGTTTCATGAAAACAACACGCTTGCCCTTGTGTGGACCAGCAAGAAGGATCAAGATTGTTCCAGGAACAATGCTTGCTCTCAAATGGCGAACATGCTGGGAGAAGCATTTCTTGGCAGGCCTCTTCTTGATCAAATCAGCTGTAGGATAGCTGGACCTTCTCTTCTTCAAAAGAACAGTTCTGGTCTGACCATTTTTCTCACCACCAATTTGCTTCTCGACGGTAACAGCCTTCTTCTCAACAACCTGAAAAGAGTTAAATTCACAATAAGAATTGACACTTGCGTTATGACAAATTTATGCTCAATGTTTCAAAATTACTGACCTTTTTGGGAGTAGTTTTGCCCAAGAACTTGTAAATGGCCTTTTTATGGAACATACGGGCCCTGGAGAACCTGTTAATTCCATTACCCAGGTCGTAATTCCTGGGTTTTCCCTGGGCCTTCTTGCCCTCCTGGGGCTTTGCTGCTACAGCATTCGACATCTAAAAATTAAGCATTACAATTAACATCTGTGTTATACAGCTCATCATAATAGCTAAGAATTATTTTAGGTTATGTTGATTTGTTTATAATGTAATTTTAAAATGCTTGATGTAGATCATCGTTTTATGAACAGAAAGTATAATTGAAAGATTTCAACACTTTGGCACATTTAAGGTCCTTTTTTCCTTAAAAAAAGACGTCTTATTGAACATTAACAGACTGTTCAATAAACCGGTAAACACTTATGAGTAATTTTAAGAAAACTATTAATTACGTTGGGAACATGAAAAATTTAGAAACATCATTTCATCGGTTATCCGTTCGTAGATATTGGAGCAATAAACAATCAGATGGATAACTTTATTTAAAAATTAATTCTTCAGGCCACTTACCGTGAGTATCAATACTTATAGGAAAAAGACCCCTCGTGGTCGAGCAAGGGAATTCGTCTTGAAAAAGTGTGTCTTGCGCCATCTGTGTATGGTTTGTGACTCGCGCAGTTAAACCGCGCGGTGATTTGAATGCTTGAAACGTAGATTTTTTAGCGAATATTAATAATTTATCAGTAGAAGCCAAGATAAGTAGTGGATTTGAGATTTGAGAAAAAATAATATCAGCCATTAATATTGTGAAACAAAAATGTTAAATTATAATAAGAGTGCTGTAGAGAAAAAATCAGAATTTTGAAAGTGTTTTATTGAATATTTTTTATTACGAAGTTCTTACTTAGTAGCTATGCTATTAAATATCTATAATATTTTGCTCAACAACTAGCTTCTACTTTTAAAAAAATTGTTACACTTACTCTGATCAAATAGCATAATTATGACATAAAATTTTGTAAGTAAAATAGATATAATAAGATGGAATGATAAAAATAGTATTGCAGATACACTAATTGTTTTGTTCGACAATTTTTCGTTGGTATAAAAGATTTAATAAAATATTTAAAAAATTTTTAATAAAATAATAAAGTACTCGATATTACACAAATAAAATATAGATATTACTTGATATTAAATTTTTATATTACAAAAATTAAAAAATTTGATAAATTGATTTCAAAATAATCACATAGAACTACTTCTCTGTTATAGAGAAAACATGGAAGAACTATTGCGCTTATATCATTGGTTAAACTTCAACTTCAACAGTATACATCGTGACTAGAAGTCACCTGCTATCGTAAAAATTTACAATACATATATTTGATTTATCGAAAAAAATTGCTGTATAGGCACTTAAGTTTTTGAGATTTTTACATTGTGTGCGCGTATATGATGTGCTTATCGTATTTTTTTCTTAATATAATACATAAATTACTCTACTTAATACGATAAATTCATGTTCATATCATTCGTATGAATATATTTTCTTTCGCAATTCCATTGTAAGAATGGATAAAAATAAGTATGTAAAAAATTTCATTAAATCGGTTTTAAGTGGCTCAAATAATCACATCGGATTTTCAGCTCAGCTCTCTCTTTCTCTCTCGTTGAAGAAATTTACAATATGAAGGAGCTACTACTTAACATTATTATGGCAGTAATACAATACTCTCATCTAGAAAAATTTGAATATTTTAACGCGATTAAATTTTGGAAAAATGCCAGTGTTTCGCGACCATCGATCCGTAATCCGTCTCCTCTTCTCATTTGTTGCTACCGGCTGAATACATGGGATTCTTGAAGGTCGATGTTGCCTGCTTGTAAATCGGATTTTCACTCTGAAAAGCGTACAAGTTAATCAGCGACCAGCCGAAATAACAATTTAGTAAAAATTGAAAAACTATAAACTCACAGCGTCCCACTTGGCCATCATGCGTTCCTTCTCGAATCTCGCAAATTCTCTCCTATCGTGAATAGTAGTGAGCAGCTTCCATAGTAATAGCAGAGCGAGCCCAACTAATACTACGGCGGCAATGACTCCCAGTACTATTCCTAATACGTAGACTTGCGGCGGGCACTCGCGATTCTTTTGCAGGCGCACGTGAAATTTGTTCGTGGTAATATTGTGATGATAGGCGAAGAAGTATTTGCAATCTTGATCGTCGTAGTCGCTGCAGCTTCCCTCCTCGCGGTCGATGTCGATCTCGATCGTGTCGACGTACTCGTACTTGATGTCGCTGATCTTGCAGGTGGTGTTGCATTCCGGGGGCGGCTCGTCCATCGTCGTCGTGTCGTTGCTGCCGAGCATTCGGTGAGCTTCGCAGAGGACGCAGGGCTTCAGGTCGTCGCATCGGCTCGGACACGTGCGACAAATCTGGCAAAACTGGCCAGAGTAGTGCATATCGCCGTCATCGTGGCACTTGCATTTTCCGCACTCGCATGTACCCTGCGACGATCAAAGACACGATGCCAATTTTAAAAGCAATAAAATAATTAAAGGGCCTGGGTAATGCCAGCCAAAATGATTGACTTACGTGTCCGGAGCACTCGAGGCCGTCGAGGTAGCAGGTGTCCTTGTTGGTGCTGCATTCGCACGCCTTGCCGCTCCAGCCGGGATGGCACTCGCACTTACCGCAATCGCACGTACCGTGGCTCGGGCCCGAGCACAACTCACCGTTGCGACGGTCGCACGAGAAGTTATCGCACTCGCAGTATTGTCCGGTGATTTCCTGCAACACGAGCATTATCACAGACATGAGTTCGCACCCACGCGCCAACTAAACGTCCAATTATCGCCTCGCAATTAGCAACTACATAGTGCTCGGCTCACCTCGCCATCGGATCTTTTGTTGCAGTTGCATTGATTGCACTCGCAGGTGCCGCGGCCGCTGCAGTCGACGGTCGTCGTGTTATCGGGTCGGCAGGCCAGATCGCTCGTTTTGGCCGAGACCCCCTTGCTCGCGTCGCAATCGCACTTCTTGCCAAAGTAGCCCGCATAGCAGGCGCAAATGCCGCAGCTGAGATCGCCGTGATTCTCGCACTCCGTGGAATTCGGCTGGAACCCGCGCGTAAACGTTGCGCTGGTGTCCGGTCGCTCGCAATCGCAATCGCAGATCATTTCGAGATTTACAGTTAGCGATTCGTTGATACCGACCTACGATGGGGGAGAGAAAAGAGGTTGGTATAAAAAAATCGATGCGTCGGATTAAAAGGAGTCTAGCGAATAAAATTATTACCGGATATATGAGGAACTTCTGATTCCATTCGGAGCGATTTTCCGGGCAAGCCGGTACTTCGACTTCTACGGTGAATTCAACTTTGTTACCGACTTTCATTCCATCGCACTTGTTGGTCTCGACCATTGGTCCGCCCAGGCAACTGGAGTAATACTTTAGATTGACATTACTACTTGCAGTATCTTTCATTTCAATGGAACTAGAGATCGCATTGTATTGCTCACGAACTAAATCTACGATGTTACTGGAATCGTTGCTGAGTTTGGCAGCGTATGAACCTTCAATGAGATTCGTCAAATTATTGTAAATTCTAATTTGCTCCTCTGTAACAGCCCAAATTATGTTGACAGAGTTTTCCTTGACTTTTCTGTTGATTTGAGAGATGCTGGGGTAATCTTGAAGAGTGGAATGCGTGTATAGTCCTGTTTTGTCGAGATGGCACATACCATCGTTGGGCTTGACGATGCCACCTAGTTTACCGTCGCCGGCATAGTGAAAACTGGCATCGGTCGAAAATAGCAAGAGCTTACGAGCTTTTTCGCGCCAGCCAATTTCGTCTCTACAGACTATTGCCTGCATTATAGCGTCGAAGCCACCTTCGGGAGCGTCTAAATTACCAGAAACTGGGGCATCTCGTACCTCTGTCTGCAATAGCAATTAGAACGTTAGATTGTTTTTGCACGATTTTTAATTGTAAAAAAATCTTATTAAAGATGAAAGAAATTTTTTACCGCAAATCTACGAGTGTTTTGAGATAAAGGCATATGATTTCGATAACCGTATGGTGCAGCACATCCATCACAAGGTTCTATCAAGCTAAAAAAAAGAATTTCAATTAAATAATTTTATAGATTTTGATTTAGAAAAAAAATTGTTTAACAACTCACGCTTTTGGCACCATGCTCACATAAGGCATGACAACTTTATCGACAAAACTGCCAAAACCTAATCTGAAATTACTAGTTATGTTGCTCATACTTTCTACAAGCAGCTGACCCAAATCAGACAATTTTTGCTTGTCATCTTTCATAGAGTTACTCAAGTCCATAAGATAATATAAATCAACTGGATAATCATCTGCCTGAGCAAATTCAATTTTGATTTTCTGGACCTCATCTAAAAGGATGAAACATTATTAGACCTCATTTTCCAATAATGTATGATTTAGTGATAAAGAATTTATATTCTTACTTATTCTCAATTTCAAGCTAACTTCCTGAGGATAAAGTTGCACTGCTTCTTGTTTATTACTGCCTATGTCATCTTTGCTGACTGATTTTTGTTCTTTTTGTTTATTATCTTCTTTTAAACCAATCACAGGACTATAACTTCCTTTGGTTAAGTCTTTATATCTTATTTTAATGTACTCGTTATCAGGATTAATAGTATAATCATCAGGACATTCTGCTGATATTTTGGCATTAACATGTGGAAGAAAGCACCGTTTGTTACCAAACCCCTGTAAAATCATATACAGTTAGTTTTTCTGATTTTGTATTATTAGAAAACAAAAAAAAGTTTTCTTACAGGCATAGAACACCATGCACAACTGGGGGTCTGTATACAGTCATGGCAAGTCTGCTTGTTAATGCATGCATTTGAGCCTGTCGTTTTTTCAGACGCAGACTGTAAAGCTAGAGTAATGATTGTCATCCATGCTAATAGCATAATTGTCACACAGCACCTTGAGTAGTTGACCATTTCTGTAAATAATTCAAATAGGTTTATTAACTATCACAAGGTAAAAAAAAATCTTAACATTTTTTTGAAAGATAATTTTGTCAAAGACCTTATTCATCATATGCATGAATTGAAATATTTTATTTTAAAATAAAACTACTAATTGGTATATTTTTGATAATTAAAAAAATGAAATGGTTCTGTAGATTACTTATCAATTAAAGGGGCTTATCATCTCAAGAAAGAGTTTAGCTCTGTGCTTGAAAATTTTAACTTAAAAAAAGAATATTTTTTTAGTTTTTAAAGCAGTTTTTGAGTATATGTCTGTGTTTAGTTCCATTTTAATTTGCCTGTATTTATATTCAAAGAATATAAAAAAGATTCAAAATTATAAGAAATTAAAAGATCATTATGTGTATTTTATTCATATCTTGACTCAGACTCTTCCACCACAAAAATCCTGATTCACACTCTTACAGCACTGATGACAATAAAGCAAAGCTTGTAAAAAGAATAATTGCTGGATCAGAAAATGCAGAGTTTACAAAATGATAAAGCTCCACAGTGTGAGCTGCAAGTAAATTGATACTTTCAAGAACAGGTAGAGTCATGACAGAGGATTCGATTTGTTGAATGGGGAAACATTTTTAATATGCTCAACCCATAAAATGTTAATTATTTGTTTTAGAAAAGGGATGTTTACACGAACACACGTAAAAATTTCTCCGCGAAATATTTTTAAAATAGGGCTATTTGAAGACTGTAAAACTAACTTTGAGCTTCAGACTACATAAACAAACTCATAAAGCGGCTATATTTATTCATCGTCCAATGCACGCTCGGAGTTAACTGGTAGTTATTCGGAATCGGAGCACAAGCGAACGTAAAATTTAAACGCCTCTTGATTCGCGATAGTTCAAATACGATTGAGATCGATTTTAATACGAAACAAGGAATAAAGATAATGATAATTCGTAAAAATATACGAGTAGGTGCGGTCGATCAACGAGCGCGTAAAAACCAGCTCGCCATGGAATTACTCTTTCCTTCCCGTGCTTTTTTTTCTCTTTTCACTTTGCGTTTATTTCAAGTGTACCTGAAACTCGTTGTCAAACCACTCGCTTATATAGCCATACACATACACAAAGGTAAACGCGTTCCTCGGCGAGAAGAAAACACACAAGTACACACACGTGACGCGTCTTTGAAATGCGAACAATACAAACACATCGGGACACAAGATGCCGTCATCCTTATAAATTCATCTCGCTGATTTTTGGTATTATATTACACGTAATGCGCGACTTAACGGATTTTCAAATCGATGATTTGACTGTGCGAGAAGTCGCTGATGCATCACCACCGACGCCTGCACATTCATGAATAAATGATATGCGACTGTGTAATCCTTACTTCCTGTGTTATCAACCTTTCTCGGTTGTCAATTGGTGTCGCGTGCCTCTTGTATAAAAATATCACACTCGCACTCAATGATTTATCCGATTAATTTTGATCAGCATTTGGCTTTTGACTTTTACGGACATAAACACCGACACTTGCTGAAGAATAAATAATAAAGAAACGTCACCGCATATGACGTTGTATAGCACGACGCTGCCGGGCAGCGAGTCCGCAGAGACTGAGTAATCACTGGCAAGAGTTTTACTTAGCGGTTGGCGTTTAGCAATTATTATGCGTGTGCGCCAAAGACTCGATCATGCGCGCATGGTGGGGGAAATGAGAGAGCTTCAGATTACGGAATACAAAAATTCTGCAAAGAATGAATCTCTTCTTGAGGGAAAAGATTCATTTTTACTATTCATTAATGACATTTTTTATCAGTTATCAATACATTGTGAGATCGAGTCTAACGAAATATGTAATGGAGTATATATGTTTTCAATATAATGAAATAATGACCAATTTTTCTGATGTTAAATTAATTTATTTAAAACTTCATCCTATGAGGGTACTGGCTGCTGCGCAGTCCAAACATAGTTGCAAGATAAGCAAACATTGTCTTCTTTTCTCCAGATTTTTTGATGGCATCAACAATCATTGAGTCAACCAGTTTTTGGTCAACTTTTCTTTGAGCAGAAGGTACATATTTTGTCTTCTTAACTGCAAAAATGTCACCCTCTTCTTTCTTAGCTCTCTTCTCGTGCACTCTTTTGAAGTACTCATCATTGAGATTTTCAGGGAGCTTCACACCACTCATATCGATCTTGGTGCTGGTGGCAATGACATAGTTCTGATGGACACGTCTGAGTGGGCATCCATTGATGAGGAATGGACCTGAAAATCATTTATAAATTGTTTATTGTAATCAAAGTAACTATAGAAAAATCTTTAATTTTTATCAATCTGATCAAATCAGTTGTTCAGAAAATAAATAAAATGTATCCTTCAAATTGCAAATACTAAACACTAAATAATTTGAAAGATGTTAAAAGTATTGAACTCACCATTAACTAAGAGTAAACCACTCTTTAATTGTTTCATGAAAACAACACGCTTGCCCTTGTGTGGACCAGCAAGAAGGATCAAGATTGTTCCAGGAACAATGCTTGCTCTCAAATGGCGAACATGCTGGGAGAAGCATTTCTTGGCAGGCCTCTTCTTGATCAAATCAGCTGTAGGATAGCTGGACCTTCTCTTCTTCAAAAGAACAGTTCTGGTCTGACCATTTTTCTCACCGCCGATTTGCTTCTCGACGGTAACAGCCTTCTTCTCAACAACCTAAAAAGAGTTAAATTCACAATAAGAATTGACACTTGTATTATGATACATTCATTCTTAATGTTTAAAAACTACTGACCTTCTTGGGAGTAGTTTTGCCCAAGAACTTGTAAATGGCCTTTTTATGGAACATACGGGCTCTTGAGAACCTGTTAATTCCATTACCCAGGTCGTAATTCCTGGGTTTTCCCTGGGCCTTCTTGCCCTCCTGGGGCTTGGTAACTGCGGCTTTCTCCATCTAAAACATTAAGTATCACAATGAACATCTGTGTTGTACAGCTAATTACAACTATCAGCTATTAAAGGTTATGTTGTTTAGTTAATAATCTAATTTTGAATGCTTGACAGTGAAAAATGACATATTATCAGCAAAAAACGTTATTGAAACATTTGCACACGTTTGCACAATTTAGGTTGCAATTTTCTAAAAAAAAGTAAGTGATACTGAACATTAACAGACTCTAAAATCAGCCGGTTAACAATTATTAGAAGTTTTCACGTTTAGAAAACGATTGGATAATGATTAATTACAATTGAAGCATGAAAAGTTGGAAAACGTCATTTCGTTGTTCCATCCTTTATCAGATAGTCAAGTCATAAACTATCAGACGGTTAATATTATTGTAAATGAAAATTTTACAATACTCACCACGCGTGTTCAAGCCAAAAAAGAGAGCTCCTCGTGGCCGAGAATTTGACTGGAGAGAAACACTTGTGACTATTCTACGTTTGACGTCATTCACGCAGCGCGCTGACGGGAGACGATTGGCGCCTGTTAGTCGGATCTGCAAAGCTGTGAAATTAAATGCTAATATTTAAGAATTTTTTAAATAAATTTATCTAATTTCATGACTATAAAATAATTTTGATTGCTTGAAAACAATTTTTAATGATATTAAAAAACTTATATAATGTATGATAATTATTGAAAACTATATCAATGAAAAGTTCTTGTAACTTATGGCAGTGCCGCAGCAGCACACATGATTTGTACATGATCTAAGCATTGCAAATGCTTAGGAACATAGACCGAGATTAGTCAGAATATGAGGTACTTTACTACTAAATACACGAGTGATGTACTTTTCGAAGGTCTATAATATAAATTAATTTTAATCAAGGTGATAGTTACTCGCGTCATTTGTAATTTCTTGAATTCGAATCGCCGCTTATGGCGTTTCAGTTTCACTATGCGTTGCGCAGTGGCGTTGGAATCACCTCGCCAAGAGTTGGAGCGGCACGAACCGTGGAAGAATCTTTCCTTTTTTGACTCGTAGGTGCGTAACACATGTGCATATCGTGCTCGTAATCTGTAATTATTATATTCAGCTTATAATAATCCTTACAAAAGTTTATCCAACATGATTGTTTATCATCAAAGTGACTCAATGAAAATCATATTTTTTCACATTTAAAATTTGTTCAATGTTGCTTAAGTTTGGAAGGCTATTTGTGGGGTTATGTTGAGCGCATTGATGTTAATATCAGCAACGTGCAATAATACTCTAACTATTTTCGCAATAACTAATTTAGGTGATTTTTGTCTTATAGAAAATGGGTCGCGTTATCAGAGCCCAACGTAAGGGAGCGGGATCGGTTTTCCGTGCCCACACGAAGAAAAGGAAGGGAGCCCCAAAATTGCGCTCTCTCGACTATTCCGAAAGGAATGGATACATCAAGGGTGTTGTAAAGGTAAGTTTCATCAATTATATTTCGTGCAATTGCATTCTTATGTAATTGGAAGTAATGACAATACTTGACAATACATAATGACAGTACTTGAACAACTTCAAAGTTGATGTATTGTATTCTACGTTGAATCTATTCATTAATTGCACACATTGATTTTAGGACATCATCCACGACCCTGGCCGTGGTGCTCCTTTAGCTGTCGTTCACTTCCGTGACCCTTATAAGTTCAAAACACGCAAAGAGTTGTTCATTGCCCCAGAAGGTCTTTACACCGGTCAATTTGTGTACTGTGGCAAAAAAGGTATGTTAATATTTTGTACCATAATTATCTTTCAAAGAATTATGTTTATACAAAATAAGACTTATGAATGTTGTCCCTGTACTTCTATATAAACGATACTCTTTATTTTTTCAGCCAACTTAACCATCGGAAATGTAATGCCCGTAGGCACCATGCCTGAAGGTACTATCATTTGCAATGTTGAAGAGAAGACTGGTGACCGAGGCCGATTGGCTCGTGCATCAGGATTGTATGCAACTGTGATTGCACACAACCCAGACACAAAGCGCACAAGAATAAAGCTTCCATCTGGAGCTAAGAAAGTCATTCCATCCGCCAATCGTGGTATGGTTGGTATTGTTGCAGGAGGTGGTCGTATCGACAAACCTATCCTGAAGGCTGGTCGTGCTTATCACAAGTACCGTGTCAAGAGGAACTGCTGGCCAAAGGTAATTACAATTCATATACAAACTAGGCGAATAAAACTATTTATTACCAATTTACTACTAATTTATTACAATGATGGTTTAAGACATTTGAAAACCGATTAAACAGTGGAGGAAAAATTTATTTACTGAGAATTTGCCGAACTTCATTTTTATTAGGCATGTGGTTCTGACTTTTATTAATTTGAATATTAATTTCTATTTCAGGTTCGTGGTGTTGCTATGAACCCCGTTGAGCATCCTCATGGTGGTGGTAACCATCAACATATTGGTCATGCTTCCACAGTCAAGCGTGGAACCAGTGCTGGTCGCAAGATTGGTTTGATCGCTGCCAGAAGAACTGGTAGAATCCGTGGTGGAAAGACCGAGAAGAAGGAAGATTAGATTTTGAATAAAAATTAATAAGCTTAATAAAAACAAGATAAGCCTAAAAAATAAAACTTTTTAATTTCAAATTCCTTTATTGGTTTGAGCTAACAAACCATTGTAAAGTATGCCTTGAAAAATTAATTATTTTGAGAGTTTTTATCTTGGTACTCTGTAAGACTGAGTTAATTGCTGGAGGATTGGCGTTCAAATTATAATCGAGCAATTTACCCATAAATATATTAAAATGATACAAATTGGACTTCCAAAAATGAAAAAGACAATGTTGAATATGACAAAAAAATGTATCAACCAAACATGCGATTGTTGACATTGCTCAGGATACTATAATGCTATTTTTTTGAACTTCCTTTTTCGAAAGAGTCATTTTTGGAATCTAAGGAAAGAAAATTCCACATAAGAGTATTAACCGATCTCGTCTGCAAATTACGCTCATCTCGATGCCCTCCTTTCATTTCGCCTCCCAAGTTCAAATTGATACGCTGTCTGTAGCAAAAATAATCACCGATACCTGGTAAATCAGCAAATTTACATTTATCAAGCATTGACTAGTAAACCACGAGATCGAAGCATGATTTATACTTCGTATAGGCAGGTTTTTTTTGAAGAGCTCGCTCCTCGCGGGCTCCTCGTTGAGTGCGCGCGCACATTGCCGCCCGCTAGTTCCGAATCTCTCAGGGCGGCGCTGCTGCACTGCTCTCTGCACAAGCCACAAGCGGAGGAGAGAAACGCGCGTGTGTCTGACAGTGGAACTTGGCAGTGAGCCTAAGTGAGGCTGTTACAAATCGAAGTTTTTTTCAACACAAGCTCTGTTGTTTCGAAACATTAACATTTAATACAATACCAGCGAGCTACGACTAGATCATTGTAATTGTCTATATTCATATATTCTGATTAGATATTAATTGTCACGCTTCGATAACGATCCCACTCTCCCGCTGCTTGTGTCTCCTTGGTGCATCTCTCCCCGCATGAACCAGAAATCATCCCAATATCCCTGGTGCTGCGAAATCCCTCGCTGATTCCGTTTCGTCGACTCGAACGTCCGATCGATCGATCGTCGTCGCCGAGCAAGTGCTGTTATATTATACGTCCAAGTTTCTAACAATGGACGCTTGATCGTGTTTACGGTGGGCTTGATATTGAATTTTTTGAATCGACGTTATTGTGTGTGAGTGCCCGTGATAAGAGGACAGAGAGAGGAGAGAGAGTCAGTCAGTCGCAAGTATATTCATGTCTACATACACGAACATATCTATATATAACGTTCACTTATACAGACACACACGTATTATATATATAAGTGAGCATGCATACGTATAAAAGACAAAACGGAAATGGCAGGACGGCCATTTTGTTTCCCTCTCGTGTTCGTACGGGACTGTACGTCTATGTATACATGTATGACTAGCCACATATACACGTACGCGTGTCGAGTTGTGTCGGTGTGTATGTGTGGCGGAATATTTCTCTCTTTCTCTCTCTTTGGCAGACATTTCTTATGTGTGCAGCAGCAGCAGTACCGTCGACGTGTGTTACGTGTCCCCTCCACTCTATACTCTCTCTCAGCAGCAGCGACTCCCTACTGCTCTGCGCCTCGCAGTCCTAATCGCGCGTGCGAATTTTCTATAGCCCACCACAGCATAAGTTCAGCACATATACACACACACACACACACACATACATACGTACACGTATACACACGTACACTAGCGAACGCCGTGCACTCATCGTTCGCACCAGACTCGAGTCGAGTACATCCACAAGTGCAAAACGTTTTTTCTAAATTTTTTCGTTGTTGTCCGTCGTACGTACCAAATCGAGACCAGTTGGTCGAGTGTCATCGCCGCATAATACGACGACGACAGGTTAAAATCTCTCTTTCTCGCGCGCGAGCAACACATACACTCTTTCTCGCACAGCATAGTAGTATAGCAGCAGCAAAAGCGAGGTTAGTTCCCCTCTGTCCTACAAAACCCAAGCCTAGCACAGAAGGCGATCCTCTCTCTTTCTCTCGGTGACACTTGGACGAATACATTGACAAATCGATCGTCGACGTTTCGCGCGATAGTCCATCCATCGAGTGCAGGCGTATATTATTATCGTCACGGACTTCCCGAGTCCATTGTCATTGTCAACTGCATCGGGATAATCGCTGTTCGAAGAGTTTTTCGGGATAAAGCAGATGTGCGTATACGATATAATAAATGCGACTGTGTTGTAACAGAGAGAGGTCGTGGGAATTACATTGTCAGTCGTCGATGTCGCTGTCGTTACGCCCGGATACGCAACAGCACCTGGACATGGATGCTCTAGTGGTAGCATCGTCCGACACGTTTTTCATTTCTTTCGTCTCGTTCGCTACACGGCGCCTTTGTGCCTGTTATAACGGTTCTCTCCTTTCGCGTTTTTCAAGCCTCGGCGAAAGCTTTCAACGTATATAACATAACGCGTGGAAAAAAGAAACTTCCGCCTCTCGCGATCGAGTGCCTTGAGACTTTTTTTTCATTGCCGCGCGAGCAACGCGCGATATATTATTTGTTGTAAAATATTTCTATGCGTACATTTGGCTCGGCGCGTGAATCTATCATTTTTTGCTTCGTCCCCGCTGTACGTTTGTGTATATAGTATATGTGTGCGCAATTATATGTATATAGAATGTGAACAATAATCGCGGACGCACACATATATATACACACTCGTATTATATATAATGCAGCTCAAGAGTGTAAAATAGCGCAAGCTGGCAATGCGCGCGCAGCAAAGTGTATCGCGCGGACACCATCGCTCTGCTGATGCTTCTTGCTTGCTTGCTGCTGCTGCTGCTGCTGCTGCTAAACGAGAGCGTGCACGGGGCCGCGGAAGCGTGACCTTACCACCACGATCGTCGTGTTCTATAAAATACATCTGTATGAACCCCGCGAAGATATATCTATGTATAATATTCCATGAAATATACTTGACATATCATCCTCCTCCTCTCGCTCAGTATCCATCCACCACCTACCGCGAGATCATCTCTTCGTGCATATTATATATAGTGACTGCCTCATTACATTGTATACTTTGAACGTTGCAGCTTTAATAATACAGCAATACTAGCATCGAGATCGCAGAGGCATCTTCTTCTTTGGGACTCGAGTGAATTTCCAGAGTGACATCGTCAACACTTTGCTTGTTGAGCGTCGCTTCAAAGAAAAAGGGTGGAAAATTTGTGTCGACTTTGTTCGTGTGTTTTCGAGAGCTTGTGTGACTTACATTTCAATTACAAAGGCCGAGCCTGCAGATAATTTCGCAACCGAGTCGGAGTAATATGAGTAATGCAGCCAACCAAAATGGATCAGGTCTAGAGCAGCAAGTCAGTATCTGAATTTTTAACTCTTTTTTTAATTTCTATCTCATTCTTTAAGAGCGCGGTTATTTTTTTTACGCTATCCCGATTGCGATGACTCACTCTCGCGACGACGACGACGAGGACGACGAGACGCGACGCGAAAGTGTCGTTGCACGCGTGTACACATATATTTATCAACGATTTCATAGAGAGAATTTTATCGCATCGTCTGCGCGAGATAAAGCGCATTATTAAACTTGGATTTAAAATCGTGTCATTCAATGAAGTTCAACGCCGACGAGCAGCGTGGAGTCGATAATGTTATTGATGCTTAATCGTGGCCTTTCGTCCCGCGTAAATTGCTTAGGTGAAAGTATATGAAACGTAGACGTTTTCTGAGCGCGTCGCCTCTCTCCATCTGTCTATATCTCTCGGCTGCTTCCTTGTTCACGCGATCATTGTCATTTTCATGATTCACATTGTAGCCGACCAACCTGCTACAAACTGCGGGTATTTACGCACATGTTTACGGGCAGATATGATTTTTTTTCTTTCGAATATATGCACCGAACGTATAATAATCGAGTCGAGTGAATCACTATGTGCGTTACTTGCGCGGTATTTCATCGCGGCGTGCAATTCGTCGCGAGATAATGCAAAAAATGTCTTGTGTACTCATCGAAATGCCATTTTCTCTGGATATGTTACAGTTAGCTGGTCTGGACTTGCAGGACTCCCGCCAATCGAGTGGGGGTCGCTACATTCCGCCGCACCTACGCAAAAAAGCTGGTGGTGGAAGTACGTACTCGATTAAATAATAATCGCACTTATTATCACATTAAAAGTCATTGCACCTGCACTTTAAGATGTTAACTTGCACTTGCATATTTAAAAACAAAAAACATTGTCGCTAAACAACCTTTATCTTTTCCCCCTGGATCTTATCAGATTCTGATTCTACAGATTCCTACCAGGACAGTGGTAGCAACAATCCTCCTCCACCGCCCTCATCCCAAGGTTCGGGTCGCTACAACGACCGTGGCGGGCGCGTAGACGACCATCGCGGCGGCGGCGGCCGTGACTCGTACCGAGGTGGGCGCAACGACGCCGATTTCGGCAACTTCGGCGGTCGCAATCGACGCAACGACAACGGCTACGGCGGAGGTGGCGGCGGCGGTCGCTACAATGACCGCGGCAGCGACAGAGACCGTCAGCAGGACCAGCCACCGACCGGCAATGATCGTTGGCAGGAGCAGCCGCGCAACGATCGCTGGCAGGAGCAGCCGCGCAACGACCGCATGGGCGGCGGCGGTGGCGGCGGGCGCTACGACGACAGGCGCGGTGGCAAGGAGATCGACTGGACCGTGCCGCTGGCTCGCGACGAAAAGTCCGAGCTCGAGCTGTTCGGCGAGAGGAGCACTGGAATCAATTTCAGTAAATACGAGGATATCCCGGTCGAGGCATCGGGTGACAACATCCCACCACACATCTCATCCGTAAGTGTCATCTCATGTACTCGTTTACTCTTTGTTCTAATGGCCACAAATAATTGAAACATTGATTAATGTATCGTGTTTTAAAATAATTTTAAATAGTGGCCTATAGAAAAAAGCATTTTTTGATTTGGGAAGTAAACTGTTATTACTATTAGTTGCTTCTCAGTGTACCGATGCGACAAATCAATATTTCAAAGCAAACTTTGCAAAACGTGATTTACATAGAAAGTTAATTAATCATTACCTTATTTACAGTTTGAAGAGGTTAAGCTGACCGAAATTATCCGCAACAGTATCAACTTGGCTGGCTACGATAGTCCCACGCCCGTGCAGAAGTACGCCATACCAATAATCATCAATCGTCGCGATGTCATGGCTTGTGCTCAGACTGGGTCTGGAAAAACAGCCGCCTTCTTAGTGCCGATTTTGAATCAAATTTACGAGAGCGGACCGGCCCCTCCCCCTCATGCATCCGGTGGCCGTCGTAAGCAGTATCCTCTTGGTCTGGTGCTGGCACCGACCCGCGAGCTGGCTACTCAGATATACGACGAGGCCCGCAAGTTTGCCTACAGATCCAGAATGCGACCTGCCGTCGTCTACGGAGGATCCGACATTTCGCAGCAGATGCGCGAACTCGATCGCGGCTGCCATTTGCTCGTCGCCACCCCCGGTCGTTTGGTCGATATGTTGAATAGAGGAAAGATTGGCCTGCATAATTGCCGATACTTAGTACTAGATGAGGCCGACAGAATGTTGGATATGGGTTTCGAGCCTCAGATTCGTATGATTGTTGAAAATAACAACATGCCTGCCACTGGCGAAAGACAAACCCTTATGTTCTCTGCTACCTTCCCGAAAGAGATTCAAGTGCTCGCTAGAGATTTCTTGAGTAACTACATTTTCTTGGCCGTCGGTAGAGTTGGATCAACGTCTGAGAATATTACCCAAAAGATTGTTTGGGTTGAGGAACATGAAAAGAGATCTTATCTTCTTGATTTATTGGAAGCTAATGACTATGTAACTTGTAAGTATTTTATGATTTGTATTGTGTTTTATAATTTTCCATGAACGTAGTTTTAATGTTGGACTAGTAACTGATACTTTTTCGATCTTAGTTCATGGAATATTAAAAGACGTTTTTTGATTTAAGGATTGTACGATTTATCTAGTACTTTTCTTAGTGTACCGACGTAACAACTAAGCAAACGATAAAAAAACTCACCTCTTATATTTATGACCTAATTACAAAAACGAATCTTCAATCTTTTTCCAGATGCTGCTGAATCCTTGACACTGGTGTTCGTTGAAACCAAGAAAGGTGCCGATCAACTTGATGAGTTTCTGCACAACTTGCATTTCCCCGTCACCAGCATCCACGGTGATCGCTCGCAGTTCGAGCGTGAGGATGCTTTGCGTAGTTTTCGGGCTGGGCATACTCCGATTCTCGTGGCAACTGCTGTAGCTGCCCGAGGTCTTGACATTCCACACGTTAAGCATGTCATTAACTTTGATTTGCCTGGAGACGTCGAAGAATATGTTCATCGTATTGGTCGTACTGGTCGTATGGGCAACTTGGGTGAGTTCTCTTTCACAATTGAGATGAATTTCTTTCAAAATGTTCTATGGTCAACAATGAATTATTAATGTAAAATGATCTTTAGGTACCGCAACGTCGTTCTTTAATCATAAAAATGCCAACTTAGTTCGCGATTTGGTACCATTGCTTCTTGAAGCTAATCAAGATTTACCATCGTGGTTAGACAGCATGTTCAACGATAACCGACATGGTGGTGGTAGCAGCCGTCGTCCTGCCGCTAAAGGTCGCTTCAGCGGAGGTTTCGGTGCTCGCGATTACCGTCAATCTGGCGGTGGTGGCGGTGGTGGTGGACCACCCAGTCGCAGCAATGGATCTTATGGTGGTAGACCAGCTGGTTATGGAGGTAATGATCCTTTGAATGTCCTATGATTATTTTAATGAGAAACTATTCTTCATATGCTCAAATAATTTGTTCTCTTTATTTATAGGTGGTAACGGTTACGGCGGTAACTTTAGCTCGTACAATTCCAGTAACAATAGTAGTAGCAATGGTGGTACCGACTGGTGGGGTTAATCGAATTATTATTAATTATATAAAATCGCACCCAACTTCACTTGTGCAACCATTACTACTACTTTTACTATTACTACTATAACTACTACTACTACAACTACTATTCTACATACAGATTCAATTATATGTAAGAAAAGTCACGCGGGCACACAATAGTTTCAAAAATTATTATCTTTTCGAAAAGATGTCAAGTGTAGACCTGTGCGAGCTTAAAAATCTCGAATTTGAGACTCGTACCAATCAATGATGCACACGAAGCATACGTTACAATTACACTATTATTAGGAAAAGAAAGCGTTGAATAAAAAGGCAAAATTACGAGAAAACAAACCATTTGCGAGTAGTACGTAACGAATATTATTATCATATCAAAACTGCCAATTATACGCAATTGTTGTGTGCGCGTTTTGGTTAGACTTGGAAAAAGATGCAAGTATTGGATGTGAAGCAATGTATTTGTATACGTGTAAACGACGTCCGATGGTACGTAAAGATGTCAGCGATGATTAAAAAAAGCTTTTACGCAATGAAAAAGACAAAGAAACGTATTACTTTTCTTTTTGCGATGCTCGGGAGCTTAAAATATAGATAAACTCTTGTTGCAACGCCAAATGAGTCGAGGAATCTTGTTGATGGATAATTTGACTATAATTTTGCTGACATGAGGAATATAAGAACAAGTGATGTCTCTGACTGAGATGAAAACGATGTCGTATTATTATATAGTTGTAAGCACTCGTACGTTGCTTAAATTAATAAACATGAAATTCAAAACTGACGCAAGTATTACTTGCGGTTGCTGAAAATAATGCAACAAACGCAGCTCGTTGTGACTTTTTCGTAATCATAATAATTAGCGAGTATTTATTTTGCTCGGCATCTCGAGCCCTCGAAGGACAGTTGTTTTTAATTTAAAATCAGAAGAACTCGAAGCTTGAAGCTATGTTTGAAAAAATTCACGATATAATGTTTAGAATCGACGAATGGTACTTTAGTCCTTTGCCGTCCCTCAATTTCAAAAGAGACACAGAAAAGGAATAAAATACAGGCTCTAATGTTAATTGCAACTTAAAGTCTTTCGGAAAGACCAAGAGTCCTAGGAAATTGACAAATGATATAACAAAATATAACCACGCGCCTTCATAATAAGTGAATCTATTTGATTAGATTTCATTTAAAAGGGAGAATCAAATCGGAAGCATGGCTTATTTAAAAAAGCTTCTCGTTCGTTCTTCCCTCCTCTAATTATTGATTCTCCAATTATATTATATGTTATTAGTTTTCCTCTACGCAAACAACGAGAAGCCGACGTGTATCACGGCGATGACAACTTCGATAAAGTCGGCTATTTTTACGTGATATTATAGAACTATTTATGTAGCTGTCGGATCTCAAAAAAAAAGATGCAGAATTATAAGAGAATCGTTATCAAAGAGAATTGTTGCGTGTTTGAACTGAATGTTCATTTAAATATATCTGTATAATATATGCACGTGTGAAATCGTCGTTTGCGTTTTGAGGATATATATATAAATATTATATGCGTGCGTGTATGTCGGTGCGTAAGACCCACTCGCTCATACACAATCGAAACAAATGTGTCTCGTCTATAACATGTAGACGAAGTAGTTAATTTTCTTTTTCATTATAGTTTATGTCCAAGGAGAAGCAAGCCAATTTCTTGTAGCTTGATTATCGAAAGAAATAGAGAATTGACAAACCGGATTCTATAATATTAATAAATTAAAAAAGGTTGCAGTTACAGAAGTTGCTTAGAGTGTATTAAAGGGTGGGATAACGTAAACAAGTTTCATACTTATGAAATGACAGAAAAAAAACAAACAGTAGAGAGAATCCTATGTATGAGTGTAATGCGTGTTCGATGAACTTTTTTCTCTGTTAGGGCTCGCTGTTAAAGTACAGAAGTCTTGCCCCCTTGTGTGTGAAGCCGTCGAGCATTTACACCGCAAATTTTGTAATCTTTATTTAAAAAAAGAGATTTATTAAAATGAACAATATATTTAAAAATGAATAATGTGCGCTATTATTAAATATTTGTCATAGTAATACTTAAACAAAGGGTTGAAACGATGTTTTGACATCGTCCCCATCGTAATAACACGAAAAGCATCTTTCAAAATAAACAAGACATTTTAAAGAAAAAAATTAATTAATTGAAAAACGACTGTGATATTGAACGATCTTGCGACATTCGATTGTTAGCGTTAATTGTAAATTGTTTTTAATTTGTTCGTAAAAAAAGAAAACTGACGAGCCTACGTGTATACGATTAATTGTTTTATAAGTAGGTAACAGACGCTGTTTAAGGATCGAATGTCCTCATATGAGTACGGGTTAAAAAACAAGTCGTTAGATTTGCGCGGTTTTAACATAATGTAAAGGGTAATCCAAATTGAAAGGGTTCATTAAAAGAAAAGATAAAAATACTTTGCTGTGATGTCCGACATAGCTCGTGTTATAAAGAAGGAGGACCGAACGTTTATGTGTCCAAATGTAATACATACGAAAACGCGTGTAGAATTTTTCATTAAGCAAGAGAAAGAAAGAAAGTAGGGACCGCGAGTAAGCAAATTGCATGTAATACAAAGTCGTCTTCGTCGCGATCAATGCAAGATTCAAAAACCATCTATAAAATCCGCGCAGTGGAATCGCATTGCAAACAGTAGATTGTGATGCTCACAAGCACTGCCAAACGAATCAACATTTACAGCTAAACGTTTTTTTACTACCGCTCTATCGCTTCTCCGACATACGTTTTTACCCAAGAACTATCGGAGACGTGACGTGATTGTAATTATTTTCTAAAATGTAGAATCTCCTCGAAGACGATAATGTGGCTGACAAAAGAAATATCACGTTAGCTGGAAAAAGAGTACAATTTTTAAAAGTAATTTGAGTATAGCATGAAGATTATATCTATAAAATAAGAAATGTTTGAATTTATTGAAATAAAAAAATAATCTAATGATTTATTAGTTCTCAAGTAAAAAGTCTTATTATTGAACAACGAGTATTATTTTCTTTGATTGACAAATAAGATTATGTACGTACTTCGTAAATGCTAGTCTGTACAGAGCTTTATTACAATGTATTGAAGTGAAAAAAAATTTAGAATCGCTACAAAAAATTTAAATTTCGATTGAATATCAGAAATCAATCAGTCGATTGAGAGATTAATCCCTTTTTCTGTCTTTCTCTCTTGCGTTTAGTTAGATGTACTTCGGGATATGACAATTATAAAAGAAGCCCCTTTTAAAACTTCTTTTTTATCTAATAGAAGTACACAGGTGGCGGGATGAATTTTGTACGTTTACCAATATATCGTAACTTCATATTTCTTTTTTTTTACTTGTATGGTCGCACGATTTTAATATTTTTTATAGGATTATTCACACGTTTTACATTTTAACGTCTTAACTGCATAAATAATCACACATTTTTTCTATTCATCTTAACAGAAGCTTAACAGTCTTGCATTTTTTTTTCTTCCGATATATACACTTACACATTATAACTTCAATAAAAACAGGATGCTATAACAGCATTCCGTGCGACGCTTTCGACAAAAAAATCATGACAATTCTGACATGGTGTACAAGCTGATGTTTGGAAAAAAACGAAGAGAATGAATGAAATTGCGATCGATGCAATAATAAATAGAATATCGTTATAGTTTATTTTTCTTTTCATCTGACTCTGGTGAAAAGAAAAAATTCAAGACAGCACAGCTTGTCCTCGCGAATAAACATATAGAAAATTTTTTTTTCTTTGATACTCGTTTCAAGAGTGGTCAAAAAATATTAGTCCGAATTTAAAAGTTTTATGTTCTAGGTAATTTAGATTAATTTTATCAAACTTAGAAATACCCACCGTTAATTTTTTATAAAATGAATACGTTTTGTCCTCCGCATAAAAAAGATTACGCGATTAATCGGGCACGAGCAGCCTCGCGTTTTAAAATGTAAATTCGAAATTATTAATAAAAACTGAAAAAAAAATCAGGGAGATATTGAAACTAGGCCAAAATGTAAATATTTTCAAGTGCGTTTTTTCAAGATTTTTCTTGAAAAGACGTCTCGAAAATTTTCATTTTAGTCTGGCAGATGTACCTCTTTAATTGAATTAAAAAAAAGTACGGTGTGTCGACGGTCTCATACAATTAACTTGTAAAGTGTATGCGTGTATGAGCGCCGTGCGCGAATACCCATAGTACGAATCTAATTGTACAATGGATACTTTTTTGGATATTCTATCGTTTCAATTTTCTATTTTTCGAGTGTGTACGTGTGGTTGTTAATGATTATTTCAATCAAATATCTCGTTTCACGCCGATGGAAGGCAGCTATTGAAAAAAATATTAAAACAATTTTGAGAGAATTTCTGTGAGAATGATGAGAATGAAAGTTTGCATGAGAACAGAAAGTAAGGCGATATGATAAAGGATTCGAGTTTATGTGTTGAGCAGAAGATAAAATTGAATTGAAAATAATTATTCGAAAAAACTGGGTCAAACATTACTTTTTGTTAAATTTTAACATCCGAAATTTAAAACAATAACGTTAACTGTGACTGCAATCATTATTAACATTATCGAAGGAATAGTAGTTTGAAGTTAAAAAAGGAATGATGAAAAGAGGAAGGGAAGTATAATTTTTTGTATGACAAAATAAATGCGGCGTGCGAGATGAATGTATTTTACAATTAAAAGTGAAATGGAAAATGTGTGAATCAATGTGAGCAATTGATAGTTTACTCGAGTCATTTAAAATGAATAAGTGACTCGAGAAACTGGATTTTGTAGAAAATGAAAAAAATATTGTTAATTTTATGTTTCCACGTTTGCCTCTAATATGGATCTGAAATAAATGATGCATACATATAATTGTAAAGATTGGATGAAATGTGTTAGCGAGCGAGTGAAATGAAAGAAAAAAAGAATATTTTGAGCGAACGAGATCCAAATAAAATTCACGAATAAAATCTTTCTCAGATGCGAGAATAATGCAAATACTTGTACTATTGTATTGTTTTACTTCGACCGATGTATAGACCGGTTAGTTAAATTTTTTTTAAATAATTCGTTCTCATTTCTTCATTCAACTAAATAATATATTTTGTCTATTAAATTGAGTTCAGTTGCATAATTTGGATGAAGTTTCATCTCTTCGCGTCGAGCCAGCTACTATGACACTTCTCGCACGTTCGCCAAATCATTGTTTCACTTGAATCACGAAGTGAAAAATAAAATAAAAAATAAATAAAAAAAAATAAACCAAGGGCGTGAGGAGACCACTAAACGTTCCTCGCGCTGGTCGAGAGAAACTAAAAGGGTGTTTCGAAGAATGAGAGAGTGAGAAAGAGAGAAGCAAAAAGCAAGATGTTGACGAATTGAAAGAATTGTCAAGCATAATTTATAATGAAGGAAAGAAAACAAAAAAGCGTAACGGTGATGTACCATTCTGTCGGTCTTTTTACTGTAGTAATCACACAAGAATGCAAAAAAATATTTACAATCTATACGTTATAGTTGGGTGTAGAATGTGAAAGGATAATAATAACTTAGTGAACATCAAGACAGAGAGCATTGAATATTAAAAAAAAATAAAATAAAATAAAAATAAAATCACGAAAAAATCTGTATGAAATTAATTAGACGAATCTACAAATTTCTGTATGCTCTCGGTGTACAATGTGTAATTAAGGACAAAAACAAAAAAAAATGTGTGAAGATGGAAACAAAATAAGCAAAATAAAGAGAGAGGTATCTCGACAAACGATGCCGTTCATGATTTTCATGAGAAAAAAAATTATACACTTGTTACGTCTCTCTGTTGTAGTCAAATCCCTCCATCCTTGTTTCCTCCATATCTTTATTTCATTATCAACAGGAATTTCGAAAATCTGTCTTGCATCGATATGTGTCGAAAGTGCCGGCGACAGCAGAGCTTTTACGCAATGATTGATTGCTATGCCGGCCCGTAAGTTTTCCGTTTGAAACTTGGTATTACATATGGTAAGTCGTGCGACCTCCATTATCCGGACAAGCTAGTGATTCTTTATTGATGAGAATCTTTATTTTTTCTTTGTGAAGTAAAGCTGAATACATTTTTGACAATTGGTTACCAATGAACCGATTTTTTATTCGCTTACAAATCATATATGATGACAAGCTTTCAATTGTGGATTAAAATGATGTCCATTGTCTAAAAAATTTTGATGATCCATTGAACGGTGAACCAATTACGTAACGCAATTGGAATAGTTACTCAAGAGAATAAAGAATAAATATTACGGTACTCCCACGTTCTAGGAAATTAACGCCTACGGCGATAAGACCTGTATAGTACGCATCGGCGCCGCTCAAAAAAGCGAAGCACCACCAGCTGGTCTTTACTTCTATACAATATACAAAACCGTGTCTTCGCGTGCGATGTAACGCTACGTATGTACTACGCTATACACATACGCTGACGTGTGTGCTTGTGTGAAAGTGTGTGTGAAATGTGTTGGACCAATCGCGTGAGACCACGAACGCGATGGCGCGTCACACGGACGTAAACTGCTGAGATTCGCGTATTTTCTCGTCAGTCAACTCACCACGGCAGCGAAGCAGTACTAATATGTTTTCTCGTGCTATACACTACACACAGTGCTATGATGTATAAATATATACGCAGACGAGTCTGAGAGGCTGCTAAAACACATCCACGCGAGCGCGACACAGAAAACTTTTTTCTTGCGTCTTGTTCTCGGCCGCCCGACGCGGGGACTGTTTTGTTGCAACGAAATAGGAGGTTGAAAAAATAACGAGGGTAGACTGGCTCTGGCACGTCCAACCGAGAGAGACATCAGATCTTTCCAAAACAACGGAGACGTCAGGGAATCATTGTCAGCCCAGCTGACGTAAATCATTACGGAAGAATGTATCGCTCGTGCGGACTGTTACTCGTACTCCTGCATATTGGGCACGATGGTACATATGATTGATTTTTACGTTTCATTATTTATTTATTGATGTGAATTTATGCTAATTTACACGCGCAACTGTGTATCAAATCTGTGAACAAGTCTGGCAATAGCAAGCTCTCTTTTCGCGAACGTTCACGACAGAAGGCTTGTAGTCTGCCTAGCAATTAAAATACTGTAAACTCATCATGTTACAAGCTGTTGTTGAATTTTCCATTCTGCTGGAAAATCTACCATTGATGCATGACAATACCCAATCAAATTTTAATTGCATCATTTTGTGTTGCGCTTGCATTGCCAAACTTCCAATCAAGCATTGGAGTGCGTCTGTTGTCTGATTACTAACAATGATATGTTTTTATAGCTTCTGCAACCACAACAAAAGGCTTAGATAAGCTTTTGGAACTTGGAACAGAGTTTTTGCATACTGGTCGTTATCAGGATGCCTTGTCGTACTTTCACGAAGCCGTTGGTGAGTTATAATTGCATCCCAACTTGGTTTTACCCATTTTAAAAAGGCTCGTCATTTAATCAAATGATATTTACTATTGTTTTCATATAGAGGCTGACCCCAAGAATTATATGACGTACTTTAAGAGGGGCACAGTGTATTTAGCATTGGGAAAAGCTAAGCAGGCTTTGACAGACTTTGATAAAGTATTGGACTTGAAACCAGACTTCACAGCTGCTAGACTTCAGAGAGGTACGGTTCACCTTAAGAATGGAGATCTTGCCATAGCAGAAGAAGATTTTACTCAAGTTGTTAGTAATTTTTTACTTATCATAATACTCACATTATTTATAGAATAAACTTCATTAATTATTGATTTTAGCTTATGTTATTACCTGGTCATGAGGATGCCTCCAATGCTTATTCTAAGTTAGCATTAGCTAGAGATTTAATAAGTAACGCAGAAGCATATTATTCACATGGAGATTATGAATCTGCTGTTGCACATTTGTCAAGTGCCATTGAAATTTGTTCTTGGTCACCTCATCTTAGGAATTTAAGGGCAAGATGTAGAATACAATTAAATGACGCTGCTGCTGCAGTATCTGATCTGAGATCTGTTGCGAGGCTCACATCAGATAACACAGACGCATATTATGAACTTTCAACTTTACTCTATCAGCTTGGTCTGGTCCAAGACTCTCTAAAGTGAGTTGACAATTTATTGAATGTGTAATCTGATATAGAATTAGCAGTAAATGTTTATAAAATTAAAATTTACTTTTACAGAGAAGTCAGAGAATGCTTGAAACTAGATCCAGAACACGAGACCTGTTTTCCTTTTTATAAGAAAACTAAAAAAGTAGCTAAGTTAATTGAAGATGCGGAGAATGCACATGAATCTGGAGATGCAGAGACTTGTATAGATAAAGCAAATAAAGTTCTTAAATTAGAAACTGATGTAGTGAATATAAGGGTAACAGCGTTAGAGTTACTATGTAAAAGTCACACTGCCAATTCTGATACTGAGCTTGCAATCAAATATTGTCGCGAAACTGTAGATATTCATAAAGATGCAGATAGATTATGTCTTTTGGCAGAGGCTTATCTATTAGGAGATGAATACGACGATGGTGAGTTTTGAAAAGCTTTTTTTTTAAAAATGCTCAAAATAGTTTTTTTTAACCATTGAAATCATTGACCATTAATTTGTACTTTTACAGCTATTCGAACTTTCAAGTCAGCTTTAGACTTGGATCAAAATAATCAAAAAGCGAAGCAGGGTCTGCAAAAGGCTCAGCAACGACAAAAGCAATCGGAACGTCGAGATTACTACAAAATCTTGGGAGTTCCACGTAACGCGAAAAAGCAACAAATAGTCAAAGCTTACAGGAAAGCAGCACAAAAGTGGCATCCCGACAATTTCCCCGATGAAGACGAAAAGAAACGGGCCGAGAAAAAATTCATTGACATCGCAGCTGCAAAGGAAGTACTAACAGATGAAGAGAAAAGGGCGAAATTCGACAGAGGCGAAGATCCATTAGACCCCGAGAGCGGTAAACATCAAGGTGGCTTCAATCCCTTCCAAGAGTTCCACCACTTCCATCAAGGCAGTGCCGGTGGTGGTCCCTTCCATTTCAAATTCAACTTCAACTAAGTGTCTTTCTTAACATTTCTACTGGGTATTCTCATCGATTAGATAGCACGCGATGTCAAATTTACGGAATAATACAAGTCCCGTGCTAACCGAAGAGATATACCGAAACAAGAAAGATCACGCATTTACACAACTTTTTTAATTCAAGTCACTGCAATTTTAGTCAAGCAGTTGCATTTATGCGACAAAACTTTATTTAGGTCGAATCTAACAATCAGCTATTCGACGAATGTGTCAGTAGTTCCGTTCTGGTTAACGACGAATGTGACGCGACGCGTGTGTACACTTATCACCGGTAAAATACGCGACTAGTCGAAAATTCGTCTCCCTATAAGTTCCAAAGACAAACTTTTTTTAAACGATTATTTTTCTCGCTATGTCGATTAATTGTGTGAAAAAAAAACTTCCGAAATAGACGCAACGAGACATTTCCACACGTGATTTTAGAGGACTGATGTGTCGTATCTCATTCTATCATCTGTAAAAAAGCCCCCATAAAGCGATTGAATCGTTGTATGAGCTGTTGTATCATCGGGTATAGGTAAGAAAAGAAGAAGAAACGCTGTTCTTTGCCTTTTAGAAAATACAATTATCATAGACTTAATTTTTGTACCGATATCCGATGCTCCTTTGAATATTGAGTAGTATTTTGTTTGTCGTGGTATGATTGTGCGATTGTGCGAGAGATATAAATACTAATAATGTCACGAAAAAAAAAATTGTTTTGTAAATATTATCCTTGTAATCGGTCCATGATCTTGGACAATTGTTTAAGAATATATTATATATTTCAATTATTTATACGAAAAAAGTCAAGAGTCAAGCGTCTCATTTCATTTCTTTTTCTTTTTGCCCTTTTTCTTTTTCTTTTTCGCCTTCAAGAGCAGTACTTTCAGATTCGCGAACTCGCCCAGCTCGTGCCTGACCATGTAACCCCGCCACAGGGACTGAATTATCGTCGCCGCTCGGTGCACCGCCTTCCAGTACTCGATCTCGTCGAGGATCCTCTGCTGCTCGGCCTCGTACTCGTCCACCAGCACCTGTCGCTCGGCCCTCAGCTCCTCCAGCTTCTCCAGCTCCTCCTGGATCTTCTCGATTTTCTCCTTCATCTCGTTCATCCGCTGCGAGCGTTGCTCCAGCTCCGAGTTGTATCGGTTGGTCCAGTCGACGGTCTGAGCCTCGCACTCGGCTATCGCCAGCTTCATGTAGGCCTGCAGCTCACGCGACGTCCTATCCTCGGATTTCTTGCTCTTGTCCAGCAGGCCGATCTCTCGCAGCACCGACTGCTCTTTGAGCCAGAGCTCGTGCTGCTTCTGCTCGTATCTCGTTTGCTCCGTTCTCTCGGTGTAATCTGTCAAAAGGGGAAAGCAATTGCATTGTCGAGTCTGCAGCTATTATATTTCAATTATTGTTACCGATTTTTTCATTATTGGCACAGAAAGACTCGTCGATGGATTTCTCTAAATTTTCCAGCTCGTCGTGGTATTGTTGTATCTTTTGCCGACTGGTCGCCCGGAAATATTCTATCGAATCCTCCAAGTTCTTAGCCGTGTCCTCAAGAACTTCGGAGTTCATTTGGCTCTTGTGCCGCTTTTCGTGCTCGCTGGCTATCTCATTGACGTGATGCAGCAAGGTGTAGTACGAGCCATTGGACTCGAGCTCCTCGGCCGTGATCGACAAGATGTTCTGAGCCCAGCCAACGTCTCGCAACAGTTTCTCGGCGACGGGCAGAACCACCAGCTCGTGGCCGGTCTCCTCCACAAAGTGCAGCATCTTCGGCCGCTTGTCCTCGGGATTTTCGCGGCAGAAATTTCGCTCCTCCAGTTTCGGCGGTTCCCGTCTGATGGTGCGTTTGAGAATGTCCAGCTCGTCGATGGCCTCGCGCAGGACCAGCGAGAACATGGTGGATTCGAGCTCCTCCACGCGACGCTCCGCCTTGGACTTGGCCTCGAGGTGCATCGAGAGTCGGTACACGCCGGGATTGATCGACGGTCGACTGCCATATTGGGGACCAATTGCTGGATCGTCCGATACGGTTGAATTATGACTCGGCCTAAAAAAAGTTCATTGTCAACATTGTTCGTTTTAATTAATAGTTTATAGGGATCGAGATAAATAAGAATTTCCAAGTACAAACGAGATATTGCTAGATCCGGCCGAGCCCAGGGAACGGGAACTGGCGTCCTCGAAATCGGCGTCCGAATCGATCGTTATCGCTGTCAAGCGAATCTCCTTGAGATTGACTGATTTTTTGGACTTTTCAGTTTCATCTTTGACTGGTCCGTCATTTGTTACTTCTGTCGATGCCATTATTCATCCGATCAAATTATTACGAGAGGTTACCGTTTGAAATAAATTGGGTTTGTTCATCGTGTTTGTTGGTTCAAATTGGCTTTTTTATTGGCAATGTTATTCGATTGACAAGTTGTTAGATCTAATTACACGAAGTTGTACCATGATATTTACGATAGTCATTTTTTGAGTCTTTCAATATGTTTCATTTTCAATGAGAAAATTTTTGTATCGTAAATTCACCAATTAAATATATTTTAAGTTCACTCATGAAACTTTTATAATGTTTCAATGCTTTAATTTCATTAAAGCAGATAAACTGTGGGTGCGTCGATCGCTTTTACAAACATTATTTGGCTATTCACACTCATAGTAATTTTATTTTTCAATTTATATATAGATGTCACAATCTTTTCAGTTTCCTAGTTAAACGTAAATGACTATTTCAAAAAATTTTACACGTCAATGAGACCGTGTTGATCTTCAATTATCTCATGTAGTTTTGAAAAAACCCTATATAATGTACTCTTTCACTAGACACACTATCTCGTCTAAAAAGTTCAAAGCTCAAAGTCCTCGCGAGCTGATATGTCTGCAGCTTTGAAATCATGGACTATTTAACTGTAATCAACGTCAATTAAGAATTCATTCGAATTCATTATTTATATTTCGCTAAATTTTTTTTCATATACATCAACAAAATGATAGTTATCAAACTACTTTCAAATTCATTTTTCACACTTACAGTATGTTTTTTTACACTATATGATCTAATATATACAAGAAAATATTGTCATCGTGATACATATATGGCACTTTTTTCATAACAAAGCGTATATTCATTCGAACAATTTCGATCGAGTGATAACAAATTCTAAACTCACTATCCAAATAAATTTCAAAAAAAAATTCAAGCATTTATCCCCGGCGATAAAGCAAAAAAAACTACATCGTGTAATTAGTTACAAAAATATACACTTCTTTACGTATCGTGCATAAAACACGACACTGCATCACATCAATAATTCAGGTGCGGGCAAAGGTGGGATTGTATAACAAAAAAAAACGTAAAATCGTACTGTGAAAATTGACTTTCGCTGTGTCAAACGATACAACATTATAAATTGATTTTACACGCACATTCGCTCACACGTGAAGTTTATTGAGACTAAACTTAAAGGATGTTCAATTTTTTACACACACACACACACACACACACACACACACTCGAGTTGTAAGAGAGTTACTTTCATGTTTTTGTTCAATCGTATAGTAGGAGAGAGAGACAATGCGCGCGACGAATCGTGGCTCCTTCAAATTCCTCGGACGACGGAGGAGAAAATCTGAGGGTTATATTTACAAAGAAATAAGAGGAAAACAATGGATGCATCTTAATCAAAGCGAGTACAGAATGCGCCTTCGCGAGCCAGCGATTCTTTTTCTTGTTGGTTTCGTTTACATGAAATAGCTCATGTACTCGTGCGGCATGACGCCGCGTCGCGGATAGAACGTGTGGGTCGGCGAGTAGCAGAGCAGATTCGTGATCGAGCTCATGTAGATGTCGGCGAAGCGAAAGAGCCGACGCGAGAAGTAGGTCGGATTGTGATAGGTGCGAAAGACGGAGCCGAACTGCTCGTTGAACACGTGCTTGATCTCGTTGCGCAGCCTGTCGCGCTCCTGTATCCAGGCGTCGAGCTCGGCCTCGGCCTCGGGCCCGTCCACATTCTGGTGGTCCTCGATCAGGGCCGTGAGCATCTGCAGCCAGTTGGCGTTCCGCTTGAAGGTCGGATGATTCAGGGTCTCGATCTCGTGGGCCAGCTCCTTGATGATGGCGCCCGTGCGCCAGCCGTGCTCGAGGGTCACGTCCGCGAGGTCGCTGTACGGATGATCGCCGAAGTAGAGCACCTGATGGCCGCGCCAGCCCGTCGTGTCCTGCAGCTGCTTGACCGTGCCCTCGAGGTAGATCACGCCCTTCTCGACCTTGGTGACCCGGTCCCAGAGCTGGGTCTCGTTTTTCTCGTCGTAGATGCGCAGCGGCCGCGACTCTTCGGTGAAAAAGCGAGGCTTCCGAGCCTGCACGATCACCACGTCGAAGTACGACTTCCAGTCGTCGCCCACGAGGAATCGCATACCTTTGTCACTGTCAAATTTCAAAGAGTTGGCGATGATTGCTTGAAAACGAAAATAAAAATAAAAATGTAGGAGGTTTGTATGTAAAACTTACACAAAGTGAAAAGGACTGTTCGTTACGAGGAACATTTTCTTGTCGGCAGCCTTGAGCCGGTCGAAGTATTGATTGAGATCCGGATTCGACTCGAGGTACTCGGAGACATTTTCCACCACTAACTTGTGCATTATCGGATGGCAGCTTTGTACTGAATTCTACAAAACAAATTTTCGTACAAATTAAAGTATTTATAGTCATAGGAAATTTTCACTATAGAGCTCGTACCTTGACATCTCGGAAGAGAATTTCGGGATGGAAATCGATGTGATTCTGCAAAAAGTACTCGGTGACGTTGCACAGCAAGCCCATCTCGGGCAGCGAGAACAGATCGGCCAATTGGACCATTTTGGTGCGCCGGACGCCGTCCTTCGAAGACGAGAGAGAGAGAGAAAAAGGCGATCAATTTTTCGTAACAACGATTTGTGAGATTTTTACATCCGCGTCGCCGTCGCGGCGAGGCGAATAACAACGAAAAAAAAAAAAAAAACCGAACCACAAGCTCTGATTGAAGAACGTGAGTATAACATGGAAATAAATGTGTGCGTGATATATTATATAAATAGAAAATAGCCGATGGTGCGCTATGCGGAGCCATATTAAAATCAATTGACGATTGTTAAAGCTACTCTAGGCGCGCGGGACAATTGAGTTCTGCGGTGCAGTCGTTACATAGGAAGTAGCCAACGATGGCTATAGCCGTGAGATGATATTATTATATTGCCCAACGAAACACAAATTATCGTAAAAACATGAAACAAATCGCAGCTACACATTTTTGGTTATTACACACTATTTATCGTATACGCTGCCACTGTACTTACCCTCTACTCTTCGAGTAAACGTGTGTGGGCGAGTCCCATAAAGGTAATGAGATGTGCGAGACGTGTGTACGGTGCGATTTACACACATACGTACGTACGTACACACAGAAATCCCGCAGGATTTATATGAGTGAACAGACATGCAAAAAGACAAAAGTCACAGGAATTGCACGGATAAATAGAAGAAGTAGAAGAGAGAGAAAGATCGGCAAACGAGCCATTAGACATAATATAATATTCATATAAACGTGACATTTCTATATGATTATCTCGTTGCCGCGTACATATATTTACATCCAGAGTGGAAATTTTCTCAATTAGGATTTGCATTATCGTTAGTTTTATATAGTACAAATAAACTCACGTGATGGTGTTTGTAGGGCGCCTCGACGTAGGCGATCGGTATGATGCGATTCTTGTAGAGCCTCAGCACCTCGTCGTCGGGCACGGGCTTCAAGCCCCGATAAACGGCCCCGAGCTGGATCTGCAGGAAGCTGTCGAGCTTCAGCAGCAGGCCCTTCTCGATGTCGTAGTGCAGGCCTCGCACCGCGAAGTCGTCACGATACTCGAGATCGGCTATGCCCTCGGGGTACTGTACAAGACATATGAAATTTTCTTTGCGCTCGCTCGTTTAATTTAGAGAGCAGAGGGTAGCTTCGTACCTTGTGCTTCTTGATGAGCATGTCTCGGCCCAGCTTGTAGAGCAGATAGTCCATGCTCGGCTTGTAGCAGGCCAGCGTGTAGTCGTAATCGAAGCCGTAGACCTGCACCTCGCGCAGATCGAGCTCGTTGCAGGCGAAGACGCCGCGCGCGTTCACGTCCTGGGGCAATTTTTTCGCTGCCGCGGAGAAAAAAAGAAATCAGTGTATACGGACGTTTGGCACATGGAATATTGATTAATTTTGTTTTGAAAATTCATCGTGCCAAAACGAGCGAAAGGCGATAAAAGCCCGACTCGATCCGCAGTCATCGATAAAAGCTCGTAGAAAGTTATTTTAAGCTCCGCATCAATCTCGACCATTCAAATTAATTAATCATCGGGTTTCACAGCCTCTCTCTCTCTCTCTCTCTCCATCATTTCTTCGGATTCATGCGCATATAATTCCGAAGCACGCGATAACAGCATCGTGCGGCGTGTACAAGTGCACAAGCTCTCGCTCGCATCTGTGCTGCTGAATCTCAGCGCAATTCGAACGAATACTCTGCTTTATCTGCATGACATTGAGCGCGTTGGCGGTAGCCGCCGCGACGACGAGAGCTCGTATAAGTATATCGTATATGCTCGACGCGATCGAATTAGCGCGTCTCTCTCTCTTTTTTCTCTCTCTCTCTTTCGGTGCGCGTTACGATCATTTTAAAAGTCAGCGCGTGCGCGCCGCAAAAAGCTCGTCGCGAGTGTCGAGCTTGCGCTCGAATCCCTCTCCGTATATCGCACGTAATGCATACAGGGTAATGTACGTACATCGTGCACGTGGTCTCGCGGGCGCGCATATAAACGCCAAAGTCAGCAGCCGTCGTCGAGCATGCGCTTTTGCGCTTCGTAATAAACTGCCAGTCCGTACGTATGATAAATATATACAGCTGCACATCACCTTGTGCGCCAAAGAATCTCGCTCCGACGTTTTTCCGAGTCAGTGTTTTTTTCCTCTCTGTTGTGTGCCCCGCACGTACACATACACTTCGTTTTGGCTTGGGTATCAAAATACAAGAGCAGGACAGAAATACGTAAGGCGCGAGGCGTGCGACACTGCGTGCCTGCAAAAACGATGGATATGCTCTCTCGCATCATCTCGCTATAGCTTGCTGTCTCTTTCGCGAACTCGTCGTCAGCTTGTTTATACATTGTTTACCCGCGTGCTGATGCTGCTGCTGCTAATGCTCTCACGGTCACACTCGCGAGTGCTCGAAAATTCCCCTCGGCACGCGCCACGCAAATATAATACAAGTAACAAAAACGTTGACTCTCTTATGTACATGCGTGCCGCAATCGACACATTTCGGAGTCAAGGGACAATTCGTATCGATTGCAAATCGTAGAGGAGTAAAATTCGCGAATGGGATGCTGCGTGTAAGAAACGCAGACGCACGTGCGAGCAGTGCGTAACGGTTACGCAGGTGGGCCGGAAGCTCGCGCACAGGTGTGTGCGATCGCGTATAATTGCGCCTGCACTCTCTCATTACGTACTTACATTTGCATTTTTCGAGCATCATGTCGTAGCTTCGCCTCATGCGATCTCTCGAGACTTTGGACGCTGCCAAGTCGGTGCTGCAGGACGTCGACGAGCCGAGCCATCTCCTGGCCAGATGCTGGCCGTCGCGCCTGATGACCGAAGACATTATAAGCTGCTGCTGTCTAGTACACAATGACAACAACTCGATGCACTACCACTGCGATTTTCGTACTTTGCTTCTCGCGCGTTTGATAGGCGACGTGCACAGTGTATTATATGTATGACAATAATGAGAGAGCAGTGCACACACAGAGAGTAGCTTTGCGGGTCGACGAGCGCGCGTCAATGGAAGAGGCCTCGAAAGGCGCGCGCGACTACGACGACTATCGCACAGGCCGCAACTACACACTACTGTACTGCCGTATGCTACATATATATATGATGCGACGAGCTGACGACGCTACTCTTCGAGCACTGCCACACGCAGTCCGTATATCCTACACTACTCGCTGCGATGCATATACGATTGCACACGTACATACGGTACATAGATAGTGGTGGTGTACGTATATAGAATATATAGAAGGTTGCGCGCGCAAATTCGTACGTTGATGTTTGCAGAGCTCTGGTTTAGCGGCTGGCACGTTGTTTGCCCGCGATCAGCAAAACAGACGCCAGCTGATAAGCAGCCTCCGACGTGCGCCGATAATGAATAGGCAATCAGTTTTTTAAATGTTCATATTTATAAAGACTTCGCGAAATTCCTCCATACTGGCGAGTCACATCACTACCCTTGCTGAAACTTTCATAGCTTTGTTGAATAATAAGTGACTAAAAATCTAAAAGTTTTTTATATTGCAATAGCAAAAGCACTTTGAATTTAAAAGTATGTTATGAGCAGCGTCACAATAATCTAAAAAATAGATAACTTCAGGCGGGATTCGATAGCATGTCACTTAAAATCACGCCGTGGGAAAAAAAAGATTATTTGTCGACATCATACGACGTTTATTTGTTAATTAATCACCCGATAAAGGGATGTAGTGCACAAACTTGGCTCGAATTTAATCTGAACTGTTGTATTATATAGTTGAGTTATTCGTGTGATAACAAGTTTATACGAGAGTAATCAATCCAACCACGGCAAGGAAGCAACTGGGCAACTGCATCGATCGTTTTGTAACAGATCCCAAAAAACATTATCACCGTCTTTATTAATGCATTTTCTATCGCACATTTGGCAACGTAATCCATCGTTTAATATTATCTTTTCAGTGTCTGGTGTCATAGTCCCTGATATAAATATCTAACCATCCATCTACAACAACATTGTCGAATGTACCATATGCGTCTGTGTATTTACCTGCATTTGAACAAGAGCCTGTGGTGTCTAGTGTTCCAGCAAACGTCATCGGTATACTTTTGGTATGATAACTTAAGGTATAGAGATCTACCGACGATTGCAATCATAATAATATGCACAATAATGATTTCAATTATGTTCAAAATACAGTAGCTTTTAAATCGTAAAATATGGGAGTTTCATATTAAAAAAAATTATAAAAAAGATCAAGAAATACAATGCGATAATAATTTTATCCTCTGGTACTTTTTAAATACTGATGACGAGCCTATTTATGTTATACCTTCAAAAACTATTTGACCCATTATGTAATATCATTTACGGATGATGCAATTTCTGTGGGGAATCCCGTTGATATCATGCTGGCTAGCAAGGAGTGAAGCATCATATGCTTATGAATGCGGAACACAAATCACGAACCTAACGGTAGTTTCCCTGACTGAAGTGGATGAGTGCGAAATTAAGGAGCCAGAAGTAAAACGGACGCAGATATACGCACAACTATTACAAATAAACGATTATAACGTAATCCACGTATACGAGTGCGCAATAAAAGTGACCAGGCAAGTATATCATTTCGGTATGCACAGCCATCAGTCAGTGGTAAAAGATGAGATGATAAGCTACTATAAAGAGTTATCTCACGATGAATGCCTAGGCATACATTACACAACATCATATTCAGGATACAACACAATAGTAAAAGACATCCCTAGAAACGGCACCAAAAGTATACCAATGACGTTTGCTGGAACACTTGACACCACAGGCGCTTGTTCAAATGCAGGTAAATATATAGACGCATATGGTACATTCGACAATGTTGTTGTAAATGGATGGTTAGATATTCATATCAGGGACTATGACGCCAGACACTGAAAAGATAATGTTAAACGATGGATTACGTTGCCAAATGGGCGATAGAAAATGCATTAATAAAGACGGTGATAATGTTTTTTGGGATCTGTTACAAAACGATCGATGCAATGCAGATAAATAGTCAGTCTACAAAAGTAATAAATAATCAACTGAACCACTACAAGGAAGCAACTGGGTCTGCTGCTGCTCTCTGAAACAACACCTATAACTAGCAAAGCCATCAGCCCAGCAGCGAGGCACTTTTACCAATCCACACCGAGGAATCGGCCACAGCAGTACGTGTTAATTGATTTACGAGTAGTTTTAAGTAAACAGTGTAACTAATCTTAAGTATCCTATGATAAACCTGTAATTTTTTATCACCTAATAGTGAGCTACCAACTATTTCTTTTATAATCCCTCATTTTCACTAGCCAAAATAAAATCAATATCTTTATTTATTAAAGTGGCGTCTCCTGACTTCACAGATTCATTGAGTTGTTTAACAATTATTAATTTTTTTTTCATCATATTAAATTTAATATTTACAATAATATATAACTAATTATAAAAAATTTATTGATTAATAAAACAAAGCGGTTTTTAATAATTTTCGTTTAATTTTAGATTTAATACTTAAAATTAGGGGGAAGCACTTTGCTAATGGATTGGCAGTGCTATATTTATATTTTTGATTTTTTTATCGGTAAGTTTGGTTTCGATAAGGTGCCATAGTAATGAATAAACGATTTGAGATACTTCACTTCAAATGATCGTGTGCTTATCGAAATGAAAATTTGAACTCATTGAAAAAAAATTTATTTATTGCATCATTTATTTTACATCTGCAACATATACGAAAACAACCATGAAACTATAAGAAATAATAATGTAAAAAAGTATACAAATTATCGTAATAATAAATTATAAGTAATGATAAGTAATGAAATGATTCTGCAACTGTGCTTATAAATCTCCACGAGCGATGGTACTCAGCCGCCAAGCAAATGCGCCACAAATCTTTGTTCAAGAATTTATCGATGATCATTTCACAGATCTCGATTGGCAGTCGATAGCGTATCAGCTTCCAGCAAGAATCCAGTGCCCAGGCCCGGAAAAAACCTCTGGATAGTTTCTCGCACAGAATCACAGAAAAATCCTCTATTTTATATTCGGGGAACTTGTACAATTTTTTCGAGCGTGCAAACTCGATATAATCCATGTATGTGAGTTTTTTCGCCGCCTCTTCGGGTTGTAAATCTATCAAATCGTAGAACGATAGACTCGGAGTTATCATCATGTCATTCTCCTCTTCGTCATCATCACGCCATTTTTTCCTTAACTTACTAATATCCACTGAATTTTTGAAAAATCCGTAAAAAACAAAAAATCTCATTATCTTCAAGGCATTGCTTGTGTCCAATTCGAATCCTCTTTCCTCAAGATTATCGACGATGGCCAGCAGACCAGACGCTAGTACCAATTTAATATTACCATCATAACATATTATAAAATGATCATTTACCCAATAAGGTTTCCATCTCCGGACAAAGACACTCGCACTAGGAAAAACGAAACTAGAGAGTTCAGCACCATGATCCAATAGCACACCGACCGCATCTGGCATGATATTCGTCACTGTGCATTTCAGCAGTGTCTGGCCCGACTTGTCCTTTGTGTTTACATGTACCGTTTGATGTATTTCATCATTAATTTTGAAGAATATCTTCACCAAGTTATAATTCCGTGTTTCAAGACAAACATGCAGAGGTGTCCTATCGTTTATATCGGTTAAATTAGGACTGGCACCTCTTCTCAGAAGCGATTCGACTGCCTTTTTGTTGTCATATAGCAGTGCCAAGTGTAATGGTGACCGAACTTGTCCCGAGCATCGACTTGCACCGTCTGCTGGATCTCGTCGTTGACTTTGAAAAATAGGTCGACTAATTTACCTGTCTTGCAAATAATATGCAGAGGTGTCATTCCACTCACGTTGGCTGCATTCGGGTTGGTGCCTGATCGAAGTAGTAATTCGGCCAGAGTACCGTAACCAGAGTCCAGATTCCAGTGTAGCGCCGAGTCACCTATTTTTTGATAAAGGCAATTGGGATCTTGCCCAGCTTCGAGGAATTTTTCGACGATGTCATCCAAGCCACATCTACAGGCCATATGAAAATGTGTATAGCCAAACTTTTCGGTATAATTCACATCATATCTATTGTATATTTTAAAGAGCTCACGGATCACTATAGGCGTTCGCGAGCAAAATAATTTATTTGCACGATGTAGCAGTGTGGTGCGACGCAGCAGTGGCTTACTGCACAGAGAGAAAATATACGCGATTGAGGGAGGACATGTATCAAGCAAGAATCGCCGGAACGCTTGCCTGGCTCAATCGCTGGCTGTCCGGCGATGATATCCGGAGACTCCACGCTGGGACTTGAGTCGAACTACGGCCGCGCGGCATTATTTAGTCTAATCGCTAAATTTATAACTCACTGAAAAAGTGCCTGAATGCACTTAAAAAAATTAATGAATCCACCATTCCGATAGAAAATTGTCTTAGCTTTCCAATGGTATGGTCAAATTTTCCGAAATTTTCATTTTTTCCCGAGAAAATCGCCAGGAAACCTTAAAAGTCGAATATCTCACAAAATAGGTTGACTCAAGTTCCAGCGTGCGAGCGACCAAAGCGACGCCAGAGTCTCCGGCTATCATCGCCGGACAGCCAGCGATTGAGCCAGGCAAGCGTTCCGGCGATTCTTGCTTGATACATGTCCTCCCTCAATCGCGTATATTTTCTCTCCGAGCGTTTTTATCGAGCTCGGGCATATCCCTGTAGCCGCTGCGAGCCACGAACTCAATGACTCGTAATCCTTCAAAACAATCCTTGTATTCATTCATGTGATTTATGGAAGTCATGAGAAGACCCTTAATTTCTTCTTTGCGAAAAATGTCTAGCAAATTTGGAAGTTGTCCTTTCCAATCGCGGATCAAGGGATACAATTGATTTAGTACAGAATATCGCCCTTTAATGAACCAATTGATCAAATTGATCTTTTCACGTAAACTTTTCAAACTTTCCAATTTTTTTTGGTGTAGATCATCCACATCTTTGAAATCACAGTCGTCAATTTCGTCGTCTGAGCCACTCTCGCAAGAATGAAAACTTTCAGTGGATTCATCGTCGGAAAACATGTCTATGCGCACTAATATTTAACAGACGATCGCTTAAAACTTAATTTATTTTTTATT